CCCCCCCCCGTTGGGTATTGAATATCCCACTGGGCTCTTATGTGCAATGCAATTTTTTTTAAACACGTGTAAATCTTTGCATTTACATATTTACTTAGCGCGTGCGTTTTCACCAGAGCCCGACAAAGCGGCTTCATCGTCTGCAGAATGCAGTGTCATCTGACCGAGACGCAACCCTTCCAACTCCCTAACACTTCCGAGGAGCTGGGTTTCATATTCAAGTGGTCGGGAACCCAAGCCGCCAATTATGGAAAATTAACATCACCTCCAAAAACAACGGAAAATTAAGAGGCAGCTGTCATTTTTCACTCTTCTCACAATCCTGTAGCCGGAGCACGAAAAGTAATAAAAAAAACACATTTTGCGTAATAAAATGGCAAGATAACATGTTCTTTGCTTCCTTCGGTAAAGTCACGTAGAATGAGAATAAAATAATAAAAATAAAACAATAAAATTCTCACGACGTTTCGGCCACAACACAAGAGACCTTCTTCAGGTGAAAGGAACAAACCTGTCGGGACGACAGAGCTACATAGGAACAAACCTGTCGGGACGACAGGTTCGTTCCTTTCACCTGAAGAAGGCCACTTGTGTTGTGGCCGAAACGTCGTGAGAATTTTATTGTTTTATTTTTATTATTTTATTCTCATTCTACGTGACTTTACCGAAAGAACCAAAGAAGATGAATCCTTGCAGTCACGAAAGCTTTAAATCGAAATTTAAGATAACATGTATTGTGAAGGATTTTGTCATCTATATTTTTCGAGTCCGGTGATAGGATTAAGTTGGGGGCGCGAATTGTAAAGATTACAGCAGCTCTGAAATTAAGCATTCTGTATTCGTTACTCCACCTCTTCAGGTGTCGAAATGTCACGTCTTTCCGAACTTGTTCCCCCGTTTCAGGCCTTATTCGTGCCACGGGAAGTCCAATTGAGCCACATAGCCAGCTAGCTTCGACGGCAAAGACCCGCAGCCACTAACAATACTGGACATCTGTGTGAAAGAGCTTCATAGCTCATCGAATTCCTCCAGTCTCAATAAAGACCGTGATTCTGAATAGTTAATGTTGGGGTGGAGAAGGAGCCCTGACCAGCAGCCAGCCAGGAAATTCGAGAACGTATGGTTTTTAATCGTTTGACAATACTCCTGTTTATATATATGTAAATTAAAAAAACCTGAACAGCCTAAGCTTACATGAAGGAAAGCATAATACACATTCACGAGCCTCGTCATGGAGCCACGCTCTTATCAACGGTCTTCACAGCAATATTAGAAGAATGTCTAACATAAGCAAAATACGAATTCGTCAATAACACTGCTTTAAAAGTAAATACAATTGATGGTCCCCATGAAGGGTCATTGCCCGAAACGTCACCTAGCTGTTACTGTTCTATTTGAGGCCAGTGTTTGCTGATTAATATGTTGAGTTTGTTACAGTACTGTATGTCTGCGCAGCCCTGCGAATGCAGCAAATAATCCGTGATATATACTTTGATTAATCTACTTACATATTTTAGATAATCGATTGTGTATCAATACAAGCATTATATGCGTATGAATCGAGAGCCAGATTTACAGGGTGCTCCAGATGTATTGTGACCCCCCTCCTCCAATTCATCGACTCCTAACATTGTTTTCATTTGCATATTTGTTTATGTCTAAAAAAATCATTTAAAAATAAAGTTTTAGGATAATTAAATGGAGGGGGGGGGGGGTCACAAGACTTCTGGACTACCCTGCACAGCAAAGGCGTTTAATCGTGACGCGCCCTGCACTCCCATCGCCGTCTCCGATTGGTCGTCAGTAATTGGTATCGGTAATCGATTACCCTTATCGATTCCCGCGCACAACAAAAATTTAATCGAGAATAGCGTCGTCGCCCTCACTTTAAGAGTTCAAGCGCGATTTGCTCGCACTGGAGCCCACGTGGTAAGCGCTAAATTAACATAACACTAATTTGCATACAACTCATTAACATAACACTGGTTCTTTCGGTAAAGTCACGTGTAAGGGAAACAATGAAATAATCATCAAAAAATATTTTTTCTATTTTTATTCTTTTATTGTTTCCCTTCTACGTGACTTTACCGAAAGAATCCCTGCAGTCACGAAAGCTTTAAATCAAAACATAACACTGATTAACATAACTCAACCGTCGCGTACCGCGGTACGTGACATCCACCCAATCAGCGCGCGTATCCACAACTCGCAGTAAACGGAAGTTGGAGGGGGGGAGGAGGGGGGGTGGCATGTGAAGGAGTGGGTGGGGTGGGGGAAGGTGTGGAAGAGTTGGGGAGAACATTCCATTGGCCCCACCCAATATCTCAAATCCAACCAATGGGGTGTCGCGCTTTCGCTCGCCACCGGCACGTGATTACCTATCGACCAACGGGCAACAAGAAAACAAAAGTACCCCCCCCCTTTCACCTCTCTCCATCAGCTGGTGGCCGTATAACGCCGCGCGTGCGCACCAATTTGGCTTGCGCATGCGCTTCGGCCGCCATCTTGGTCGGGGGTGGTTTGTGGTGGGGGTTAGGTAACTGTCGCTGGCAACACAGCCGGTGGTCGTGACGTGCCGGGCTGTGACGTCACCCTCCCTCACGGAGAGTCACGCGGACGGAGGCTCCCCCCCCCCCCCCGTCCGAACCCCTTACCAAGATGGCTGCCTTCGTGTCGATCTTGGCAGCGGCAACGCACGTGGTCGGCGTGTGTGGCGTTCGTTACAAAGGGGACGGCGTGCGGGCAATTCCCCCCCCACCCACCGCCCACCCCTCGCCTCTCCGGCACCACGAGGGCGGAGGCGCCATTTGCGGTGGTCGCTCATTGAAAGCAGCGCCCGCACGCCCGCCCATCCCTTTCGTTTACATCCCCCCCCCTCCTCCAACACCACCACCGTCATTGCTCACGATGGCCCAGCCTCCTCCTACATCCACTCGCTACAAACCACCAACCCACACACCATCATCAACCACTCGACAGCCCTGCAAACAGCCGCCGCCGCCTTCGCCATTCACTCGCGGCAATTGAGCTCCGTTCCCGCCTTCCAAGGGCCGTGACCGTGCGACGTAACGCGCGTGATGCGGACAGAAGCGCGGCCTCTGCTAAGTGTGTGTGTGTGGTGTTGCGAGTGATAAAAGCAGGGAGTGGGGGAGGGTGGCTGGGCTGGGCTTGTCGTCGTTGTTGTGAGGGCAAATGAACTCCCCACCCACCCACCCACACCCTCCGAAGCCACGAGGCGAGGTCTCCCCACACGCTGCAGTAGCAGCAGCAGTCGTAGTCGGGATCCCTCCGCGCAGCTGACGCATTCTGCGTGCGAGCTCGGTTACATCATGGATGGCGATGGATGTAGGCGGGGAGAACATGCAGACGAATCCTCATTGCGAGTTGTTTATTTTTTTATATATTAAAAAAATTCACATCGCTTTTTGTTTGAACGATATTAATCGGTAAATACCGCGGTACGTTCTGTGCGATTTGTTTTTTTTTATTGGGAGGTTTGTACGAGACGGGTTGTTATACATTGGGTGTTTGTGTGTGTGGGTTTACACATACGGTTGGAAAAATAATTTCAATTAGTAGCGGCCACGATCAATCCACTGCTGGATGAAGCCCCCCCCCCCCCAAGCACCATCATCATCATTCACGATCCTGCTACATATGGTCCACCTGCAATCACCACGAGAGATTATTTTAATCGATCAAGTCTTTAACCACGTGGACGTGAATCTAGGACGCGTTACATCCCGGACATTTAGATAGACCTCCAAGCATTTCCGAATAACTAATAATACAAATAAATATACACATTAACAAACAAAAAACCTGCCCTCTAAACATGCGAAATAGAGTCTGAAACGAAACCCTTATGCGCTGGGCTTGGGGTGGTGGTGGTGGCATTTTAACAATGAGATGTTCGTCACAGCTTTTACAAACGTATTTGACGTAAACAGTATTCTTGGGTATTTCGGTAAAGTCAACGTAGCTATGTTAAAAAAATAACCAAAAAAACTACGACGTTTCGATCGCAACACAAGCGGGTCGTCTGCAGGATTTGTTTTAATCTACGTGGTGGTGACTTTACGGAAAGACCCAAGAATATGAATTCCCGCAGTCACGAAAGCTTTAAGCGAAGATTTAACCGACGTAAAAAGAGTGTTTGAGAGAACAAGAATGAAGATGCAATACAAAAAAATAATACCCCGTGTGCTTAATTAAGCGGGGACAAACGTGTTTCGGCTCAGCTTCACACTCTATTCTATCGTTTGTTTTGTTGTTGCTGTAAATCTCACTATAAACCTTCATCTATCGCGACTATCACCTTTATAATACATATTTATCGCGACCACCCGCAGCTGGCGGGCAGGTGACATGCAAATTAAAGTGTTGGATGTGTTTTTTTTGTATCGTATTGAGATAGAACATTTGAAATCAGGGGAGGTGCATCATCATCATCATACCGTGTCAACTCATTCGATATCACCCCGTATTCTTGTACGGAATAAATTTAGTTTTTCAGGTCCACGCGGCGTACTAGCCGTTTTAATACTGGCAACAACAAAAAAAAACATTTGTGTACGTGTTTCTCCCTTGCGATGGGACTGTTTATGGGATAAACGTTGAAGACGTTTAAGGGAACGTGGTGACCCGATAAAGCTCCGAATTTGCCTATGTGACACCGTCATGGGTTGCGAGCTACAACAAACAAACAAACACCACCACCACCGTCAACCCCGCCATCAATTGGTGACCCACACAAATCCACGACCATTAAAATAAAAACTAAACCCCCACTGCCACCAGCAGCACCACTACCACCGCCAGCAGCACCAGCAATGTAGTGCTTTGTTTACACGCGGGCCGTGCGTGCGGACGCACACACGGCCCGGGGGGCCCGACGGGGGCGGTGCTGCGGCTCGAGCCAGCTGTTTCCCGCCATTTTCGGGGCCTCTCCCTCCTCTCTCTCTCCCTCCTCTCTCTCTCGCCGCGTGTGTCCCCCCCCCCCAACACCCCCCCCCCCCCAAAGCCACGCCGTGCTCGCGTCGTTTCTACTACCAGCAGCAGCAACAGCAGCAGCAGCAATAGTGTCAGTCGTCAAAGTGTCTCAGCGGAACCGTCGCTGAGTGAGTTGCGAGAGGGAGCAGCAGCAGCGGCGTCAGCAGCAGCACAACAGAGAAGAAGGAGAAGTAGCGAGGCTGGGTTAGTCCGCTAGTAGTTGCATTTAGATGCAGAAGTAGCGGCAGCAGCAGCAGCACAACAGAGAAGAAGTAGCGAGGCTGGGTTAGTCCGCTAGTAGTTGCATTTAGATGCAGAAGTAGCGGCAGCAGCAGCAGCAGCACAAGTAGCAGTAGCAGCAGCAACAGCTGCATCGACAGTGTCCAGCGGGCAACAGCTGAAAGCGTTCGAGCCGGTGGGTCATTAGTTGAACCAACATCGGCTGCAAGCAGCGCGACAGCTTCAGCACCATCACCATCATCAGCAGCAGCAGGAGGAGGAGCGGCAGCAGCAGCATCAGCGGCGGCTGCTGCTGCGGCTGCTTCCCTGGCTGCTGCTTTTGCTGCCGCCTCCCCGTCGACGCGCCGCGCCTCCTCCTCCTCCCCCGGCAAAATGGCCTACTTCGTGGTGCCCTCGGAGAACGCGGCGGCGGCGGCGCTGGGAGACTTTCGCAAGGCGGAGCAGGAGGTCATCGGCGGCCTGTGCAGGTCGGTCGGTCGTTGTTGCGTTGCCGTTTCGAGTTGCGTGCGACACGGCATAGAGAGAGAGAGAAAGTGTTGACGAGAGGAGGAAGGCTGGGGGGGGGGTAGCGCACGCCGTTGCGCGCGCGCGTTGCGCACTTTCAATATTGCGCGTGTGCTCGATTTGTAGCGGGTTGTTGTTTTGCACGGCAGAGGTGGGCATTGTTTGTTGTTGCACGCGGCAATCGAGGTATTTTCTTTTAATTTGATGGAAAGGGGGAGCATTAAGCCCCCCACCCTACTCCTCCCCCCCCCCGCCGCCGTCGTGGTGTTGTCGTTTTAAACGCCGCCCGTCCGCCTTTGGCGCGCGATTGTGTTGAAAACATTGGCCACGTGGTGACCATGCCGCCCCCCATGTTTGTAGGGGAGAAGCGGCAGCGTTGCGGAGAGACGCGGGAGGGAGGAGAGATCGTGTTTGTATAGAGGTGGCCGACAGGGAGTTGAGGCGATGTTGTAGAGAGGTAAATGTGTAGGAAGGTTGTTGTTGGTGGTGGTGGTGGGAGATTAGAAGATGAGCGGCCAGCGCCGAGATGGCGAGGAAGGGGGGGGTGTGGATCGTGTTACGGAGATTTTGTGTAGGGAGAAATGGGACGCTTGAAGAGAGAGCAGGCGCAGATGGGAGTCTGGGGAAGAGAACGGAGATTTTTTTTTGGGGGGGGGGGGTAGCGAGGAGGATGGAATGTAGTGGGAGAGGAGAGATGAGTGAGAAAGTGGAGAGCAGGGGGAGAAGGGACGGCGAGCAGGAGTACACTGGAGGGGTGAGCGATGTAGGGGGGACAAAGCGGCAAGAGATGTACCGTAGAGAGCACGCCGGAGAGATGGAAGGGCGAGCGGGAAATGAATGTGTTCATGGGGGGCAGCAGAGTGCGGAGCTGGGGAGGAGAGGAGCACGTGGCGGAGGAGAGCGCGCGGGGAACGTGAAGAGCGTGGGACCGCGTGTCGGGAGAAGGGAAAGAGAATGCAGGTGGGGGGGGGGGAAGAGCTTTCCATATGTCAAGTGCGAGAGAGAAGCGTTGTTCAATTAGCCCGTCTTGCACGATTGCACGAGGCCGCTTGCGTGGGAAACACGTGCCGCAGCTACTGCTGCATCAGCAACGATGGCGATGACAAAACACGTGGTGGGCGCAGCCCACATTGCATGGAAATTCCATGTTACTCTGGCCAGGAATAGATTTCCCGCCCACGCGTTGGCTTTTAATTTTACCGCGGATCAATCAATGATGTTGATGAATGATTGGGGCCGAGTTTCACCATCGGGTCTGGTGTGTTTGCAGCCTCGATGCAATGAGTGCTCTATAGGGTTGACCTCCGACATGTACGCAGACACGCACGTGTGTAACTACTGTCATCCAGTGGGGAGAATGGTGCTAAGTGTAGTTGTCTACGGCTTGTTGTAGTGGCGACACGTGCTGCTTTGGGAGTCTTTGCGTCTGGTTTGACTTGAGCACGCAGGGGGAGGAGGGATACGGGTGGTTCCATAGCAATGCAGAATAACTTGCTCCAACATGGACGAGTAAGGATACTAAAACAAGATATTTTTTAATAATATATAATCAACCGCACTTGGTATTAAGTGTCATTATTGAAACCGCTCGTACGCACCTTTACTCAATATGCGCACGGAAGCTAATCAGAGTTCGGCGCTTGTTAGCTGCATGGATGGGTAAATAGTCTAGGAATAACAGATGCTGGTGTAGGCTTGGAAGGTGGCAGTATATGGATTTATTCCAAAAACATTTGTTGTTTGGTTTCCTTTCAAGTGAAGTCCGTGACACTCGTTAATGGAATTGACCAACCATCCCGGTGCAGTATCTTCTTGCACGACGAGTCTTGAGACTCGTTTGCCGATGTGTAAACATTGCTTTATTGCAGTGGTTTAAGTTATACAGCCACGCTCTCTTGCTGGGGTTGGTATCTCAAGTATTATGTACCGTTTGCAACAGGTTATTTACAATAACGGGGGTGGTTGTCATTGAGCGTCTAGAGAAATATAATTTAGTTGAAAGAGGTTTACATCGAGTCAAATCCTACATTTACGCATTGCGATGGTAGTTTTAGAAAGTATTTTAAGACCGATTTATAAAATTATAAGACGCTTCGGAAATAAAGAATCGGCCCAAACTTGTTCCCAGTGTTTAAAGTTATACAAACTGGTCACACCTCTACCGGATTATAAGACGCATCCTCAGTTTTTGCTATGGGAAAGTGGATCTTATAAGTCCCGTCTTGATAGACGCATTCCATTCAAGACTCATATTTAAATACATTTGATTTAAGACGCCGTAAACAACTGAAGTTATTTGTACAAGTGAATTGATGTCTCATACATCCAATTATAGATGGGGGGGGGGGTCAATGGGCAGGTTTTTTTATACAGTATATGTAAAAAACTATTAAGCTAAAACTTACTCGGAAATATCTGATCTGTTAATAGTCCGTACCAAAAGGACGAATTTTTTAACTGAATATTTTTGGTGCAAAGCCGTCCCACGCGATACGCGTCTCGACGAAATGGGCATTGTGCCGGCTTCTCTCGCCCGGGAGAGATCTCCAATTGCCGCCGGTGAAATAGTTTGCTTAGTCGGACAAGTATCGGACAAAATGAGACGATTGGAAAGGGGATGGTGGTGGTGGGGGGGGGAAGAGAGAAACTTTGGTTAGCAGCAGCAAGCAAGCACGTGGACTGGGGCAGCCAGCGGGTGTGGAGCCTGTAAATGAATGGGAGAAGGAGTGGCGCCGCTCGTGGGTTGGGCAGAAGGAGATTTTGCTGCTGCAGCTGTGCCCCTCCTATTGCCTTCCTCCTCCCTCTCCTCTCCCGTCCGGAGTGGCCCAGCCCTCTGCAGTTGTAACTCGCGGTTTCCAGGACACACCGGGGGAGGGAGGGAGGATGAGGAGGAGGGTTGAGAGAGAGAGAGCGGGAAAGGCGCGCGCACGTGCAGCGCCTGAATAGGGGCCCATCCATTTAGTGCGTACGCATGGAGGGGCCCATCCATTTAGTACGTACCTCATGGAGGGGCCCATCCATTTAGTACGTACGCATGGAGGGGCCCAACCATTTAGTACGTACGCATGGAGGGGCCCATCCATTTAGTTCGTACGCATGGAGGGGCCCATCCATTTAGTGCGTACGCATGGAGGGGCCCATATATTTAGTGCGTACGCATGGAGGGGCCCAACCATTTAGTACGTACGCATGGAGGGGCCCATCCATTTAGTACGTACGCATGGAGGGGCCCATCCATTTAGTACGTACGCATGGAGGGGTGAGAGGGGGTTAACCCAAATGCGTACGCTTGCGTATGGGGGAGAGGGGGGGGGAGGTCTACTGACAATGTTACGTACGATAATAATTTGTCGACATTGGCATTCGAATGAGTTGGATAGCCCGGCGGTGGACTATCTGTTTGCTTAAACACGTTAATATTATACATCGTTGATCGTTTCTGTGTGGATTAAATATCGGCCGTTCTATAGGATTCGGGGAGGGAGTAAAAAGTACGCGTGCGTACAGGGAGAGGGTCAAGTTTTGACAGATTTTTGCGTACGTACTAAATGGATGGCCCCCATAGGATGATTTTAAGAGGAGCAGAGAGCGGGGTTGGTGTGTGTGGGTCTGCGCGAGTGGTGTGGGCATGACACGGTGCAAGCATGGGCTAGAGCGATGTGTGGTAGAGTGGTGTAGATTAGCAGCGTGGGTGTACATGGCTAACAGGGATAGAGTGGTGTGGTTCTGATCGAGTGGAGTGTGAGTGGGGGAGCATGGCTGGTCGAGGCCATAGCGGTGTGTGCTTATGAGTAGATTGGTGTAGGTTTATTTATATGTGGTGTGTATCGGGATGGGGTAGGCTACAGTGGAGTGTGCTTGCAGGAGTGGTGGGGGGGGGAGTAGTTGGAGTCGGCTAGAGCCGTGTCAATCTATGATCGGTCGTGTGATGGGTTTGTGGCTCTCGGGGTAGGATAGGCAATGGCTGGCAGGCTACAGTGCTGCAGGTCGCGTCTCTAGAGATCGGTGTTCTTCTCATTGCAAGGCCCGCGGGCCACTGGCGGCCCCTGATGGCCTTTAGCGCGGCCCCCGACAGTACACAAATGTGACCCCCCCCCCCCATCATCATGCTGCTGTCAAACCCCAATGGGTTCAAATGTGTGGCGGCCCTCGGACTGATGATGTCTTATCCGCGAAAGTGGGGCTCCATTCTCTGAAAATTCGCTAAGAACACTGGGTGGGAGTGGGGGGGAGTGAGTGGAGGTGTTGCGGTTCGCGTCTCCGTACTGAGTTGGGGGGGTGAGGGGTGATGTGCCGTGGGGGTGATGTGCCGTGGGGGTGATGTGCCGTGGGGGTGATGTGCCGTGGGGGTGATGTGCCGTGGGGGTGATGTGCCGTGGGGGTGATGTGCCGTGGGGGTGATGTGCCGTGGGGGTGATGTGCCGTGGGGGTGATGTGCCGTGGGGGTGATGTGCCGAGGAGCGCGCGTGGCGCCCCCTCTAGACCGCGCAACGTGCGGAGCCAGAGCTGATGGAAGCTCCCGCCACGTGACCGGGGAGGGGGGCCGTGGAGGGGCGGGGTAGGGGGCGGGTGACGTAGGGGGGGAGCGGCCGTGGGTTGGGGGGCGTGTGACGTAGGGGGGGGGAGCGACCGTGGGTAGGGGGAGTGGCGGAGCGGCCGTCAGTTGTGGGGGGGGGGGGGTGACGTGGGGGGGAGGGGGGAAGCGGCCGTGGGTTTTGGGGGGGGATGACGTATGGGGGGAGGGGGGCAGCGGCCGTGGGTTGGGGGGGGGGATGACGTATGGGGGGAGGGGTCGTGGGGGTGTGTGACGTGCGGGGGGGGGTATCCCCCTTTAACTGTCCGCGGCCACATGGCGGATGAGTCACCGTGGGTGCTGTTGCCACTTCACGAGGGATGGGGGGGGGCCCTCTCCTAGCCGAGTGCCGACAGTCTCGTAAAGGGAAAGCGGCGGTGGCGGCGGCAGCAGTCTCTCATTGTGACGTTCAATGGACGGGCTCCCGTATTGTTTGTTGCACGGAGTTGCCCCTCGTCAACAACATCTGTTCGTCCAAAGTAGCAAATTGTTTTGTTTACAAGCCCGCATTTTTTTTTCTGCTGAACGTGACCACAAAAGGTGGAATTGTGCGCGTAGGTTGGGTGAGGTGGGGGGGGGTCTTATAGAATTGGTTTGCGTTGAATGAACGAATACTGCTGGATATTGTCTGTCGGGAAAGCTGACGCGCTTAAATAATGTGTTTTTAATGTTGGCGGCCCGTTACCAGAGTTATGGATTACGTTCATTTTAAGGAAAGCATCGTTTGTTATCCCCGGTGCAAGGCAGAACAACGTCGATGCAAGTTGTTGGAAGGCTTGTGTCTGCTACCCAAGCCCCGAGCCGGCGGTCCCGTGGACGATGCGGCCACAATCTGCAAATTATTAAGCTGCTGCTGCTGCCTGGTTCGGCCCAAATACTCACGCGTAATTATTATCAGTCCATGACGACACGAGGAGTCCCCGATACAATACACAAAGGTCCCAATGGCTCATTGATGCGCAGAGTTGGCAGCAAATTGTGACCGGTGAGCATTCATTTAATACCCGAGGGTGTGAATACATAACATAAATAGCAGCAGCAGCACCACCAAGGATGTGCTGCTGTTGGATGGGAGATCCTCACAGCTGCGCACGCCGGCTTTCAGATTTCAAAAAGGGGGAGCGAAATCTGTTGTCATGCAGGTGCTAGGGGGATCATAATATCGCATGATCGTGAGAGGAAGGCGATGGTCTCGTGGAGGCTTTCATCCAGCGGTGGATTAGCCATGGCTGATGACGAAATGAGCAACAAAGATACGCTGGGAGGGGGGGGGGATAGCAGTGGGGGGGCGGGGGTGGTGTGAGGTCGGGCCTTTGCCCCACTCACTGTGCAATAAGCTACAGGTGGCTTTCAAGGTCCCAAGCAGCACAAGGCCTAGGGGGTGTGGAGGAGGAGTCCTCCATGGTGCTGCTGCTGTTGGGGCTCTCAGTGGCACGGGCTTTGTCTCAATGAACCTTATATACCCCGCATGAGCAGTAAACGCCCCCCCCCACGTGTGTGAAGCCACCTTTGCTGTTTAACATCGAGCTGATGCACCTGTCACAGTCACGTGACTGTACCACCTACTTCACAAAGTACCGCTGCGCATGTGACGAATGGCCCCGTGAGCATTCTCTAGGCACGGTTGTTCGGAGCGTTTTTTGCCAATCGGCTTGTCTTTTAGCTATTGGACCAACACGCAGCTTATTGGTACCACTCAGGGTGGCAAATGCGAATAAATATTTAGATTTACTTTTTATCCCTAGGTTAGAAATACGTGTGCTAGCAAGGTCACAGTGATAGCTGCTTTTGTGGCACGTTAAAGGGAACCGTATTCTTGGTTCTTTCGGTAAAGTCACGTAGAAGGGAAACAATAAAATAATAAAAATGTAAAACAATAAAATTCTCAAGACGTTTCGACTGCAACACAAGCAATCATCACCAGGTGTGAAAACCACAACAAGAAAATTTGAAAAAAGTGACTTTTTAAAAAAAAATTAAAATTTAAAGGGAACCGTAGTACGCTTTATGGAGAACATCGTTTTGGTAAGGAGAAAAAATGCAATATGAAACGTCCGCAGAAGAGGCCAGTAAATAGGAAAGACTGTCGACAAAACAGTTTAGACGCTAGGCGTTCTGCCCATGGTGGACACTGCCCATGGTGTATATACTAGCGTATATATATTCTCCGGTGGTACCGACCAACTTAATCATGTATTATAGTTTATTTGGGGTGTTGGCAAGATGTTAACTACCTCGCCTGGTATGCAGAAGGTCGTGGGTTCGATCCCCACCCTGACGCCTGTTGTATATTTGGAGTTAGCGTGTCTCTCTCCCCGTGGTCACGTTAATTTTTCTCCAGGTCCTCTGTTTTTTTCTTCCTCATTTAGAAACATGCGTTTTGAATATTTGGCTGCGATAAATTTCCGGAGTATAAGCCACTTCGTTGAGCTATCATTTGTGGCCAGGTCGCTTATGCAAAAATAGCTTTATAGCTCAGTGGGCCTTACCTGGTCAGATAAAAATTGTTTAAGAAAAAAATAGTTGAGGTTTACTTTAACCTGCTTGGTTCATGAGCCAAGTGGCATGTTTCATTTTCATGACACATCACCTGCCATGTTTTATGGTTTATGTGTTAGAGTTAATCACTTGAAATAATGAATGTGACAGAATGCTAGTTTATGAAGATGTTTACCTCATGCCATGGATTTAACAATTCACTGATTGATACGAATTGTTATGCTAATCTTACATACTTCAAATTGTGCTTGTAAAAAAAATTCCGATCCAAACATTTTTAGCACTCTTTTAAAATGCACACTGCTATAAATGTATGTGCACACGTACACAAAGGCTGTACGTTTGCATCTTGAACCAGATTTGTGACCTTAGATCATGTCCCTGAATGACAAATTGGAGAATTGTGACCCGCCCCCTGATCGTGACCTTAAATGGTAACCCTGGAATTGTGACAGTCCACCGAGTCGTTTGCGCGTCTCTCGGAGAGATGCCGTGCGTCTCGCCTAGACTCGCTGCGTCTCACCGAGACGTCTCTCACCACTGTCTCACCGAGACGCTGCGTGTCTCACCGTGCGTGTCTCACAGCCTGGGTAACGTGTCGGCGGGCTCCCCCGAGAGCCAGCGCGACACGGAGCGGCGCATCCGCCGCGAGATCGCCAACAGCAACGAGCGCCGCCGCATGCAGAGCATCAATGCCGGCTTCCAGTCGCTCAAGACCCTCATCCCGCACACGGACGGCGAGAAGCTCAGCAAGGTACGCACCCATCGGCGTGCGCATCTCTGTGTTTGTGTACCGATGACTGGTAGCAGCGGTGTCACGACCTGCCTCAGAGTCGCTAACTCTCGACGAGAGAGGAGCAGCTCATAAACTAGCAGGCGCTCATAATCTGCAACCCGGATAATACGCCCATGGGTTACAAGTTAAACAGATTGTTTTGAGTTTATCCGTTGAGATACCAATAAGACGCTGAGCACTGCCAGTTCGCACAGGTGTCTTTATTTTTGTAGCTTTTTTTCACACGTTGAAATGTTTAGTAATCATCAGGCATGTTCCGCGCGTAACAACGTAAGGGAGGCGGGTACTGCGGTGGGTTTGGGAGGACTTTGTGTTCGTGAAAACCCCGCCGTTGTATGTAGGGGAATGACGGTGTGGCCATTGGTGCAACTTGTCATTTTCCCAGCAACCCAGGTTCAATTCGTCGGCGTAATTTATACGACGACTTCAACGATTCGATACAATTCTCGAGCTCTCGATAACGTCGCGTCAAACTGCAACGCCAGAGAATCGATTTAACTACAAAAGCCACACCGACTGTTTCCGTGCCGCAGGCCGCCATCCTGCAGCAGACGGCGGAGTACATCTACTCGCTGGAGCAGGAGAAGACGCGGCTACTGCAGCAGAACGCTCACCTCAAGCGCCTCGTGCAGGTGAGGGGCGAAAGCAGCGCGCGGGGAAAACCGTGGTGATAACCCGGCTCCTCCCCTACGGGCAGCGAGTCGGCAACAGGATTAATGTTGTGGGGAACCTTCCACGGCAGCAGGATCGGGGGGGTGGGGGGGATGGGAACTTGTTTCTTTATCGAGAGCCGAGTTGGCGTCACGCGCCACGGCCTCGCTGCTGCAAGAGGCCCCGAAGATTAGACAACGGTGTTGTTGCCAGGTAGAAAATATTCCCCCCCCCCTACGACCCAATTAATGTGACCTAGTTGCTTGCAGTGATGCGTGAGTATGCAGTTTGCAGGCCACTTTTTAAAAAAAAAGTTGCCACTGAACCGTGTGATACAAAGTCGCGCGCTGTATGAAACGAGGTCGCGGGCCCGTACCTGGACCCCAGGGTTGAAGCCTCCTGCTTATTTCTGCAGGAAATTATGGGAGGATCTGATGACAAAAAGACGTGAAATAATTTGTTGACACGGGTGAGCCATGAGGCGTCGATGAAAATTAAGTTTGACACACACGACTCATTTGTGGCGTTAAACGTGCCCGCGTTTAACGACCGTTTCCCGAGCGGGCGATAAGTTGTACCTAATTGGGCTCTCATCAGATTGAATGAAGTGCATTACGTTTACTGATTTGGAATGACGTTCGGCTGGGGAAATGCTGTGAAAGCCACGTGACCGGTGGTAGTTTCCAGTCGTGAGCAGCAGGGGGCGCGCTCGCTCCATCGCTCGCATGGACACGTGGTTCGGGTTCTTTACTGCAGCCGTTCCATTGGTTAATTGCTCCAGCCACTTATGAACGCAAGATCCTTACCATTGCGCCGCTAAGAGAAATGGCTTGGAGGTTTTGGTTCGGAGCTGCAGTTTGGATTTGCGTACTCGGGTGATGCGTCTGGATGGATTAGCATATAATTAAAATGTGACGGTAAGGTTTAATTACGCACTGTTGCTGGTGCATTGAACTGGTAACACTGTAACACGATTTTTGTTCCTGGGTAGTAAGTGATATTTTCTTAATTGCTTATGCCTAAAAAGTATAGAAAATGGCTATTATTCCCCACAAACTTTGCTTTTGCGACCAGGACTTTATGTGAAGGAATGACACAAATGCATATCACGTTTTCTCATTGAAAATTGCTACATTTCAAAATATCACTGTCCTGGTTTGTGGGGAATAATAGCCATTTTCTGTACTTTTGGAGGCATAAGCAATTAGGAAATAACACTTACTACCCAGAAACAAAATATATATTTTTGTTACACTGATATATAATCGGTAGAGTAATCGATTACTATAGCTGGATATCCCAGCTCGAGTTGTCTCACCTCTACCAACATTGTAGCCTCCGTGAGTGCCACGGTGGTGAGATTTAAAATACCTCGCCTGGGATACAGGAGGTCGTGGGTTCAATCCCGACACTGTCTCTCTTTCCCTGTGGTCGTGTGGATTATTCTCCGGGTCTTCCGGTTTTTCCCTCCACATTTCGTATTTGGCTGCTATAAATTTGTACGTGATAAGCCACTTAAGTTGAGCTACCATTTATGATGGTCAGGTCGCTCCTGAAAAAGAGGTAATGTCGCCCAAATAAATAGTTGTTGAGTTGAACAGATGAGTGCACCTCCGATCAATCAGCGTGGTTGGCGACGTACAGTGCTAAAGGAGTTGAACGTGCGTACTGGTGCGATCGTCTCGCCGTCTGCTTGTACGTGCGCGTTCGTCCGTGCGTGTCACGCAGGAGTGCGACGGAGGCTCGCCGCTCCGGGCGCGACGCGGCGCGGAGGAGCGCGACGAGGGGATCGGCTCGCCGGACATCCTGGAGGAGGACAAGGCCGAGGAGCTGCGACGTGACCTCCTCGAGTTGCGCGCCTCCCTCGACAAGGAGCGGCGCCTGCGTCTCCTCCTGCAGGAGCAGGTGGGACCGTGGGGGGACGGAGGAATGGGGGGGGGGGGTGCTTGCACAGGTATGTAGAAGGGAGGGCAGGCGGGCAGAGGGAAAGACGCTTAGGGGACGAGAGTTAAGGGTGCCTGGAGTGGACACAGTTTGGAGGGGGTTCGTGCCGATTCCACTTGGTGGTTTTGGGGCGGGGAGCTCCCCGGGGGCGTAAGGATTGGCGCGACTCTGGCAGCTCGGTGACTTAACATCGTGGTGGGTGCAGTGGCCGCTGGTGCCTGCAGGGGTCACTTGATTCTCATAACGTGCAATGTACACGAATCCAGAAATGTGGATTCTTATGCGCGAGGGCGCCGCGCGTATCTGTGTACTTCTGCCCGTGCGTGCGTGTTTGCGGTTGCGGGCGTTTATTTTGTTTGTTGCCCGGGCTGAGCAGGTGCGCTCAATGGAGGCTCAGCTGTACCCGGAAAAGCTGAAGGGAATCGCTCAGCAGCTGCAGATACAGCCACCCCACCGGGACACGGCGCTCCGGATCGACCCGCAGCAACAGCAACTACAGATTCACATTCAGCAACAGCAGCAGCACGTGCTGCAACAGCAACAGCAGCACATCCTAGGACACAAGCTACAGCCGCAGCGTTTATCGGAGGTGCGTGTGCTTGTGTGTTTGTGGTGTCGGGGTTTGTGTTGTTGGATCGGTGTGTCGGTGTTTATGTCGGTGTGTGCGCACTCTTTTGAGGTCTGCACGTGCACATTAGGGCATGTAAATTATGCAGCCCGGGTCTCTCCCGGACTAAATCTACTGGACACCTGTGAAAAAGAGCTTCATATTCTTGATTCTTTCGGTAAAGTCACGTAGAAGGGAAATAATAAAATAATACAAATGAACCGTTTCGATTGCACCATCATCATAAGGTGTGATGATTGCTTGTGTTGCAATCGAAACGTCGTGAGAATTTTATTGTTTTATTTGCATTACTTTATTATTTTCCCTTCTACGTGACTTTACCGAAAGAACCAAGAATATGAATCCCCTGCAGTCACGAAAGCTTGAAATCGAAAAAAGAAAAAGAGCTTTTTATAGCTCATCGGATTCCTCCAGTATAAACAAATATTCAAATTCTGAAATCCAACGCCCTGCATCACTCCTTTCCTGGCTTCACTTCTCTGTCTTCCTACCCAGGAAGCGCGTGCAACTACCAAATCCTTGTCCTCACGTTCACATCCATCCACAGCCACGCTCCTCCTCGCTGCCTCTGCAACCTTCTCCCAGCGGCTGCTTCCGCTCCCTCCACTTCACTGACTCTTGCCACCTCGATCCCAAGATCCGCTTCTCCACCATTGGCGGCCAATCTTTTAGCCGCTACGCTCTCTCCTCTGGAACTCCCCGGGCAACTTCCCCCTCTGCTCCCCCCTCTCTTTCCGTCTCTCCTTAAAACCTTCCTCTTCACCTACACGCTCTTGAGACATTGTTATTTTATAAGCGCATTACAAATTGCAGTTGTAATGGTCCACCCTCCACCCCCCCCCCCCCCCCCCCGCACACCAGCAATTTGATCGTCATAATATGGGGTTAAGATTTTTGTTCAAGGATTGATTCGTGTGTGCGTGCGCGCATTTGTGCGTGTGTGTGTATGCGTGTGCAGCCCCAGCAGCACCCGACGGTGATTGTTCCGGCACCGCCGCCACACCACGTCACCGTGGTAACCATGGCGCCGCCCTCCTCCGTCATCTCCAGCGCCTCCACGTCCCGGCAGAACCTCGACACCATCGTGCAGGTGACGCAGCTCTCTCCCGCTCACTCGCGACTGCGCGTGTTGCAAAAGGAAACGGCGTGCAAGGTACGCGCACGTGCGCGGTTTTACGAAGGATGGCGTATAACGGTACCGTGTGCGGCCCGCGTGTGTGGGCGTAGGCCATCCAGCACATAGAGGGGACGCACGACGGCGGGCGGCCGCTGCACGCCGTGGCGGCGGCCGCGGCGTCGTCATCGTCCCCGCTGCGGAGGGCCGGCTCCCCCTCGGACGAGGACGGGGACGACGCGGACGAGGGCGCGCGTAGCGAGGTCATCATCAAGCGGCTGCGGAGGCACGTGGTGGCGGCCGCGGCGGCCGTGGCGGAGGTCGAGGAGGAGGATGAAGAGGCGTCCGATCGTGGCCACGACGGGAGCCGGGTGCCGCACCGGCACGAGGGCCGCGTGGTCGTGGAGATGATCGAGCAGGCCTCGTGATGGCCGACCCCTCACCCCCCCCCCCCCCCCGCCCGCCCACCACCACCACCGCGCGCCACGCACCGTCCCCCGCGCTCCGCGGAAACGACAAAACCAGTCGGTGGAGAAATCATTTAAGCAAACGAAAGCGGTCAAAGAAAGTGTCACTAAAACGTGGAAAGCGGACAGAAGCAGTAATGTGAAGTCTCCAGGGCAGCTCTGAAGTGCTGGAAGGGTCAGAGGGGGGGGGGGGGGAGGAGTTGATGCCTCGATGTCGCGCATCCGTCGTCGAGCCGAGAGCGAATGGCGGCAGCGTGGCCACGGACATGAGGTCGCACGACACAAAACACGGGAAAGAAACGTGGCGGTGGCGGGTACGCAGCCCCGCTCCCCCCCCCTCCCGCCCTCCCCCCACCACGGAAAAACGAGTTTGTATCCCCACCCAAACATTGTGATGTCTTGTCGCGCAAAACAAAAAATAGTTAAGAACCAACCACAACCCCTGATGAAACCGTGCCCCCCCCCCCCCCCCCACTCTCCCCACCCTCGCCTGCACTCACAGGCAGGTGCGATGCTCAGCTCGGATGTCTCTTGCGAAAATGAAAGCACTTAGATTTTGTTTTGTTTTTTTACAAAAAAACACGCGCGGCCTACGGCTGGCGTAGGTTGACGTACAACAAAAAAAGTTAAAAAAAATGTTATCGAGTTCCTTAGTTTGCAGTCACTGAAGGCTGTAGAGTAGCGTTTGTTAAAGTTAGGTGTAAGTCTTAATCATGCCTTGTTAGCTTATTTTAATTTTATTGTTTAAATTTTTTATGACAAACTATATTTTTGGTAAAAAAAAAGAAAGGAGAAAATAAGCTGTGCTGTTTTGAGGCTTATTTTAGTGGCCAAGCGGTTGCCTGTGTTGAAGCCAGCGCAGGTCTCTTTGAGATACTTGACGGACAAAAATGAACTAATTCGCCGACGTAGGCTGCAGCGTGAACGTCGCAAGTCGGAAACGCGTCCAGCAGACTTGGGACATTTTAGATTTTAAAATCCCGGTCTCCGATTGGGTGGTCTCTTAATCTCTACTTAACTGGCTTAATCCACAAAATGCACAATCCAACGTTTGACCTTCAGCCGCTGAGGTTTTGACCTTTTTAAACTTGGCCTAGGCAGGAGAAGCAACCGGCTCCTCACCCGGAAGGCAAACCAGTGGCAGTGGTATGAAGCAAACAGTTAAAACGAAACAAATGAAAGGGACTGTAGTAGCTCTTAAGGTGCGCGAGCGGCAGGCGTGTTGTGTGCGTGTCAGCGCGAGTGCTCTGTGCCTTTGAACTCTGACATGAAGTGGAATTGGGGGGGGGGGGGGGGGTTTAGGCCGGCACTGGGCAGCGAGCAGTGGAGGGGGGGGGGAGGTCGGCTATAGTGTATATTTTCTTCTGTTTCTGTGTTTCCGGCGCCGTGCGCGATTTCGCACACTGTTGTGAGCACCGCCGGATTGGTGCTACACCCATAGGGGCGTGAGGGTGGGTGGTGCCGGGGGTGGGGAAGTGGGGGGGGTGTCTGCCTGCCTGCCTGTGCGAGCCTGAGTCCTAGGCACGTGTGTGTGTGTGTGTGTTACCTGGGCCGCGGCGTCTACACGCTCGCTCCAGGTGTTACAGGGAACTTTTCGCTGTGCAGTTGGGAGTGGGTGGGGACTTGACTTTTAAAAAATCTTTGTTCTGTGGGCAGCGTTTTGGGGGGGGGGTGCCCTCCTACCGGCGAGCCTCGAATTGAAGCGACCGCAAGGCAGAGAGGACCCGTGCAGGTGACTGGAGTCGACTCGTTAACACTCCGGAGCTCTGGTTGCAGAAACGGCTCTTCTCTTTTGCATCTACGTTTCGTCTCCCCCGCCGGTGTTGTCTGTCATCTCGCGGTTTTGCGGTTTTAGTAATACCCATAGCTGCTGTGCGGAGGGGGAGGGTGAGGTTACAGCCGCTGAACCCCCCCCAGCCCAAACTAGCCGGCAAGAGAGGGTCTCTCAAAAAAAATCACAACTGTCGTTCTCTAAATACTGTATATTCGTCGAGCGAAGTGAATTGACACCTCGTGCTGGCTGTTGTTTGTGGCAGCGGTGGGTCGCTCCGAAACTGGTGGCGCGCTACCCCAGAGGAGTGGGGTTCCAGCAAGCTGCTTGTGAGTGGCGGCCTTGGCTTGCAGCAGGAGCTAAATGTTCCCCCCACCCACCCTCCCCACTCTCTTCGTCAACAAACTCAATTCGCCGAGTCAATACAGTATTCCCTCGTTAATCGCGAGGGATACGTTCCGGGAGATACTCGTGAATAGCAAATGTCACAGATATTGGCGTCCAAATATATATACGCGCAGTGTCTGCAGATGCTTCTTAAGCGTCGAGAAGTTCTCCGATCTCATCACTTTATCTTATCACTTTCCCTCAACTCTGTCGATGCGGTCGTGTGGAGGTTTCCAGATGCAATTTGCGGATGGCGAGGAAATTCTGTACACAGCTCGGGGAGGAAGGCAAAGCGCTTGTTCCACGGTTGAGCCGATCCCCAGGTGCTGGGTCTCTGAAAGCGCGTGGTCGTACTGGGGCGAGATTGATTGAAACTTTAACCCGAGCCAGGGTTTCCTCATCCAAGAAAGAGGACTCGCGCATCTGCTAGCGAGCACAATAAAACGTGCACTTGGTGACATTACGCTTTGTCGGAAGATTAAAACGGGTCGATACCGTCTTAAGTCTTGGGCGAGTTTCATCCAAGTAATGGAAAATTTGTTTTTGTGATACCAGCGGCAAAACAGCATTCGCAAGGGGAGTAAGACCGCTGGAAGGTGCACGTGCGTACATTCAATGAACTCGACACAAAGACCCAGGTTAGAGTTCACTCGCTGTCTTCGGAGCTCGGCGACCATCATTTGCCACCTTAGTTTAAATCTGGACGTCTCTACCAACGAGGAGCATCGCTCCCGCAGGGGATGCTTCTCTTTGTAACATAAGGGTATATTTTTTATTAGTCCTACACCATTGGGCACCGACTACCAGTTTGGCAAGTTTGCACACATGCTGGCGCAGCGTGCCGACAAGAGGCACCGCAAACTTTATCCAGTCCTTTTGAAGTATCATGTCCAATTGCCGCAGTGGCATAGCAGGGCCGTGATCCTGAACGTGGGTCAGGCCAACACGCCGTTGTCGCATCTTGTCACGTTGCTTTACCGCTGCAAGGTGCAGTGCGTTCACACTTGTCTCTTTTAAGGCTGGTGCTCAGTCTGGATGCTGTGCATGTACAGAACGATCTCGCGGGGCTTGCAAGGTATCGGCGGGGCCTCGCCCGTGCTTCAGCGAGACTTGGGTATATTTCACAATGACGCGTGCACAAACAACTGGTTTTGTGTTCCGCCAATTCTCGCCGGCAGGAGAGAGCGCGTTTTCCTTGCAAAACCAACAGGCAGCGCTTGCGAGCCTCTATCTTATCGGTCATCGTCTTTTTAATATTAATCAAATGGCAGGTAAAGTAAAACTCCCAGCCGGTGTTTTTTTTAGGTTTACATGCAGCAAGTCGAATTTCCAGAGAGCAAAAAAAAAACGAAGGTCGAGGGATCTGTCGTAATTTTTAACTATCCATGGCAATTACAATTTGGATACTTTTTGATCTCCGTTCATCTTGAACTGCGAGGTCTCGCATTGGCCATCTTTGCCCTTGACACCACCGCTCTTCCCTGGCTCTTGTGTTGGAGGGTTTTTTTGTGTGAATTGCGATGCGGTTATGGAACTTCTCCGGCCACTCTTGTCGGGGTGCGTGCAAGCAGGCGTTCAGTCTCCATGTGTCATGGCCTTTTTATATAATTTTTATTTTTTCAACTTAAGTGTTATTAACGTTTGAATGTTATGGTTATTCATGTTATGAACGGAGGGACACAACTCTCGACTTACCGTTAAACGTAGCAACAGTGAATCCAATCCACTTCGGCTACAGACACATTCCTAAAGAAAACGACTAGTGCTCGAACAAAATATGAAATTGCGCTTAAAAACTATTTGGGTGAGGTTTTTACAGTGAGCTCTTGCAGGTGTCTCTGCGATTTTTTTTTTGGCCTGGTTAATTGTTTTGTGGTTTTAAATCTCACTTGGGGTTTCCCCCAAATCCCTTTGCGGTGAGAACGGCGCGTGCGGTAATCCACAGCTCGCGCGGGAGATTTAAAACGAGCGGAGCGGACGCGCGAGGGATTTTTCCCTGCGTTGCCGCTCCATCGGCTCGAGCCCCCCACACCCCCCCCCCCCCCCCCCCCCAGCGCTGCTCTCGCAGGGGCGCACTCGCTATAGCGGGTGCGACGACCCGCGCGGTTTCAGTCCGCGCGTCGCGTCAAAAGCCCCACCGGAAACATTGCCGTTAAATAGGGGTTCGCATTTCCCTGGATTCTGCGAAGACCTCGGGAGTCCTGGAACCGGATCGCCGGGGATTCTTTCAGAGTGTAAAAACGTGGGATTGTCCTGGAGCGCGTGGGAGCCGCGGCCTAGGAGGAGGGGGTTTCTGCGGTAAAGAGGCCCCAGGTTTTTTTTTTAACTGAAGTGGGAGAGGCCACGGTGTGGTTCAAAGGGGAGGGTTGGGGGGGGGGGGGGGTCTATATCCGATGGCTGTTCTCAAACCCCAGTCCTTGGTGTTGTCACCGTTGCGGCCCAGCCTGGCTTTTGGGACTTGTGGGCAGGTTGCATACATCGGCTCAAGTGAACGTTTCTCTTACAATGACACTGCTTTAGATAGGAAAGAGACATTTTCGCTTTTGCTCGGGGCGGGGGGGGGGGTTTATGCAACCAACCATCACCGTGCACCAGAATGCGGGAAATGAAAGTGGAAGTGCTCCTGTAGTAAAGGACTCCCACTCCCTGCAGGTGGGGGAAGAGACGACTGCCGTTTGAGAATAGCTGGTCGTGACAGCTGTCATCAACTCCGCCGCTATTGGGCCACCCCCACAAAGTTCCCGTGTTTACCAACCTCCATTCCCAATGCGGAGGAGGGGGGGGGGGGTTGGCGGTGCCCAATGGGCGAACTGTTGTGATGGCTGCGGGGTGGGTCCACAGTACTGGGAGTTGGCGACGGCTGCTCTGACATTACGCTGTACACACAGCACTTGCTGAATGTAGGTTGAGTCGGGCAGCAAGGAGGATAGGGCATTTAGTCCACGTATAGTACCTCTTTTTTAGTGTGTATAGCGGAGAGGATAAGTAAAATAATAAACTTTCTTTACAAAACCTGCAGTGTCCTGATTTTTGGTTTGCATTGTTGCTGTTTGCGCTCGACAGCGCGAGGTTAAGCCTCCATTCCCATCGCTCGCAGAAATCGGTGCACCCACTCCGTGTTGGAGAACGAGCTCTGGAACTACATCCGAGAGACCATTAATGTACCTGTTAGATGCACACCAAGGGGGGGGGGGGGGGTTTGCACCTTCCCGCATGCCATTCGAGGGATCTGACTCGCATGATTTTGTAAGCGTCAAATAAAAGTGAGGTAAAAGGGTTTTTTTTTTGGTCACCGACTTGGCTAAGACCGAGCTGCTTCAGTCGAGAACTATTTACGGGCTGCCAAAACCTGGATTCGAAACTCGGATCTCAAGTGCCAGCTTCGTGCTGCGACAATATTGGTCCAGTGTGTAACCTGGGCAACTTCTGCATACTTAGATATTTTAAGTGTTAAACAAAAATATTAATCACTGTTCCCAACCAATCCCAAGCTCACTCCATCCACCACGAATGCTTTACCACCCAAGTTTAATACTCTGTGAACATGAAACCCATCAACGCACAAACTGGCCAGCTGTGTACCCCCAGCGCTGCCACGAGGTTTCTCTGCTTGGGTTAATTCCCAGAATCCCATGCCTGCTGGCTGCGCAACGGCACACCACGAGGTTGTCCTCCACCACCCTCCTCGGCACCACAACCGATGGCATCCATGGTAAGCAATGTTCTGACAAGCAAAGGAACTCGACAAAGGAGGCCGTGTTCACCTATAGAATGTGTTTATTCATCGTTTTCAATTAAACCCAAACAGCCCCGAGCATCGCTCCAGGATTTGAATAGATGGGGCCACATTCGGCGCTCCACCACTGGAGGATGCGAAGGGACGAGAGGTTGGGAATTATCAGTAGACGAAAACAAGGAAGACACAACCGACGTGTGCTCAGTGAGGGGTGCGGGGGAGATGAGAGGTCGGAAATCAAGGTAAGGGCTTACTAAGCAAAGAGCTGCGGCCGAGGCGGTGACAGCAAACCTGCCACCCACCCCCCCCCCCCCCCCCGGAACGCTTCATTCCCACACGCGCCACGTGACAGCCCCCCAAGACACGCAGAATTACCTTCGCTTTGGGCAATGCTCACGCAAATCTTTGAAACTACGAACACTTTACTTTGCGAACCACTTTTGGTGTCCTGAGCCCCGACTGATGCAGAGGCGGCAAGGGCGACATGAACGTGCACCAGTTCGCGTGTCGCACGCGAAGACGAGCCCGGTCACAAGCTGTCGTGTCCGATCACTTCAAATTGCTCGTTAAACACATTTCCCACAGCCCGATAAGGATAAATTGAGCCCCGTTTTAATCTGTACTCGTAGAGGACTGCTCCCTACCATGTGTGGCCCACATCTTTTTCACCTGGGGAGAGATTCCACGGCATGGACAGGAGACAAAACGGCTTAACAAAAAAACCCGCGAAATGAATTTGCCAAGTCACGCACGCATCTCCAAAAAAATATCCATCGAGCAAGGTACTAAAATAACTTGATTTAGCAGGTGGAGAAAAATATAAAAAGCACTCTAAGGACTCGCGCATAAAGCATCCATGCCGTTCCCACGCAGTGGACTAACATCACCTGTGGACTAAAAATTTATTGAAGCCGCACGACCGTGAGTGACCGATCATCTCCACCATCGCTTCTCTTTTCCCATTAGTTCCCCCTGAAATCTCACCACACATTCATTTCGTTCACCGCTGGCTCTTTGTTTTGTTTTTTTAGCGTGAATAAAACCAGCGACCGGGGATTGCTGGCGCGAAGACCGAACGAGCGCCCTTCCTGAGGTGTGGTTCGCCGATGAGATGTTTACACAACGTGGGTTCAGTGCTGCCCAGCCCCTCTGCACCCCCCCCCCCCATAAACAAATGAAAAATGTTACCAAGAAAAGTATCCAAAAAAATATCTGCAGGCAGAATTAACTTTCGCTCAAATTGCAGCCGTTCCGGCATCACTGCCCGCCGCTGCCACTTTACTGCCTTTCCTAGTTGTGGGATGCTTTCCCTCGGGGGGGTTTGTACCCCCACCCCTCTGTGTCCCCTGAACCCCCCCTCCCCCTCACTACGAGGGGGGACTCAATGACCAGCCCCCCCAAACTTGGAAGAGAGTTTTCCGATGAAGCTCATGATCTTGGGGTTTCCCTGGTACTTGGACATGTTGGCCGGGTTCTGCGCAACATCCTGGAAGGCGGCCATGATCTCGGGGTCCTGGGTAAGCACACGGACACGCAGACACGTTCAGTGAGGGGGAAAAAAAGTATTTGATCCCCTGCTGATTTTGTACGTTTGCCCACTGAGAAAGAAATTATCGGTCTATAATTTTAATGGTAGGTTTATTTGAACAGTGAGAGACAGAATAACAACAAAAATCCAGAAAAATGCATGTCAAAAATGTTATAAATTGATTTGCATTTTAATGAGGGAAATAAGTATTTGACCCCTCTGCAAAACATAAATTAGTACTTGGTGGCAAAACCGTTGTTGGCAATCACAGAGGTCAGACGTTTCTTGTAGTTGGCCACCAGGTTTGCACACATCTCAGGAAGGATTTTGTCCCACTCCTCTTTGCAGACCTTCTCCAAGTCATTGAGGTTTCGAGGCTGACGTTTGGCAACTCGAACCTTCAGCTCCCTCCACAGATTTTCTATGGGATTAAGGTCTGGAGACTGGCTAGGCCACTCCAGGACCTTAATGTGCTTCTTCTTGAGCCACTCCTTTGTTGCCTTGGCCGTGTGTTTTGGGTCATTGTCATGCTGGAATACCCATCCACGACCCATTTCAATGCCCTGGCTGAGGGAAGGAGGTTCTCACCCAAGATTTGACGGTACATGGCCCCATCCATCGTCCCTTTGATACGATGAAGTTGTCCTGTCCCCTTAGCAGAAAAACACCCCCAAAGCATGTTTCCACCTCCATGTTTGACGGTGGGGATGGTGTTCTTGGGGTCATAGGCAGCATTCCTCCTCCTCCAAACACGGCGAGTTGAGTTGATGCCAAAGAGCTCCATTTTGGTCTCATCTGACCACAACACTTTCACCCAGTTGTCCTCTGAATCATTCAGATGTTCATTGGCAAACTTTAGACGGGCTTGTATATGTGCTTTCTTGAGCAGGGGGACCTTGCGGGCGCTGCAGGATTTCAGTCCTTCACGGCGTAGTGTGTTACCAATTGTTTTATTGGCGACTATGGTCCCAGCTGCCTTGAGATCATTGCCAAGATCCTTCCGTGTAGTTCTGGGCTGATTCCTCACCGTTTTCATGATCATTGCAACTCCACGAGGCAAGATCTTGCATGGAGCCCCAGGCCGAGGGAGATTGACAGTTCTTTTGTGTTTCTTCCATTTGCGAATAATCGCACCAACTGTTGTCACCTTCTCACTAAGCTGCTTGGCAATGGTCTTGTAGCCCATTCCAGCCTTGTGTAGGTCTACAATCTTGTCCCTGACATCCTTGGAGAGCTCTTTGGTCTTGGCCATGGTGGAGAGTTTGGAATCTGATTGATTGCTTCTGTGGACAGGTGTCTTTTATACAGGTAACAAGCTGAGATTAGGAGCACTCCCTTTAAGAGTGTGCTCCTAATCTCAGCTCGTTACCTGTATAAAGGACACCTGGGAGCCAGAAATCTTTCTGATTGAGAGGGGGTCAAATACTTATTTCCCTCATTAAAATGCAAATCAATTTATAACATTTTTGACATGCGTTTTTCTGGATTTTTTTGTGGTTATTCTGTCTCTCACTGTTCAAATAAACCTACCATTAAAATGATAGACTGATCATTTCTTTGTCACTGGGCAAACGTACAAAATCAGCAGGGGAGCAAATACTTTTTTCCCTCACTGTATAGAGACAAAGATCCCCCCCGCATAGCCTCAACAGACTGTAGGGGCAAGTGCTGTTAGCGACTGGCACCTATGAAGGCTGGCACTGTGGCATACAAGGGGGTGGGTGGCCAACACCACGCCCTGCCGCCTTTGTCTCCCTAGTGGCGATGTTTACACACCGCACCAGGTACTCATTTGAGGCCGAGTCGACCTACGGGAGGGCCAGGACCTGTTCATATAATCGTAACTGGTGTTGGCCGTGAGCGGGAATCAAACTCGAGTCGCCGGGGTTCGTAGTGCAGTATGCGAACCGCTACACGACCGCTCTCCATGGACAAACACGCACGGACACAGACATGCACGCAGACGCACAGACACGCAGAGGAAAGGGCGTTATATAAATCCGAAATAGAGGGTCACATATCGCCACTTGTCATTATGACTACAATCAAGATCGCTCTTCTAATTATCACCATTACCATCACACACATTAACAACCACCCATCTTCCTCATCATTACCACAATGTGCATCCTCAACATCATCACCACCACCATCAAGATGTTACACCTCCTCAGCCCTTTTCACAATCAAGACCGTCACACGTCACACTGCAGACACGCACCTGTACAGCAGCCATGACGTCTGGGTCACTCAGGAGGTCGTTGAGACCTCCCATGCCACCGGGCATTCCTCCGGGCATTCCCCCGGGCATGCCCCCCGGCATTCCCCCGGGCATGCCGCCCGGCATTCCTCCGGGCATCCCCGGCATCCCCCCAGGGAATCCCCCAGGCATGCCCCCTGGGAAACCTACAACGCAGCACAGGAGTCAGTGGAGACACAAAAGGGCGGAGCTCACATCGCACTCTCACTTCTCTCACACACGTACACATGTGGAGCAAAGGATCAACAACAGACCCCGTTTCTGCAAGGGTAGAATCAGCTCTGTCCAGGTCCACGACTGGCAGAAATTATTTCCGCGCCCGGCGTGCCACAACCAGTATACGTTTAGCTAAAGCCGTGGCTACTCGTCACACGTCTACTCCAGTCTACTCGTGACCGGAAACACGCCGAGTGAGGAATTAAGCCCTGGGTTGGACGTTCGGGCTACGGCTGGTGTGGTATGACTGGGTTTGGTAATGCATGTTAAAGCCACCGTGTTTGTCAGTTCAAATGTGTGTACATGCATGGGTGTACGTGTTTATGTGTGAATGTGTGCATGTACGCTTTGTGTGTATGTACACATACCAGGGAATCCCCCAAAGCCTCCCCCACCAGCCTGCCGGCGTGCGTCCTCCTCCTGTACATGCACGCGCACAGATGCGACTCCTGCGTTAGCCTGCTGGGACCGCTGGCAGGGTTCACGTGACCTACGAGTTATGATGAGCAGACGCTGCAAGAAACTTGGCGTGCGCGCGGCGTGTATGTCTTGCACTTAACGTGTATTTGCGGTCCACTTGCTGTGCAGTAGATGTGCAATTGTTCGTATGTTTAAGCGTGTTCTGGATGTGTTCTTTAGCGTGCATTATCGGCGTTTCCCGTGTGTCGAGCACGCCATTAGTATGTACTCCGTGCGTTTCCTGCGTGTTCGGCGTTTTTTGCATGCACTACATACGTGTGCGAATCACGTGTCCCATGCAAGTTTTGAGGATGCACTGCACGCGTATTCTCCGTGCGTTCAGCACATTACGTGCGTGTCTCCCGTGTGCCACGCGCGTTTTTTGCCATGCGTTCATTGCGTTCTGGGCGTGTTGGCCGCGCGTTCCACGTCGTGCGTTTCCCTTGCGCCAAATCCGTGTTTTCACGCGTGGATGCTTTGCAGTGGGCCCGGCGTGTTCTGTGCACGCGTCTCTCCCGCGCTGGCGGCGTGCCGCATGCCACCCACCCTGCGCGCCCGCTCGTGCTCCTCCTGCGCTCGCTTCACGCGTTCCTTGCGGTCGCACAGCTCCCGCTCCAGACGCTTCCGCTCGTACTTGCGCTTGTGCTCCGCGATGCGCTGAGCCTGAGCCGCCGCCGAGACAAAACGTCGTCACACCACCGCGGCGTCACGGTCGCGTCCCTGCGCCGCATCGCACCGCTCAAGGAGGCAGATCACGATGGCGGTAAATCACTGCGGCACAACGCGACGGCGATTCACAACGACGCCACAAGGCGACACGAAAAACAGAACGCATGCGCGCTCGACGCCTATCAATGGTCTCATCGCCCTCGCGCATTCCAACTCCACGCTCCATCCCAAGCGTTTGCCTTCACGACTCTAAAAGCGAGGACCAAATATGGATCAGGTCTCACACTGGCGCCGCTCGGAAAGACTCGCGAATGCATGTATCTGGCTGAGTTTTGGTAGAGGGAGCCAGCTGCTTCTGGGTCACGGGTCAGAGAGCAGGCAGGGAGCAAAGGTCACACCTTGCAACACTGCCTTGGCATTTTGGCCACCCCAACTCCACAACTCCTGGTGCTGTAGCCCAGAGCGCGAATATTTCACTTCAAATGACTTGCGACGCAGCCACCGCTGTTGTGTCCTGATCGATAGTTTAAAAATGTCACAACGTAAAAACACTCTTGAAAAATAAAACGTTCATTGTCAGTTGCGCTGCCCCTTCAGTTTATTGCCCCCATTGATACAGGGAGTTGAGGAGGAGATACACGGCCAAGGGGGGTGACGTGGTTCTGTCCCAAAAGCAACCTGGCGGTAGAGATGTTTTATCGCGAAGAAGCCTGCGATTAGTTTCTTAAGAAATGAGCGGGTGAGCGCTAAAACAGTTACGCATTTGAGCACTGCAAGTAAAGTCTGCTTTGAGACATTTGTGGAGCCAGTGCGGGGGGTGGGGTTGCACGTGCCCCCCCAATGATCCGATCGAAATCCCAAATTTCGATCGGATCATTGGGGTTTATTCGTAATAAATCGGCATTTTGTGACCCCCACTGCCACTGTGTAGCATATTATTACGTGCCAGGGACTCTATGAGATATGACAATAGTCTGAGTCCATAATTGGCAATAAGTAACGGCAAAGCAGTTATAAGTGACTCACAGAATTGTATGCAGTTGTGTATACAGTACACGACTTCCCTGAAGACATTCACCTTCAGCGAACGCGATGCCGATCACACAATGCGGTTCGAATTCGACCCTCGATCGATGGCTGCGCCATCGCCGCACACGCGTCGAATAAAAAGCAAGGGACAAGTCCTTACTTACTAACAACTCCTTACTTGCCAACAACTCCTTACTTACTAACAACTCCTCTATCATTGCTGGAGGGGTTGCCCTACCCCCCCCCCCCCCCCCGCAACTGAAAATCCTGGTTCCGCCATTGCATCGGTGAAGACAGCGTGAAGCTTGGATTTGCCACGCTGCCAAATTGACTAATTCAGGCCTACGGATAATGAACAAACGTCTGTCTTTCATGTTTATTTTTAAATTGCAGCTCGGGTTTCCATCTCCCTTGAGAGCTGCAACAGCTGAAGCTTCTCACGTCATAACCCAAGACGTCACCGCTGAGCTCTGCACGTCCATTTTTTCAGCCCCGTGGTTGTTCGTCTCTTTGGCCTTTTTTGCTTGCATCAAATTTGCTCCGTAGTCTTTGATATTATTCCGCAAGACTACACCACAGTGAGGTTTGCTCCACGGCACGCGGACCCACGACGGTCGAATGCTCAAAGTGGGCGTGGATTCATCTTCTTTGGTTCTTTCGGTAAAGTCACGTAGAATGAGAATAAAATAATAAATTGATAAAATAAAATAACACAATAAAATTCTCACGACGTTTCGGCCACAACACAAGCGGCCTTCATCAGGTGAAGGGACGAGACTGTCTGGTAGGACAGCGCTGGACTCGCTCCAGCACTGTCCTCGAGACAGTCTCGTCCCTTCACCTGATGAAGGCCGCTTGTGTTGTGGCCGAAACGTCGTGAGAATTTTATTGTGTTATTTTATTTTATCAATTTATTATTTTATTCTCATTCTACGTGACTTTACCGAAAGAACCAAAGAAGATGAATCCTTGCAGTCACGAAAGCTTTAAATCGAAATTTGGGCGTGGATTATCCGTGAGCAATCAAAACATGTCAAAATTATTTCCATGCTCAAATGAGCAGAGGTATTGGTGCTGATCACAGCTCAACAGAGCCAGTGAGTTGGGGAGTCCACATTGCTATGACGGGGGAGAGTCTACACAAAGGATAACCACTCTTGAGCTCCCCATTCAGTGGTACTCATTTTATCGACCCAGGAAGAACAGTGGGACGAGTAAATCCCCAACCATGATTTGAACTCTTGCAACCTGTCAACCGCGAGTCGCTCATCTTACCGCCGAGTCACCCGGCCGGTTAGAAGTGAGCATTAGCAATCTGTTTATTCACTGTTTGTAGTCACCTCTAAACTCCTGGCAATACTGAACCCACAAGCATCATATTTTCTTACTCTATTTAATTTACACACAAACATACGCAGCCCTTCACCAACTTCCGTGAAGTATGCTAAAAATAAACCCATGACCCACGTGATATAGAGGTACACTTATTTGTGTATTAAGAATGGCCGGAAATGATTCCTTTTTTATATGCACACACACACACACATTGCTATGACTGTTCAAATACCACATTTGTCAATCACAAGTCAACGAAAGGGGGTGGGGGTGGAAGCTTGTGTGTGTGGGGGGGGGGATTGAGGGAGAGGGATTAAGGTTGTGGGGTTGGGAAGGGAGGGAATCGAGGGTTAAATTTACTGTCAGACGTAAGTGGCAGGCACCCACGTGTGCCAAGTCACGTGTCAGCCTCCCCACTCGGCAACTTTACATGAGCTCTCTCTCCGTCTGCGTCTCCTTTTCCTCGCAGCCTCTCTCATCTGTCAGGCTCTCTACAACTCCAAGTCTATCACCGTCTCCAGCAGTACATACATTTTAGAATTCAATCAAACACCAATAATAATAATAATACATCTCCCGCCTCTCCGTTTCTTCTGTACGAGTCTGCCTCTGAGACCACCAACGTTCGCCGCCGGACAATGCCGCCGCTCAAAGTCACCCTGCTCTGCCTGTTGATTGTCGCGGCTCGTGCTGACGGTAAGCGTCCTTCTGTCTCCCTCCCAAACGCGCGCGCTCGCTCTCGGTTGTCGTCCGCCAAAAGGGGTGTCGGGTCGAGCAGGACTCTACAGGCCTCCTGTGCCACCTGTGAGGTTTGGGCATTCATTTTTAGGGATTTCCAGCTGTCGCATTGGATTTTTGGAATTTGCGATTCGCAGCTCTTTGCCGATAACACCGATGGACGAGGGCTCCCCCATGCCGCGGAAGGCCAAGCGGTTGGTCCGAGCATACTTCTGATGTTAGCCAGGCAATGAACCGAGGTTCGTGGGTTCAGAGTGCAGTGTGCTACTAACCAATGCGTGACCAAATCTAAGTGATTTCCTGGTCAAATGAGCATTGAGACATCGGTGCTCATCGCCTGTTCACAGCCTTGAACCTGTGGTGAAAATTCCTTCCTGACAAAGTGGTAATCATTTTATCGACCATGGGGGGGGGGGGGGGTGATAGGCTGATTTAACTCAAACCAGGATTTGTACTCGGAACCTTCCAACTGTGAGCTGATTACGCTGCTGCTGTGCCACTTGGCCGAATACTGCGGCAGCAGTCTGCTTGAATAGAATGTCAGCTGTTAAAAATAACGCTACGTTCACAGACTGACGCTGACCTTGTTGCGATACCTTTTGAGAGCGCTTTGATGTCTTCGACTTAACAGCAGTGGGTGTGCGCTGCGGCAATATCCCACTGAATTGTAAACTCAGTGGCGGCCCATTGAGAAGTGTGATGGCCGGTGGCTGCGACATTCAAAACCCGACAACTCACAACTGTCGCAGTCACAAGCCCTTTTTGACAGCCAGACCAGTACGAAGATGGGGCTTTTCTGCCCTTACAGCAGCCTATAACACCTGCTTAATGGATGGTGGTCGCCCATACAAACACTATCCAGGCAACGCTGCTTAGCTTCCGAGATTCGATGAGATAGGACACAATCTGTGCGAGTTGGCAAAACAAAGTACTGCACAAATTAAGTGACACCGGTGTTTTTTTTTCAGCGCAGTAACCCATGACATACACACGTGCTGGGTTCTCTACTTGGGACCGATGAATGAAACTATTCATCGCAATGTTCTTTATTAGCCCAGGGAAGCTTCGTTTAACCTCACCACTCATTCAGCAGGGCTAAACACATTTGGCTGTTTGGCCAATTCCAGCAATGGGTGTTTGGCAAGTGCAATTAAATCGGACTACCCGGAAAAAATTCACACATTAGAGGTGGTAACACTCAAAGCCCCGTACGGATGGATTCACCAATACGTTGCTGTACCACCACCTGGCAGCTTAATGGAAGCTCTATTAAGCACCTAAATACAGCCTCACACGCCTCTGAATGATATAATCAATGCCCACTTGTGGGAAGATCCGACACGGAGCCCGTAAAACCCTTCCTGTCAAAACTCTCGCGACAGCAGAGGAGTTGCGGCAAATTTCTAAACCCCGCTTGGTATTGCCATCGCGATAAAGGGGCACCCACAATATGCAAAACCCGGACGTGCAAATCTCATTTGAACTAAAATTAGAGATGATAATTTGAGCAAACAGGTTACTGTGGCATGCATGTAGTCAGAGCTCAAGCAACCAAAGTGGTTTTCTGCTCAAATAAGCATCAAGGCACAGTGCGGGTCTCCCGTTTAGAGCTCTGAACCTGCCTGAAACTTGCACAATCCTATGGCGATGGTCGAGTCGATCCACAGGACAAACTCTGTTTTGGCTTTCCTCTGCAAAGTGGTAATCATTCTATCGATCCCCAAGTCAACCGTCAACCAGATTTTGAACTCACAACCTTTTCTGATAGCGAGCTACTCGCTTCTGGTCACCTAACGTGGCCAGAAAAGTAACCGCCCCACCACCGATTGCAACCCGTGCCCACGGCGTAGAGCAGAGACTTCCAAGCACACGTGCATTGTACGCGTCCGTAGAGACAAATGGTTTACGGATGGCATGGTGTTTTGGCATTGCAGGTTATGATGCGAAAGTCCGTTGGTTGCTTTAACTTGCTTTATAATACTTGAATCGATACAAATTCTTTACGATTTATTTCCCTTGGCAACAAGAGTGTGATGATGCGATCCCTCTAACACAGTGAAAACTTAGGAGCGCGCACTCAAGCTACAGAGGTGGCAACAGCCCACATTCACGACGCCCAATAAATAGCTTGTGCCGACAGAAAGCTTCACTCTTGGGGACATCCTAAACCCAAGGGGTCAAGTGTCTGCCAAGACACACACGCACATGCGTACTCGCACACATCAACCCATCAACCCTCCTCAAGTCGGGTCTCTCGCCACAATGCAACATGACTGTCATTTTACGAAATGGGTTTTCTGCATCCTTGCTCAGCCACACCAGGGCCACACACTCAAAAAGCCAGTGAGCACATTCTGTGCGTCAGTTTGGACATAACCGAACCACACGTCCCACGGGCTGCCCCTGCCACACTCTCGGCCCCCCGCTTATCCCAGCGCAATTCTCATCGCCGACCTATTTAAATAATTTCCAATTACAAATGGGGTCTTCATTATGTAACGGGCACCTTGCGCTTTCCAATGCGCCTGGTCTTATATATGAGCTACCGATAGCGTGTGCGGCATGCCGTCGCCAGGGCCACGCTGTAAACGGGATTTCCTCTGACACCGAGATGAATTACCAATTTTATTTATAAACAGAAGGCGGGTTGGAGCGGTGAGACAGTCGTCGGCACGATGTGCTCTTAACTCGGCGATCTCAATGTGGTTCTTGCCCATGGCTAACCACCGGTGGCAATTTATCTCTCAACCGGTCCTGGTTTCCCCTGCATTGACCAGTGTGGTGCAGCATTATCAAACGGCCCTTCCTCATCCAGTCGATAATTGACAAAGGGCTGTCATTTATTTTCACATTCGAAAGGAAACGACACGCATCTGAGAGAATGTCGACCGAGGAGATGTGGCAATGAAATCGGCTCAAGTGCACGTGCGAGGTGGATTCGTTACGTCGAAAGAATCGCGAGAGATGGCGGCGGCTTGAGAAGGCCTTCAACAGGCAGTGGAGTGATCATGGTTTAAATCATTATATAGAAAAGCGGACAAATGGCCGAGGGAAGAGTAACGCTCTCACCGAGCCAGTACTGCTGATGACCCTGTGCATAGCTCTCAGTGGGCCGTCGAGATATCACCAGACTCTCCACGGAGTTGCCGGTCTCGTTGCACAGCGGCCAGGCCACGAGCCGACAGAACCGCAGAACTGGCGTGGCGACCACGCGGCCTGCCTCTCTCAAACGCACGCGCGCGTGTCCGCTTGCCCTCTGCGCGCTCTTGGGATGGAATTAGCACTGGCGTGGGCAACGTCCGCCGCTTTTAGAGTTTCCCCCCGCCCCCGTCCCCCCCGCCTTGTTAGCCAAGTATGGGCAGCGGTGCAAGGCACGGCGGAGTTACGCGGCAGTGTGGCTGCGAGCCAAGCACCACTGGGGAGATCGCCCCCAAATAAAATCAAGAGTCGAGAAGCACCGAGAAAACAAAACATCCGTTCATTTAAAAAAAAACAGAGCTGGTAGAGTCACATGAACAGGTCAAGGAATTAACAGATAAGGTCATAAGTCAAGATCGGTAGTGGTTTTCCTGCTCAACTGAGTGTGGAGGTGGATGCTCATCTCTTTATAGCCGAGCCAAGGGTGGAAGTTTGTCATTCGTATGATGGGGGGGGGGGGGACAGTCTTTCCTCTCTCTCCGAGAGCGAGCGAATATACACTGTGCGGCCCGTCACAGTCCAGGATCGACACATCCCGAGTACGCATCATCTACAACGTAAGCGTGTCGTTGTACGTCGGCGTCTTTGTCCGATGCGAACATCTTTCGACGCCCTTGCCACCTCCGTGCGTCAGATTCGCCCAAGCGGGGGGAGGACGAGAATGAGACAGTGGCGACGGTGGACGCGGGCGACGAGTCGGAGCTCGACGAGACGTTCCGCAACCGCCACCACATCGCCGACACGCTGCAGCTCAACGACGACACCCCACGCGATGACTACCCAGGTCGGGGGACAAAAGTTGGGGCAATTTGCCCACTAAGACGATCGCAGTTTGACGTGGTAGATTACTCGGGGTCATTTGGAAAAACGGCGGCTGCTCCCAACATCCTGCCTCCCTAAGGCCGGAAACCCCCTGCAAGGCACGCTAAGCGCGACGCAGACGATGCTGTTGATGACATCAACAATCCCCACTCATCAGTTCCCCTTCAGCGGTACACGTGGGAACAGCAGTGATGTTTTTCTCAAAAATTTTTGCTCTTTTCGGTAAAGTCACGTATGTAGAAATACCATAAAAATTATATTAAAATAAATCAATCACGACGTTTCGACCGCAACACGAGCGATCTTCATCAGGTGTAAAAAACAAATAGCGAGGGAGCATACAGGGCGACACCAACGCAACACATAGAGAGCGCCAAACTGCACGGAGGTAGATACAGCAAGAAGATGAGAGACGAGAATTCAACAAACCTAAGAAAAAATTACGTGATGCAAAACCAGTCAGGCCAACAACACAGTTTAGACACTTGCCTGGCGGACCACGAATTTCAGAAGAGTGCTAAATTTCGTGTTCATCCTCTGGAATGAACATACCAGCATAGACAGAGTGAACAAATACGAGATACAAGTCCGCAGAAATACATATACAGGGACAGCAAGAGGCAAGGAGAGTAAAGACGAACAGAGAAGCAAGGAAAAAGAAAAAGGGCCGGAGGGATGAACAGACAGAGGCCTTAAATAAGAAGTAGAGGTGGGGGGGAGGGGCCAAAGAGAGCCAAGTGGCACGGCAGCAGAGGCGGGGGGAGGGGTACGAGAAAGCAAGGGGATGCAACACGTTTAGGGCAGAATTGTAAAGGTAACTTCCCCGTAGAAGTGTGTCAATAAAGAATTAAAGCTTTCGTGACTGCATAAATTGCTGTGTTTTTTCGTTAAAGTCACATATGTAGAAATACCATAAAATTATATTAAAATAAATCAATCATACGTGACTTTACCGAAAAAACCAATGAGCAAATTATGCAGTCACGAAAGCTTTAATTCTTTATTGACACACTTCTGCGGGGAAGTTACCTTTACAATTCTGTCCTAAACGTATTGCATCCCTTGCTTTCTCCTACCTCTCCCCCTACCTCTGCGGCCGTGCAACCCTGCTCTCTTCGGCCCCTCCCCCCCACCTCTACTTCTTATTTAAGGCCTCTGTCTGTTCATCCCTCCGGCCCTTTTTCCTTGCTTCTCTGTCCGTCTTTCCTCTCCTTGCCTCTTGTTGTCCCTGTATATGTATTTCTGCTGACTTGTACCTCGTATTTGTTCACCCTGTCTATGCTGGTATGTTCATTCCAGAGGATGAACACGAAATTTAGCACTCTTCTGAAATTCGTGGTACGCCAGGCAAGTGTCTAAACTGTGTTGTTGGCCTGACTGGTTTTGCATCACGTAATTTTTTCTTATGTTTGTTGAATTCTCGTCTCTCATCTTCCTGTTGCTTTTACCTCCGTGCAGTTTGGCGCTCTCTACGTGTTGCGTTGGTGTCGCCCTGTATGCTCCCTCGCTATTTGTTTTTTACACCTGATGAAGATCGCTTGTGTTGTGGTCGAAACGTCGTGATTTATTTATTTTAATATACTTTTATGGTATTTCTACATACGTGACTTTACCGGAAAAAAACAATGAGTAATTTATGCAGTCACGAAAGCTTTAATTCTTTATAAATTTTTGCTCTATCCGATTAGTTCATACTGTAAATTACTAACCAATCGGATAGTCCCAGCTCTTGCTGGGACCAACATCGTCATCCCAGCAGTGGTCTTGCTCGCTCGCCTGCTCGAGCTGCAGCTCCAAATTAAGCAATTTGTAAGGATTTCTTATTTGATTTGGCAAACTCAGATCATGACGTTTAATGTCAGCGTCATTTGTTTAATGTAGGCATTTCTAAAAGTTGACATGCAAAGGACTACATTTGCAGGGCTTCTGGACCGTTTAAAAAAAATCTACCACACCTCCATCAAGCCCCTGGAGAGGATCTACAAGTACGACTCCATCCGCCAGCACGACATGACCGGTAACCGTGGGAACTGCGAGACCACGCACCAACACCGCGGCACAGGTGGCAACACCACTCCACGACCACACACCAGCATAACAAACCCATCACCGTTACATTGCAAGCAATGAGCCCGCACTACTGACGCATCACCACAAGCGTAATTTCCCGGGCAATGGGTGATAAATGTAAACTTGCTTTGGTGCGAGTACAGGACTGCTGGATACTGCAAGATCGGGGATTAGGAATGAAAGCCAAGATGTATCGTTAACTCTCTACCTCGTGTTTGTGGACCCCCCCCCCTCTCACGATAAGACCATGGGGACAAGCTCAGCCGGTTTCAGAACAAGCAGAAAATAATACCGGAGAACTCATCACGTAACCACTGCACTGAAATGACGCCGTGACGAAAATGAGGTCACATTTTACAGGCTTTGGCCTGACCATAAGGCTATTCTAATGCTATCATCATCTATTATCAGTATGATAAATGATACCCAGACACAGCTGGTCATTTCCAGTGGTTCTGTGTTGCCGTTCACCCTAACCCTGTGTGCCATACCCTTGCTAACACTCGTCCTAACAGTCTACCATTCCACCACCCACTCCGTGCCCCTCTCCACTGTAGCTAGCCACGGAAGAAGTATCAGCACATTTGACGGTGAGTACTGGGCTGCTGTTTGTACATGCGTGTCTGCATACAAGCACACAGGGCAGTCACCCAAGCACAGGCCCTGGTGACACGTGTGTGTGTAGGCATGTTACGTTAATTATAATAACGACCTTGATTTTCCTTGGAATGTAACGCCTGAGTCTCAAGACTCTTTGCGCAGGAAGATCCTGCATCGTGCATGTATGGCCGATTACCAGGCACAACCCTGCTTTAGCTTCCTAGATTTTATAACATCAGACAGATTCATCAGGGTGACGAGGTCAAGAGGCAAAATATTTTCACACACAACCCAGCGGGGTCTGCCGAAACGTCACGATGCAACGTTGCTCGTCGATATTTTTTGTTGGCATAGTGGTGCACGTTGAACCTCTTGTGGCTGCAGCTGTCATGTTCACCAATTGCATATTATATACGGTCACGACTTGACGCGTGTATCGGCGGCATTGGAATCAATGAAACCTGAGGAATCCATAAATACTAGTCCTCATTTCCGCACATTAAAAAAACAACCCTTTTGCTCTTCCACCTACATACAAATAATCACCTCGCCTGCTCTTCCCTTTGCAGCCTAAATTTGTCCTCAACCACACTCATTACACATGAAAGGACAATTCCCTGATTGCGTTGAGATGGATGTGCGCAGTGTACCGCGCCGGTGATAAATCTACCCGCATCCGCTTTTGATTTCAATGTTTACTTTGTTCGAAAGTGCAGTGTTCATTTCCACGCTTGAGCTGCACAGCTTCTTTAGATAAAGGTGTTTAGATGCTATATCAGTGCTGGAAAGCGTGCGCAATATGAACTCAAACTGTTATCCTTCCTCAGTGTGCATGTCTGGCTATATGTTCCGCAGAGAGTGAGATCATCGCCAAACCCCTGGTGCTGTTCCTGGGTCCCTGGAGTGTCGGGAAGTCGTCCATGATCAACTACCTGCTAGGCCTAGATGACAAGGCCTTCTCACTTTACACAGGTGAACATCATCATCATCATATGTGATGACCAGTCCACTCTCGGATGAAGGCATCCTCAATCTGTCGATGTCTATTACGGTCCGGCGATATAAGAATCCACCATGCTACATGCACACGAGCCGATTTCATTCCAATGCTCAATCTTCCTGGGAGATGTCCTCTCTCGGTCGCGTTCCCTCGCTTGGCTGCCACTCGACCACCAGTTAATCATCTCTCTCAGCAACGTGTCCCACCCAAGGCCACTTAGTTTTATTAACAGTCAAAACGAAGTATTCAACCTGCGTATTGTTTTACAATCCGTCTCTCAATGTTATTCCAAGCATGTCACAGCTATGAAATCAAGCTCGTCGTCATCCAACAAGGACGGCAATGATGATGGTAATTTATAGCAACAACAAAAAATGTGATGGTGCAGCTATGCCATTTATTGATCAAGCGATGGCTGGTGGAAAAGCCTCCACCACAAGAGAGCGCTAGAGAGATCGCCTCGAGAAGGTATTTGGCCTACTCTTCCACACTAGCCAGATGTCTTGAAAGAGACAGAGGCATCCGCACTTCACACCACTACAGGCAACATGCCAATCGACTCGCTGTAGCGTGCCCATATACACTGTCGACTGGACAGAGGCGGGGGGAGGGGCTGGTGGGATGTAAGAAACTTGCCCATTGTTACGACTCCTGCTGACGATCTTCGCAGGAGCTGAGCCCACAACGTCGGAGTTCACGGTGATCCGACACGGCACTAAAGTCAAGCACCTCGAGGGCATCGTGATGGCCACCGATGGCTCGCGCACCTTTGCCTCGCTCGAAAAATTCGGCCAAAGCTTCCTGGAGAAGTTCTCCGGCGTCGAGATGCCTCACAGGCTGCTGGAGCGCGTCACCTTCGTGGACACACCAGGCATCATCGAGAACCGGAAGCAGCAACAGCGAGGTGAGCGCTGTGCCAGTCGCTGTGCCGATGAACAGGTACTCAATTTACAAGAGTAATTTACAGCCCTTCGTCGAATGTGCCGTTGGATGGTAGGGCCCTCCCCACACTGTCGATCATGGGGATTTGTTTTGACCAAACTTCACCACCATGGTCAGTGCGGGTCGGTGAAGGGTGGGGGGGGGGTGCGGGAGGCCAGGATCAGCTCAGATGTCACTCAGTGAAGTTAGCCACGGCCGGGGAATCCAACTCCGTTGCCTCATTTAGTGTGCAACGCGTTAAGCACTGCACCACCGCTCCACCCCCACTAACCTTGCACAAGAATAAGTGCCAGCGTGCCAACAGGTACCGTGGGGGATGGAGCTGCCCTGTGTTGGGCTGTGGTTTGAAGCCCTGAAATGTTGTTTTAGTGCCATTTCGAACTAAAAATGTGGGGGGGGGGGGGGGGTTTCCCTGCATGTTTGTGCTTAATAGGGTTGCTCACGAGGTTTCCTGTTGCGAGCACTCAAAAGTGCCAACACTGTCCTACAGATAGTCCTGCTCTCACCATAGGCATGCGGAATTTCCACCCCTGCCTCGGGTCCGCAAACAGCAGATGAGTACCACCCAATGCTGGTGCGAATGCCCTGTGCGCGCACAAGGCCTCACGTTCCCCGCCCCCACCCCCGTGACCGAGAGCAGGCTACCCCTTCAACGACGTGTGCCAGTGGTTCATTGACCGCGGTGACCTCATCTTCGTGGTGTTCGACCCCACCAAGCTGGATGTCGGCCTGGAGCTGGAGACGCTCTTCCGGCAGCTCAAGGGTCGCGAGTCGCAAATCCGCATCATCCTCAACAAGGCCGACAGCGTCTCCACGCAGCAACTCATGCGTGTCTACGGTGCCCTCTTCTGGAGCCTCGCACCGCTCATCAACGTCACAGAGCCCCCGCGCGTCTACGTCAGCTCCTTCTGGCCGTACGCCTTCCGCGTCGACACCAACAGGGGCCTCTTCCTCGCCGAGGAGACCTCGCTGCTCGACGACCTCCGGCAAATCATTGCCAACCGCATGGAGAACAAGATCGCCCTCATCCGGCAGCACGCCATCCGCGTGCGCATCCACGCGCTCGTGGTCGACCGCTACGTGCAGACGCTGCGCACGCGCTCCTCCTTCTTCAGCAACGCGGAGCAGGTGTTCGCCGACATCGTGGAGCACCCGGAGGAGTACAACATCTACGGCTCCGTGCTGGCAAACTCCAATGTCAGCAAGTTCGACCTGCCCGACCCCAAAACCTACAAGTCGTTCTTCGGCGCCAATTCCGTGGCGACGATCCGTCCGCTCTCCTACCACTGCAGCTACACCAACGGATGTCTCCTCGACAAAATCGAACGCGCCATCTCCGTCGAGCTGCCCGCGCTGCTTGGCTCGCTGTCGCCGGTCACCCGCTTGAAGGTTCGCGCGACGGCGCCCTCGTGCGGGTCGTACTTGTGCAACGAGACGCCCAAGAATCGCTACGTCAAGCCATGAGCGCCGGTGCCGGGACGCGCCGGGGGAAGGGCTGCCGACGAGGTGCGCCAGTTTGCCCCCTCGAAAACGACGCCTCTCATCACCACCACCACCACCACCCAGAATTCCATCTTCTCCCAGCAAAGAGCACTGGGGGCAACGCTATGAAGACTGTACCCAAGTGCCGCTCCAGGGCCCACAATGCACATGGCTCAACGCACTGAAGGTCACTGTTTGCAGTCAACTGATGGACATTTGCTACAGCTTGTGTCTTTAAAAACTCAATACTATGCAGACACGTATCTTTAAGTACTACAAATGTATATGTCTGCATAGTTGTATGCTTGCATATACACGGGTGTGCATACAGAAAGGGGATATTGATAATTAAATTCTAATTTATGAATCTAATTAAACAATTCCGGAAGTGATATATTAAGCTAATCACTTTAAGTTTAACACAATAGCCCAATTGTAATTTCTTGCATTCAGCATTTGAAGTGTGCCAAGTGTCGGTCATGGTGCAGTGAAGCCTATTTGAAGCCTGCCAGTTGTTCATCTTGTGAGTGAACACCCCTAATGCGATGTGCGTGCATGTCGGGTGTTTGTGATTCTCCTGTAATATTCCAGGAAAGCGAGACTACTGTTTCGCACGCGTGTGCTTGCCTGCGTAGGGGTGTAAGTGTATTGTGTGACGTTTCTTTGACGAATTCGGTTTTTAAGGCAGATTTGAATGATCAAGGTTCAGTAAGCTTTCTGTTAAAAAATAAACGTAAGGGGCCATGAAAAAACATGAATGATACATTCCAATGATTCATATTTAATGTCAACAGGTGATAATTTGCAAGTGCAACGTCCGTAATCTATTTATTACGTGGGAATAATAAAAAAAGTTTTGATAATTGGAGGTGGCCCGGGTGGGCTGAGAGGTCTGACGACTAAGCCAGCGCCACTGCATTTCCTGGGTTTGATTCTGGGCGGCTGTCTGTAGAGTTCTCAAGCGGAGTGAGTTTAAAGCCTCAGGCCAGTCACCAATAACCGGAAAAAAAAAACAATTAAAAATATTTCTGCACTTAATCTGGCCAAATTAAAGTCGACAATAAAAGTGCTATAATATCGGTTTGACCGTCAAGCCATGGACATTTATGTCTGCAGTGAGGCGGGGTGGGACAGTGCTGCCAATGAAGAGTAGATAAGAGGTCGATTTAAATAATTTGGAAGTACTTCTGTGAATCTCATTCCAATAAAGTTGCTCTTGCATCAGGTGCTGCACTACCCTGCAAGCATTCCAAATGGATAATTCCTTCAATATTATGACGCTGATAGCACAATCGGGAAAAAATGGCGGAAAAGAAGCACGTATATTTTAAAAAGTATGAATAATTTACAAGTTGCACACAATAATTCAAAAATGATCATTTAGTGAGAAACCGTAGGAAGCTATCCCGAAAAAGTCATGCTAACTTACACAGAGGCGAGGGCAATATTCACAAGACAGTACCCCAGACTGTGCAAACATACGGGCGTTCAAAATACAGGGCCACCATTTAATCATGTGGACTATTGACGCAAGTGCTGCTAGCATCAACTAAGACTGGCACGGAGAATGAGTGGGGTTGTGCTGCCTTTGTGTTACCAGTGATGTTTACACATTACACCGGCTACTCATTTAAGGCCAAGTCGATATGGAAAATATCCAAGACCCGTATATCGCTAGTCACTCGCATGCATGGCTGCAAATGGAACCAGGGCCTGTGCCGAGTCACCCTTGTCCCACACAGGGACAACTGGCACCGAGAACGGGCTTCAAATAATGTTTGATACAAGATATGATGCATGGAAATTCGAGTTGGCTACGTACGGTGCGAAAGACGTTCAACATACATACATTTAAGCGCCATATACATGCAAGATTATTATTATTGGAATTGCAGTGCTGTGCACACCCATCACTACGAGCCACTGCCCCGCACAACCTCCGCTAGCAAACGACAAATTACACGTCACCTTGGGAGTGATCTCTTTGAGGATGCGGCTGGCATCTTCATCGTAGTCTAGCTTGCAGGCCATGGCCAAGTCCTTGCTGGACTCCTCCCAGTGGCCCAGCAGCCTGGAGGGCACCACGAGAACAGGGGCCCGACGAAGAAGGTGCGAGACCGAAGAGGGAACGGAGATGTCACATGGCACCCACGCACACAAGAGCGCGTGCGGTGATGCAGACTCAAGAAGAGTCCAGCATATGCGTGTGTATGCATGCGCAGATGAGCGAGCAATCGTGCGTGTTAGGTCACGAGTGCATGAGTTTGTGTGTTCATGCCAGCGAATGTGTGTATGTGTGGGAGTATGTGCACAGGTGCGTATGCGTGCGTGAGCTAGCGAGTGTGAGCGCGTGTTCGTGACCGAGCACGTGTGTGCGAGTGGATATGCTTGTCAGCGTACGTGTGCGGGTAAGCGCGAGTGTGTTCACGCACGAATGCGTGTGTACGCAAGCACGAAAAGACACATCTTTGTCTTGTATGAGCATGTGAGCACATGTTTGTGCGAGAGTATGCGCTTATCGATCATCGTGCAGTTAGCATACTGCATTACGAACCTGGCGACCCGGTTTCAATTACTGCCCACGGCCAACACCAGTGACGATTATCTGAACCGGTTATGGGCCTCTCCTAGGTCGACTCGGCCTCAAAATAAGTACCTAGCACAATTTGTAAACATTGCCACTGGGGAGACAAAGGCGGCCGGGCGTGGTGTTGGCCACCCGCCGTGCCGGCCTTCATAGGTGCTCGCTAACAGCACTTGCCCAAACATTCCGTTACAGGCTACACGGGGGATCTTTGTCTTTGTAGGGCGAGTGTGCGCACGAGTCCGTGTGTATGGTATGTGAGTGTGCATGTGTGCGTGCGTGCGTGCGTGCAGCACCCCACCGGTGAGCGATGCCCCTCCACTTGTACGACTGCGCCGAGTCAGGGTTGATGCTGATGGCTCGGTCTCCGTCGCGGATCGCTGCGTTTGGCTTCTCTAGCTTCACGTACACACTGACCACAAAGACAAAGATCCCCCGTATAGCCTTACCAGACTGTTGGGGCCAGAGCTGTTAGCGAGCAGCTATGAAGGCCTCGAACGGCACATGAGGGGGTGGGCGGTCAGCAACACACCCGGTCGATTGTGTCCTTAGTAGCAATGTTTACACATCGCATTAGGTACTCATTTGAGGCCGAGTCGACCTAGGGGAGGCCCAGGACCGGTTCAGATAATTGTCACTGGTGTTGGCCGTGAGCGGGAATCGAACTCAGGATGCCGAGTTCGTAACGCAACACGCTAACCATTGCGCTGCCAAACACGTGTATCCGTGCACGCAGGCCAGCAAACACCACCTCCTTAAGTCTTGGATTGACCAATCAGGGCCATTTTAACCCAGTGGCCAATGCCGTGAACACCAGGCTCCAGTTCCCCAACGTTTGTAGTGAAGCTGAATCACTGTGGGTCTTTTATTTAAAGCAATTCTTCGTCGCTGTTACTTTGCGAAAATGTTTGTGGGATTCAGAACACACTATGTATGTAGCAATTCATCGGTCCTCTCCTCCCCCTTCAAGTGGATGACTTGTTATGTTTGTTCCTGTAGACAAGTTCTGCGTTAAAGACAAACTATGCTTCCAATATATATTTTAAAACCCTTTCCTGGTGATATAGCAATCAGCAACTTTTCAGTGGTACTGCAATAATTAACTCCTAAAGCAATTAACCGTAATTGCAATTTAATACTGATTGTAAGTGTAATACTAATGAGATAGGCATGGTTACACAACACTACTATATAATTCCAACTGCTGATTGTGAAAGCCCAGCAAGGACCATTGGAGGAAACAAACCTGGCCCTCTTCGCATAGAGAATGGCAGAGGAGGGGTTCAATTTGATGGCCTCTGTGAAGAGCTCAATGGCTTTCTGGAGTTCCCCTGTCACACACACACACACAAAGACAACAATCCCATGCACAGCCTTTACAGTCTGTTGGGTCAAGTGCTGTAAGCGAGAACTTATGAATGCCGGCCACAGCACACGAGGAAGTGGGTGGCTAGCACCACGCCTGGCCACCTTCATCTTCCGCGTGGAAATATTTACACATCGCATCAGGTCCTCATTTGAGGCCGAGTGCACCTAGGGGAGGGTTCAGAACCAGTTCTGATAATTGTCGCTGGTGTTGGCTGTGAGCGGAAATCTAATTCGGGTCGCCAAGGTTCACACACACGACCCAAGTTCACACACACGACCCAGGTTCACACACACACGCATACAAACATCCACCGCTTAGCTATACAGACTGAAAGACAATATTTCTGCAATGTAGCCGGTGAGGTCACAGACCAGTAAAAGCTCCTCCCTGACCTTATCCATGGCTGGGATCATACCCAGGTATGCCAGGTTCATAGCCGAGTGCACTAACCACTGCACCACTGCTCACGTAGTGAAATTTAGTGCAGCACGGTATATTTAGTAGGCATGTAATGACTCATCCATTTAAATGAATTCTTACGATCCACGAGAAATGTGAGATTGTGTGTAAAAGAACAGTCAATGTGCGATGAATACGAATATATTGAATTGTCTTGCAAGATAATATATCCAATCAGTCAGTTTATTTTAGGTAAGTCCCACTGAGCTAGGATGAACAAGACTACAAACCCGACCAAACTATATAAATAAGACGAAAAAATATTCTTGAATGGACATGTGATCCTGAACGGTGACAAGTGAATCATGATTAATGGTTACACTTAATATTCATCATCAGTGTTTCATACAGCAATGTGCCGCTGTGTACTCCTGTCCCCATGGCTGTGGCCTTACCATCGGCCAGGGCACTCATGGCCTCGCCCTTCTTCTCGTTAGCCTGGTCCATCATCTCCTCCGACACCTGTGGCACACACAGCGGGTGACGCTAAGCTACGTGTACATTATTGGCTGTGCGCAGACGTTCCAAGTGAAGTTATGTTTAAAATGTGATTAGCCAAAGGTTATAACTCAAAGAGACAAGAAGAGTCTCTCATTTGACCCGGGTCACTAAAATAACATAAAAAATACAAATTCAACAACGACGCAAACAGAAAAATCGGAGCAAACACAAAAAGATGTGAGAGTGTATACAAGCGTGCCGGGCCCACATTGGGATTTAATCAGGGCTCAACACACTTGTGGTGCTGTAAAATCACACGCTGAAAATACATTACTACCATTATCACCAATGCAATGCAATTAACAATACAACTGGGATTTAAAGGGCACCTAAACGTGACCACATCTCAAGATGCTGTACAATACTATTTTTTTTTTATATATATCATATTGTGCTCTCCATCATTAAAAAAAACCTAAGCATTAAATTCAGCAGCTGCACATAGCAAACAACAGGCAATCCATACAGTACCTGCATACGAGCAAATCTCATTGTTCCATCTCCGCGATGGATGTGCTTCTCAGGTGCTCTCCTTGATCATGAATAAAAATCATGTAATGGTGAAGAGGGTCAAGATGTGCTCACCTCAACCTCAGCGTCGCCCATGTCCTGCGGTGGATCATGGTCCTCCTCCACCACGCCATCATCGTCAATGTCTGCGCACAGGGGGAGGATAAAGAATCGTTAAAACTTCCGCAAGCCGACACCAGCAGATCCATTAGCAACAACGACACCAACATCACATCCACCATTATGCTCAACAGCTTATTTACCAACACTATTCATATTACCGGAAGAATCAGCACCGATTCAAACATCAGCACCAAAACTACCATCCGTAGTAACAGTAGAATCACCTTTCACAGACTGTTGGGGCAAGTACTGTGAACGAGCGCCTATTAAAGCAGAAATTCCAGCATCACGCCCAGCCACTTTGTCTCACCAGTGTTGATGTTTACACACAGTACCAGGTACTCATTTAAGGCTTTGTCGTGTGAGTGGATGCCCAGTTCATGTATCACTCGCCATCAATATCAGCCATGGCCGGAATTGAACTCGGGTCATCAGGCTCGTAGTGCACTGCGCTAGCCACTGTTCCACCCACTCCACTGGTGGTAGTGCCACTAAAAACACCAGCACGGGAAAAGGCATCAGCAGCGCGAGCATTCGCAGCAGAGACTCCCACGTAGACACCGTGTTGAAAGCACCAGCAGAAAATAACACAAGCACCAGCATGCAAAACGACACCAGCAGCACCAGCAAGAATGTGCACCACAGCAGGAGCGGTATTGGCAGAGGGAAGTAGAGGGCTGAGGTACGCAAGGATTAACGTACCCAGATCGCTCTCTTCGCTCTCACGCTCTGGTTCTGGTTCGGGTGCTGAAGTGGATGGGGGTGGGGACGTTGGCTTCTTCTCCTCCTGCTCAGCAGACATCACAAATGCACCACGCCATTACCACGACTACCACCAATGGCCAATTAAACATAAGGATCAGGATTTGCATTCATAGGGCGCTTAAATGCCTCGGCAACTGAAAGCGCCTTACATTACATCTCGTATAAACCATTCCACTGCCTTGCTGCAGTCTATTCAACAGGGCCCCCTAGTGGTAGCTATCCCTGTGCCCAGAGTGTGACTGCGGCTCACAAACCTTCATATGAGAGCACATAAACAATTAAGGACCCTCCTGAAAAAAACAGTCCAATGACTGAGTGTGGCTTTCCTGGATAAATAAGTCAATTATTGATAGGAGTTTATGCAGGTCACAGAATCTGCGAGTCTATGCCTCTCTCTGTGCATGAACACCGACTCCTCTGTCTGACCAGTCGACGCCTTGTTAATGTCAACGTGGGTTTATGGGTCTCAAGGTGGTATCTGTGTGGATCTATGGGTCTCTATATTATCCCTGGCTTATCTGTCGTATCAGACCACGCCCCCACAACAGTCCAGGTGGAAGTCTGAGAGGGAAGGGAAATCAAAAGGGTCAGTGACATCGCGCTACCAAACGAGGTGGGCAGTGGGCGTGATTTTTGTGGCACTGAAGCAGAGAATGGCAGGTTCAAAGGACTCCTGTGGTTATTTATAACAGCCATTGTTGGTGGCGAGGTTACTGGATTATACTCAAGATTTGCAGAATTTTATCACCGTTAGCCAGTTTGGGAATCGCTGTAAATGAAGGCCATGTTCAAATTTCAAGATAATAAAATAATTTGAAAAGAAAACCGTTTAAGGTGATGTAATAAAATACAATGACATCACCCATTGTGGACTGCCTCGTTTTGATCACTGGCAGTGTTGAATGATGAGTGTGCTGCGCAAATGGGCGTGGTGTACCACACTGCATTGGCATGGTTTGCTGCCAGCGTAATGATCTAATGAGAAACGTAGCACCATCACGATTGCCTTGCACCTATAAGAATGGTGCGAATACCAAATGTACTAATTATTATTGAGGTGGAGCAAAAAGTGCCTTGGGGGGGGCAGGCTTGGCTGCACTTGGCTCCTCTGGTGCTGCTGGCACCTGGGCTCCCATGCTGAAACGGCATCAGATGCACACGGGTCAAAGGTTAACCTCTCAAGACCAGCACAACAACCTCCCCAACACACAAGCCAGTGCTACCTGCCACCTCATTAAATTAATCATCAGCCATGGTCAATCTACTGCTGGATGTCAGCTTCCATAAGGCGCTGTCATCTCGCGCAAGCCTGCGATGCATAAAATCCATCAAGCATGAGCACAAGCAGATTTTACGGCTCCATATTTAGGCGGACATCCTCGCGGAAGCATACCTGTCACCAAATATTGAGGCAATGTGATCGCTAAAACACTCGTGTTATAAACATTTGCGTAGACCACTGCAACATTCCAACGCTAATTGCTGTAAAGGGTTCCCCGAGTAGAGCAATAAAGTTCCGTAGGGCATTCTCTGCAGAAAGGTTGTGATAGAGAAAAATCAATTCTGGCCACCTGGAAATGTGTATCAACCAGATCACAGACAGTAAACCTCGGACTCAAATAACAACAATTTTTTTCATGGTTATCACATTCAAATGTGAGTTATGGGCAGAGTTAATAAATTCGTTTGAATATTTACCCAAAACCCAATTCATCAGAGCCACAAATCCAAGAGTATGAGCAGCCATCAGCAGTCATCTCTGGGCATTGCCACCATTTTCTTTTTCCCCCTTCATGGACGGACATGCTCAATGGGTGACGCCCTATGAATGAATGGGGGTGGAGGTTTTACGAGGCTCCTCCTTCCACACGCCCTGCACGTGTTGGCGTGCTCCCCAGGCCATGGGCTCTGCAAACGTCGGCAAACCAGAATGAATATAATAGTGGTCAACAGCAGGCACCGGTCTGCATTGAGCCAAAGGTGGCCCCATTATTAAGCAAATACAGCAGCAAGGGATTCCTGCTGCAATTCTTGGCTGAGCTAAGGTGCGGTGGTCACGTGCACAAGACACCAGACTTTTTTCCCCGCAGATGACGTGGTGGTGGAGGAGGGGGTGGTGAAATGAGGACAAGACGAGGCTTTTAAAGTCCCCGTTGGCCCAAATGCCAGATTTATCGGTGGGACGCCATCGGGACAGACGGGACATCTGCTGAGACCATGCAGAGAGCCGGGACCCCACAACAAAGCAGGGGGGGGCACTTTTTTGAGATCCTGTGTTGAACTAATTCGCTCATAATGAAAGCACGGTGAAGCTTCTGGATGAAAATAAGTGTTATAAAAAGCGCACTGCAGTTGTGGCTATTATTTAAAGAGGAAAATCTATTCCTTTATTAAATCAAAGTGAGATTTCACAGAGGCAAACGTGAACAAATGAACACATACATCCTCTTTGGACAGTTCTGTGAATGGATTTATATTTAGCGTTCTATTCTTTCATCATCGTTGTAAACCAATGTCTACGTACGACCTAAAGTCATCATATTATGTTTTTTTATGATGCGTCATTCCTTGATAATTAAAAATAGCTTTCATAACGTACACTAAAGGTACTACAACTATTAGCAATCCACCAAAAGTCCGGTTTAAAAAAAAGACCCTTGCAAAAATCAAGTGTTATTTAAGAATGTATGCATGCATGTTGAACTTATTTTGCACCGTACGTTGCCAACTGTGTTAATCAAAGGTGCGGGGAATCGGAAGTGATTTGACCTGGAGAGCGGGTTAAACATTTAACAGAGTAGCTCGGTGACCACTGCCATACTGCCAGTAGCAAAGCAATATTGAGCAAATACTAGAGGATGCAGAATACTGGACTGCATGTTTGGACAAGATGAAGAGAGGAAGTAGGGAATGCATGCCACTTATCATCCATTGCTGTGAACGTAAGACAACTGTGGACAACACACACACCCTGGGATAGCGGAGCAGATAATATAAATAATTGTTCAAATGGTGATACAAGCACAAAATTCGGCACATTATCTCCTTAGGGTCACTTTATAGGAAAACATGTTAGCCACCTAAAAATCAAAGATGGCCACCGTTTTTGTAAGACGGCCACCATTTTTCACATAATGCCCACATTTTAAACATTTTGAGCAGAGACGTTAAGTCGTATTGATCTGAGATAAACAAGGTAACAACAAGGGAGCATTCAGCAGTCCCAGGGAGACCATTTGGGAGAAGGGGATTGAGTGGCCCTGTGGGAGGCGTAATTAAAGAGCACATGGCTGCTTTGCGTGCCCTGTAATTTCAGAATAAAATTGTCAAGTTCACTAACTTTCAAAAGTGGAGCAATTGTTAGATTTAAATTGTATTTATTTCAGCAGGAAGGGCCCAAATTATGTGTTAGGTTCTATGTCACGTGCACCCTGCGGCAGTACAGATGTTGCAAAGTACAGATCTCAGTTACAATCGTGGTTTCAAAGGTCATGATACAAACAAAGTACTGGCACTTGTCAACATTTAAAAAAAATTACTACATTATTTAACAAACAAAAATACAGGATTTATTGATTTAGTAAACCAAACACAATCAGTAACTGGGAACTTTAAGTATGATCCATACAGACTTGGGTTTCGGCTTCTCTGATGATTATTTATTACAGCGACATCTATGCAGGACCTTTAGCTGTAGGAGCGAACAGAAGGTTTCCTCATGGGTGGCAATGATTCAATTCCCAAATCTAATAATGCGATAAATAGGCGTTCAACAATGGGGAAGCAGTTACAAAGAAGGCCCGTCCCTCATTGTTGAATGCTCCTAATACAGTGTATTAAGGTATATTTTTCCTTGTAAAATATGGATGGAGTAGTTCCGTGGTGAAAGAGGATTTTTTTCTAATAGTGCGGCATAAAGCCGAGATGCTGTGTGGTCGACCTAGCCCGAGTTTTCTCCCTAAACAACGCGGACATTGTGGGGCCTGGTTCAAGGCACCCGTGGTCATACGGAAGTCTACATTTGTGAGCGTGCAGTGACACCCCAGGAGTAACAGTATTTGAACACACAGGGAGGACACCGATACAGGTAGACATTGAGATATAACTGGACGATTTAGGGAGACACCGAGCGACAATAGAAGATATAGGGAGATAGGTTACCAAGTAGAAACGTATTAGGTAGATACTCGGGGATCTGTGATGATGGTGTTCCTTGTTCCTCAATTATCCCTGAGACAAGTTACCAGTCCGTAGCGTTGCAGGTAGATATCAGGAAGTCTGTGAGAAATGTTCTCATTACCAGTTTATTTTGTGGGACAAGTTACCAGGTTGTAACGTATCAGGCAGTTGGCTGGAAGTCTGTAAATATTTGTCAAGTTACTTGTCAGTCATTGTGACTATCAGGTTTTACTGGATAAACTAGTACCAAGTGGTAACTTTTAGGTTGAACTATGCATAGTCAATGACAAAGATTATTATTTCCTCTATCTAACCACTGGGTTACCTATTTTTGTACTGTATTATCTTGATGTACACTTTATTCATGTATATTACCTTGAGGGGTTGGACTGGCTGGTTAGTTTGCGTGGTTCGTTTGCAACCGGAAACATGGTGACGACCAGGAAGGAGTGATCTTATCTGGAAAGGTAGTTGTACCAATAACACATTTCTCTCGTTCCTGGTTCCTCGTCGCATTGCCTTTACTTGGTATTTTGCTACTATCCAAGTTAACTACTGCGGGAGCTTCTTTCACTTTTGTCTGCTGAAGCATACTGCAGTGGGAAAGTGGCATTGGGTAGCATGGCCGGTGCATGTGGTGGCTGGAGCTGAGCACCATACAATTTTCCGAAGTTCTCCTTAGACGATGAGTGTGTGTGTGTGTTTATGCAGGGTTGAGCCCTCTTTACTGCGAGATCAGCACGAGGAATGGATACTTTATTTTTGTACTGGACTGTGATACGTGTACTGATAAACTTGGCTAGGTGATGGTTATTCGTGTTATGTATAACACGCTACCGTTTGGACCTTTCCGCGACGCACCGTCTGGTTATTTGACCTTTTTGTGCATTCGTCGGAATGCGATTTTTTTACTGTGTTTTTTTTTGGTGTTAGTAAATCATGTTTTTGTTGTTAAAATGTCATACCTGTCAACCCCTAATCAGCGCCTACCTTATTACGGACCATTTCAGACCTTTTTGGTCACCCCATGCCCTTATAAATCTCAACATTCATCCTACAAAGTCCCATCACAAGGAAGAAACACACAACCAAATAGACAAAACAAAACATGTTTGCCCGTATTAAAACGGCTGCACGCCGTACGGACCTGAAAACGATTTCCCCGTTCAAGAATACGGGGTAAACCGTATGGGTTGGCACGGTGTGAAATGTACTGGTGTGGGAGTTCTGGTTTGTCTGGGGGCGTCCTCCCGAGCTGGGGTGTGGCTTAAAGGACTGTAATACAATGACTGTAATACAAGGACTGTAATACAATGACTGTAATACAATGACTGTAATACAAGGACTGTAATACAAGGACTGTAATACAAGGACTGTAATACAAGGACTGTAATACAAGGACTGTAATACAATGACTGTAATACAAGGACTGTAATACAATGACTGTAATACAATGACTGTAATACAATGACTGTAATACAATGACTGTAATACAATGACTGTAATACAAGGACTGTAATACAAGGACTGTAATACAAGGACTGTAATACAATGACTGTAATACAATGACTGTAATACAAGGACTGTAATACAAGGACTGTAATACAAGGACTGTAATACAAGGACTGTAATACAAGGACTGTAATACAAGGACTGTAATACAAGGACTGTAATACAAGGACTGTAATACAATGACTGTAATACAAGGACTGTAATACAATGACTGTAATACAATGACTGTAATACAAGGACTGTAATACAAGGACTGTAATACAATGACTGTAATACAAGGACTGTAATACAAGGACTGTAATACAAGGACTGTAATACAAGGACTGTAATACAAGGACTGTAATACAATGACTGTAATACAAGGACTGTAATACAATGACTGTAATACAATGACTGTAATACAATGACTGTAATACAAGGACTGTAATGACCCAATAACAATGCCCGCCATTCGTCACGTCACGGTCACCACGGCGCATGTGCCAGGCGCGGTGCACTTTGAGAGGCTGCCACGTGGAGTGTCGAACGCTCGCTGACAGGTCTCGGGACAGACCCAGCAGGTGCCATGGGTTGGCTGACTGAGATGACCGGTAGATGCACCACCAGCTGTACCTCCTCCCTCCCCACCCCCTACTGTGCCAACTTGATGTTTTTTATCCGCACAGCGCTCCGCTCATTGTTGTGAGCAGCATCGCCCCTCCGCCCTCCGTTGTTGCTGGAGGGCGACTGCCTTCACAACTGCCGCGTCCTTCACGAGCCTCCAACCCGTGAGACGTCGATCTTCACTCAGCCACTATATATGCACCACCCATGCCCATTTTCCACTGCAATATGAATTCCCATATTGGTCAGTGTGTGTGTGTGGAGGTTGAGAGGCTGCGTGGAGCTGTGTATAACCGAGTCCGAAGTAGGCGTGTCGAGCGGTCTTTGTATGTATGGAGAGTGAAAAGCTGTCCGTGTGGAGCTGTGCGGAGCTTTGAGGGTGACAAGCCACGATGAGCTTCCCCCCTTTGCTTTTTGGCGCTGTGTGGAGCTCTGTGGTGCTATGTGTGGCCGCGTGGAGCTGTGTTTGGTGCTGTGGAGCGATGCGGTGTGGAGCTGTATGACCTGTGGAGCTGTGCGTGGCCGTGTGAGGCTCTGGGTGGCCGTGTGGAGCTCTGTGTGGCCGTGTGAGGCTCTGGGTGGCCGTGTGGAGCTCTGGGTGGCCGTGTGGAGCTGTGCGTGGCCGTGTGAGGCTCTGGGTGGCCGTGTGGAGCTCTGCGTGGCCGTGTGAGGCTCTGGGTGGCCGCGTGTGGAGCTCTGGGGTGGCCGCGTGTGGAGCTCTGCGTGGCCGCGTGTGGAGCTCTGCGTGGCCGTGTGGAGCTCTGCGTGGCCGTGTGTGGAGCTCTGCGTGGCCGTGTGGAGCTCTGCGTGGCCGCGTGTGGAGCTCTGCGTGGCCGCGTGTGGAGCTCTGCGTGGCCGTGTGGAGCTCTGCGTGGCCGTGTGTGGAGCTTTGCGTGGCCGTGTGGAGCTCTGCGTGGCCGTGTGGAGCTCTGCGTGGCCGCGTGTGGAGCTCTGCGGGGCCGCGTGTGGAGCTCTGCGGGGCCGCGTGTGGAGCTCTGCGGGGCCGCGTGTGGAGCTCTGCGGGGCCGCGTGTGGAGCTCTGCGTGGCCGCGTGTGGAGCTCTGCGTGGCCGCGTGTGGAGCTCTGCGTGGCCGCGTGTGGAGCTCTGCGTGGCCGCGTGTGGAGCTCTGCGTGGCCGCGTGTGGAGCTCTGCGTGGCCGCGTGTGGAGCTCTGCGTGGCCGCGTGTGGAGCTCTGCGTGGCCGCGTGTGGAGCTCTGCGTGGCCGCGTGTGGAGCTCTGCGTGGCCGCGTGTGGAGCTCTGCGTGGCCGTGTGAGGCTCTGGGTGGCCGCGTGTGGAGCTGTGGGTGGCCGTGTGGAGCTGTGGGTGGCCGTGTGGAGCTGTGGGTGGCCGCGTGTGAGGCTCTGGGTGGCCGTGTGGAGCTCTGGGTGGCCGTGTGGAGCTGTGGGTGGCCGTGTGGAGCTCTGGGTGGCCGTGTGTGGAGCTCTGGGTGGCCGTGTGTGGAGCTGTGCGTGGCCGCGTGTGTTGAGGCTCTGCCTGTGGCCGTGTGGAGCTCTGCCTGTGGCCGTGTGGAGCTCTGCCTGTGGCCGTGTGGAGCTCTGCCTGTGGCCGTGTGGAGCTCTGCCTGTGGCCGTGTGGAGCCCTGCCTGTGGCCGTGTGGAGCCCTGCCTGTGGCCGTGTGGAGCCCTGCCTGTGGCCGTGTGGAGCCCTGCCTGTGGCCGTGTGGAGCTCTGCCTGTGGCCGCGTGGAGCTCTGCCTGTGGCCGTGTGGAGCTCTGCCTGTGGCCGTGTGGAGCTCTGCCTGTGGCCGTGTGGAGCTCTGCCTGTGGCCGTGTGGAGCTATGCCTGTGGCCGTGTGGAGCTATGCCTGTGGCCGTGTGGAGCTATGCCTGTGGCCGTGTGGAGCTATGCCTGTGGCCGTGTGGAGCTCTGCCTGTGGCCGTGTGTGGAGCTCTGCCTGTGGCCGTGTGTGGAGCTCTGCCTGTGGCCGTGCGGAGCTCTGCCTGTGACCGCGTGGAGCTCTGCCTGTGACCGCGTGGAGCTCTGCCTGTGGCCGTGCGTTGCCGCGTGAAAGCTGCGAGGCGGCGCGTACCTCTCCAGCCACTGCTTGAAGAAGTGCAGCTCGGGCTTGTGCAGCACGCCCGGGTTCTGCGAGCACAGCAGCACGAACGCCTTCAACTGCGACAGCTTCTCGGGCTCCATCTCTCGCTACGCGTACAGCTAATCGATCGGGCACTGGGCGGCGTTATTATTGTTATTATCGTTACTCGTTATTCGTGTACGGCAATTGTAATTGTTGTGATAATTCGCACTTGGTAGCCGCGGCCTAGACAAAACAAGCACTACCGCCGCTGCCGAAGAGAGAACGTTGTGTGGAGTGGGTGGGGGGTCAGGGGCGGTGGCCTCGCGCGTCACCGCCCACGCTCGAACCAATCGCGGCGCGCCGTGCAGGCATCGTGACGCGGCGCCGACCAATCGCGTCGTGGGCATCGCCCCCCCCCCCTCTCTCTCTCCGCCTCCTACCCCCTCTGCAGCCCCCCCCTCCCGTGCCCGCCCCTCCCCCCGCCAAGGGGCGGGGGTCGAAGATTCCAGAAGCGAGGGAGCGCCCCCCCCCCCACCTCTCTCTCGCTGTGTGACCCCTCGCTGTAATGTTTGTAATTAGTAGAGACGAGTGGTAGGGGGTGGGGTGGGTGTGGGGTTATTCTTTGGGTCTCTCGGTAAAGTCACGTAGATAGATTTCTCTGATGGTGCGCTATGTTTGAGTTGTGTGACGCCTTTTGGTGTCTTCTGGTCCAACACCAGTGGAGACTGGGCTCTAAGAAAAGCCGTCTCGGGTGTGGACCAATCAAATTCAAGGACAGTGCCAATATCATTATCAGAGTTTTCTTTGGTTCTTTCGGTAAAGTCACGTAGATAGATTTCTCTGATGGTGCGCTGTGTTTGAGTTGTGTGACGCCTTTTGTCGTCTTCTGGTCCAACACCAGTGGAGACTAAAGGGCTCTAAGAAAAGCCGTCTCAAGTGTGGACCAATCAAATTCAAGGACAGTGCCAATATCATTATCAGAGTTGTCTTTGGTTCTTTCGGTAAAGTCACGTAGAATGAGAATAAAATAATAAATTGATAAAATAAAATAACACAATAATATTCTCACGACGTTTCGGCCACAACACAAAAGGACAGCGCTGTCCTACCAGACAGTCTCGTCCCTTCACCTGATGAAGGCTGCTTGTGTTGTGGCCGAAACGTCGTGAGAATATTGTTATTTTATTTTATCAATTTATTATTTTATTCTCATTCTACGTGACTTTACCGAAAGAACCAAAGAAGATGAATCATTGCAGTCACGAAAGCTTTAAATCGAAAAATTATCAGAGTTGTCTCTTTTTGTTTGCATTTTGACTGCTTGTGTTGTGGTTATTGCAAACATGATGCCTTGAATAAAGGTGTCAGTTTTTGTGCCAGTTAAAAGGATAAAACCTATTCCTATATCACGTAGATAGGTAGAAAGAAAAATAACAAAAAACTAACTAACTCCGACGTTTCGATCACCACAACACAAACGGTAGTCATCAGGAGGGGAAATATTCCTGAGTGAAGCTGCTGAGGTGTCTAAAGCAGACTGTCTTAAAGGTTTAGAGACGGGGGAGGTGTTTTGTATATTCGTTTTTTTTCAATTAATGTTACTCTTCGTATTTGTTTGCTTTTAAAGCACACGCGGTTTGCGAACTAAATGTGCTACACGGGAAAAAGTTTTGCTCCCGCCGAGGATGTAAACGTGAGAATTTTTTTTATTGTTTTATATATATTTTATTGTTTCCCTTCAACGTGACTTTACCGAAAGAGCTAAGAATATATGTAAACGTTGCTCAAAGATATCGCAACTCGGCGTTGCGATATCGCAACAAAGGGGTATATAATAACCGCTTACGTTTTAGTCAACAACTTTAAAACAAACTAAAACACACCCACGTAATCCACGGCAATGAGAGCGGGCCGAGTGAATGCGTTTGGGGTTTTTTGTTTGTTTCTGGTTGGATGTATTTCGTGAATGCGATTCGTTTCACATTGCTGGTTGTCCCCCCCCCCCCCCCCCCCCCCCCCCATTGCTGGTTTTTAATTGAAACCGCTCGTGCGGATGTTGATCATGAAACTTGTTGTTCAGACGCTTCAGAAAATATGGCACGCGGCATTTAAGGAATCCGACCTCTCATTTCGATAAAAAAAATTCAAGTCACGTGAACCCCGCTGGGTTCAATCTTCAAGAGGAATCTGACTCCCCAACAACCCCACAACCATTCATGGCCAGCCAATCACGATACTCGCCAAACTTATCCTCCCCCCAAGCACCTTTGGATCCTCTTAATTTAATATTGTACATGGCCTTTGGGGCCATCCATAAATGACGTCACGCGATTTTGGACGATTTTTGACCCCCCCCCTCATCGTCACACGGCGTCACAAAGTCAGACCCCCCCCCTCAAATATGACGTCACAAAGCTCTGCGCCCCCTCCCCTCCAAGAAAAAAACCATGCTTCAAATCGCTTTAAACTACAGTATTGTCATTGTAGTGCGTATGTAATGTGCCGCTGCACTCTGATGTAGGATAAAACATTTAAAAAGTCTATTTAATTAAGTAGAACGTGTTGTCTATATTTATTTAAAGTTGCGACATTTTGATGTGACGTCCCATTTCTCAACCCCCCTCCCCCCCCCCTAGGTGCGTGACGTCAATTATGGACGGCCCCTTTGAAACAACCCAAATCCCGACACTATTCGTCACGGCTCGATAGGTAACTCAAACAGGAAACGATTTACAAGCTGGCTTATATATTTCCTTCCGAGTCGGTGCACGACCACGTGGCCATAGCGGGGTCACCTTGAATCGGGGATTGCGATCCTGATCGCCGAACCATCTCGCCCTTTTTTCTTTCTTCCCAATTGCGATGTGCACATTAAATGCAATTATAATCTTGAGGCTGGTCGATTACGACGACGGTGCGATGGGAAGTCTTGCCCAGGTTGCCGAGAACACACGACGGGCTCCGACAACAGCTGCAGAGGGCCACGCGTCCATCCACGTGGTGGCCCAACACAGCAACACCACGAGCACCTGCTGTTGTTGTACGTGTCTGCGGGTGCGTCAGCTCGCGGTTTCAATTTTCTCCGCAAACAATGGGGGCCGGGAGGGATATTGAACCGCGTCAGAACATCGAACGACAGACGCGATACGATTGACAATGCCACCCTAAAATGGGCCACACGTCCCACAACCTCTACACACACGTAAAAAAAACACCTCCCCCCCCCTCCACCATTCCGATCATTCGCTGACAGCTTTTGCAGTGATTAGGTCTATACGCCTGAAGCTCATTCACGAATATCGACGTGCGACAGATCGGTAAAATTAATGTGCGGGGCAGTGGCAGGCGAGACGCGGTTTTGTTGCGAGGGGGAAGGAGAAAGCACATTTTTCTGGAGAACTGCACTTAAATCTCGCGTACTGTGCTGCAGATGAAAGTAAGTTTATAGGGAAGGACAGGCAATCCTCGATGTAGTCCCACGGAATACCTGGTACGGAACCCCGTGTCGTGTAAAAATTATATGCTTGAAAACATTGTCAAAAAACACGTTGGAGTGTCATGGAGACTTCATTTGAGTCATTGATGGCTGCAAGTCACGGTTGACAGCATATTTCTTTTCATTGTGACATTCACGATCTGGCACAGGCATGTCGAGAATAGAATGAATGAACTCGATCACCACCACCACCACCATCCCGTGGAAGGAAGATGAAGTAGTATGGGCCAAGGTGAACAGGCCTTCATGAAACAGTCACACGGCGTCACTTGGAGAAGGTTGGTAAATCCCTTTTATCAAGAGCGCTTACGTACAAGGAAACGTTGAAGGCGGAAATTATGGAGAAACACAAATTGTCTATACATGGAGCATGCGCCAATTTTTCACCGAAATAAAAAGAGTTAACATTTTGGCCAGCGGGCAGTATTAATTGTGAGTAGGCCCTCAAGGTATTTAGATGGCACACAATTTTATTTCCAGTATTTAAATCTGGTTATTACTTTAAGTTTAAACAAGATGTCTAATCAATGAAGCAATGTAATACTGCAGATGTCAAATTTACGCTCGTCTTACTAGAGAATGGATTATCACATTGCAGGTGGCAAAACGGGTGACCAAATAATATTAACAGTTTGTATTAGCGTCTTTATATTACTGTAGAGTGTTAAATTTATTTTCTTTAATTGAGTCATTCACTCAGCTCTTGGGACCTTAAACTCTATAAACATACAAATTCTAAATATGCTTTGACAAGGCCTAAAAAAGCAGCAGAAAAAAATGTCACTCAACACAATGTTTCCTTGTAGCTCGGCACAAGTTTTTTTTACAATCACCACGTACGTAACTCCCCTACAGCAGACGCACGCATTTCATTTGACTTTACCGAGATTTAAATAACAAATATGCTGCTGCCGAAATGAACTTAACAACCATTTGCTTGCCAGTGTCCTCAGAGTTATGATCAACGCATAGTATGCATTCAGAAAATCGTTTGTACGTAAACATATCACCGTTTCCTGTGAGAGGCTCGCAATTTACAGGATACATTGCTGAGACACTTCGCTGGGAGCTCATGCACGAGAAGTCAATCTATTGCTTTTTTTGCCATCATGTTTATTCAGCAGAAAAACCACAGCAGTGTGGTTACGTATCGCCGACACCTAAAGTTGTGCTCCTCCTTTGGAAAACGACACATTCCAAGCAGGGCCGTTCAACGAGGATTTCTGTTTCAGTGTTTTAAATCGTTGGAAGAAATATTACAGTATTTGGATTTGTCCCCATCTCACCAAGCAGCAAGCACCTTGTATGTAGAAACGGTGCAGAGTTGGTCATGGCAAGGGAACATGACATTTAATTCACGAATCAACAAGTTGGCGGTACCTCCTATTATTGACATGAAGAATAAAAAGTGGGATGACCTTTTCCAAATGACTGCTTAATGTTCAACAAGTGACCAATAACGCTGGGATCCTCAATCAACACTGGACGAGGTGTTCAACCCAAAACCATAGGATAAAGTGTTTCTACCGCAATTTAATTATTCTCCGCTCAGCAATCATTGCCAATATTTGTACTGAGTCAAGTACGGCCAAATAAAGTGCAAGCACCAATTTATTGGTTTTTCAATGTTTTAACAAAATCTGATGAGTGTGACCTTATTAAAAGCTTGTAAGAAACTAAGAGAACTAAAATTACTAAAAATATATGGCAATGAAATACGATAAACTAAATTCCTGATAAAAAAAAAATCCGTTACTAGTGTTATCAAATTACCATATCACAATCCAAGCCTACACCTAACATGAAAACAGCGTAAATAGATCGCTACATCGCACATCACAACGCCAACGTTAATTCAAGAAGCATGTCAATTTCACTTGCCATAGTTTGAAACCAATTAAATTATAACGCAACGATCCGTAAGTGATCATTTGGTGCCAAGTATGTAAAGATTCACGATTTACATAGTTTTATTTAACAAAACAGCAGTCCTCCTTCCACCCAGAAAAAAATAACTTCAGGAATTTTTCAACACTTGGCCGGGTCACGGGCGTGCGTCCAGGTTTGTGTTCACGGCACCTGGGCGGACTGAGAGAGAACATGTCGACACTAACGCTGCGAGTAGTTGTACCACAATCTCATTTATTTAGCACATTACTGCAGAGGGACACAAGGGGCCGTGATTGGCTGGCAGACAGTCCTGTAACACAGTTTATATGTACATGCCCCCCTACCAAGCAAGCCACTTCCCGAGCCTCAGCAATGGGTGGAAGTCGGCATCAATGCACAAGGGCTTTGGTTCTTGTACAAACGTAAATTCAGCGGCAACAAAAAAAACAAATAATAAAAAACAATAACACTCCCCCAAACCATTTACAGCATTAACGCGATATCAAGGTCACATCACCATTTTAAAGGTGCAGACATTTATTTCAGTTAAGCATAAAGGAAGGAAATATGCAGTTTTTTTTACAGTGCCTTCATTTACGTTCCATCATATATTTATACCAATCGTATTCCAAGGGCCTGCATGATTTACACTGTTTTCTTTCTTTGACAAGATCTTTACACTCCAGAAGCAACCGAGAGGGCACGGGTAAGAAGCAGCTTCTACAGGCGTCGTGAGAGAAAAACTAGGGCTAGGAAGAAACCAGGAGGCGGAATCATTTCTACATCCAAAAGACAGAGGCATCGGCAAATAAATGTGCGCGATATATCTATAATTCCTAACTATACAAATTAATACTTGAAACGTCTCCACAGACACTTATAGAAAAAGTTTAAATTCTTCCGGCTATATCTTCATCTTAGAAAGAATGACATTTTTTTGTGTACATTGACATGTTGCATTTGCCACAAATGAATTTGGACACGATACAACATGAATGCAAGAAAGACGGAGGAAAAAATATAAAATATGCATATTAAAAGTTCGTTGTTGAAAAATCAGTGTCCTTAGCAAAACAAAACGATCCACTGCGACCATCTCATTCCGGCCAGCATGGAATATATTAGCATTAGCTTCCCACAAGAATTACATCCTCATTACTAAAGTTTTCTACGTAAATATTCCCAAGTTTAACTGTACAAAAACAAAAGAAAAAAAATTTAAGTCAAGTCCGAAGGGTGTGTCCATCTCCACACGCAACACTACAACGTCTCCACAAACTTTTCCAGCTCGTCAGGCGCTTGCGGACCATTGCCCCCCATGTCCGACCCATCGGCCCCGAGGCCCATGTCCCCTGGCCCCAGGTGGTGTTGTCCCATGCCAGGCCCTGGCAGCTGTGGCAGCATGGCGCTCTGATCCGGCGCCGTGAAGTGTCCCTGCTGCTCCATTCCCGACGGCTGCGGCGGGCCGCCTGCCATGCCTGGGTGCGGGGAACTCGTCTGCGGAGAGACGTGGTGTGGCGACGGCTGTATCCGCGGCGACGGGCTCGAGTGCGGAGGCTGCGACTGGGGCCGCGGCGACGGCACAGGCTGCGGCGAGCGCACTTGGTTGCTGAGTGACGTTGGGATCTGCTGGCCGGCCATATGCGCCGCTTGCTGCCCTGCCAGCATGTGCTGCTGCTGTGGGCTCATGGGCGTCGACTGGCCGCCGCCACTCGCTGCTGCGGCCGCCGCCACCAACTGCTGCTTCATCTGAACCTGTAGCATCAGTCGCTGCTGCGCCTGGGTGATGGCCGTGGGGCCACCCTCGGGGCCCATGCCACCCTGCGTCATCCCGCTCATCATTCCCTGCTGCCCCATCTGTGTCGCCTGCATGCCCAGATGCTGCTGCATGCGTTGCTGCTGCTGCTGCTGTTGCTGTTGCTGCGGCGTTGCCTGCTGCATGGTTTGCTGGTAGCTCGTGGGCTGCGGTGCCTGGAACTGCCCATGAGCGCCCATGGCCTGCTGCTGGTACTGTGCTCTCCGCATAAGCTGATACGACTGCTGCTGCCCCACCACGCCCGGCCCCATGCTAACGCCGGGGCTCATGCCCATGCTTTGCGCCTGCGGGTTCATACCCATGCCGGGCTGAGGGCCGCCAGGACGCATCGCCATTGCGTTTTGCATCCCCTGCTGCATCCCTGGCTGAGGCTGCATCCCCTGCTGCATCGCCTGCTGCATTCCCGGCTGCATCGCTTGCTGCATGCCCTGCTGCATGCCCTGCTGCATGCCCGGCTGCATTCCCGGCTGCATCCCCTGCTGCATTCCCTGCTGCATCCCCTGCTGCATCCCCTGCTGCAAACCCTGCTGCAAGCCCTGCTGCAAGCCCTGCTGCATGCCCTGCTGCAAGCCCTGCTGCATGCCCTGCTGCATGCTCTGCTGCATGCCCTGCTGCATGCCCTGCTGCATGCCTTGCTGTGGCGGCATGCCCGGCTGCATGACAGGCTGGCCGGCCTGGTAGCGGGACGCTCGTTGCTTGATGAAGGCCGCCATTAGCTGCGGGTTGCTCTTGAGGATGTTGAGCACCTGCTGCTGCTGCTGCGGAGAGCTGGGCGAACGCAACGTGCGCAGCAGGTCCTGCAGCGCTGACGGCGGGATCTGGCCCCGCTGCACTCCCTGCGTGGGGCCCTGCATACTGGGGCCTACGCTACCACCCTGCGCTGCCACCATGTTCATCTGCTGCTGTGACATGCCCATCTGCAAGCCCGTCGCCCGCTGCATGCCCGGCTGCATCTGCTGGGTCGGCATGCCGGGCTGCTGCCAATGATGCATGCCCATGGCCCCTATGCCCTGCGGCAACTGCTGTGGCCCGCGCGGAGCCGTCATATTTAAACCCAAATGGTTCATCGACGTCATCTGCTGGCCGGCCATCATCATCGGCGAGTTGCTCATTCCCATGCTGCCGTTGATGTTGGATGGCCGCGAGAACATGGAAGGCGACTGCTGCGGTTGGGGCTGCTGCGGCTGCTGTTGCTGCTGCTGCTGCGAGGCTATGTGCCGCTGGTTATGCGCCGCCATCTCGATCTGCCGCGCCATCTCCACGGCGGCGGCCGGCGGTGCCTGTCCGGGCCCTGGCTGCCCCGTCGGCTTTCCACCCGACATCCCGGGGGCTCCCGCTTGGCGCGCCATGCCGTTGTTGGCCAGCGTCACGTTGTTTGGCGGCTGCGAAAGGCCCGGCGGCACGAGGGCGGATTGCGGCGGTTGCCCGACGGTGGGGCCTGGGGGCGTCTGGGGCACAGCCTGCGGCCCCGTCGGCGTGGTCGGCACCGAGCTCCCACTGGTGCCCGTCGGCGAAGGCAGGCCCGCGTGCGGCGGCGTGACTCTCGGCGGCGGAGGCGGCTGCTGCTGCTGCGTCACCTGGGTCATCGCGGCCATGCGCCGCCGCAGCATCTGCGCCTGTTGCAGGCGGTGCTGCAGCTGCTGCTGCCGCAGCTTGTGCTTGATGTTGAGGCAGAAGGGCACGGGACACTTGTTCTCCTGACAGTGCTTGGCATGAAAGCAGCACAGCGCTATCAGCTGCTTGCAGATGGGGCAGCCGCCGTTGGTCTTGCGCTTGCAGACGCGCGTGTGCTGCACGACGCGCTTCATCTTGAGGCAGGACGGCAGCGAGCAGTTGGCGTTGAGGCACTGGCACGCGTGCACCAGTGACTGGATGCAGCGCTGGATGCTGAGGCGGCGCGACTCCTGTGGGTTCTGCATGGGCTGGTTGTTGCTGTCGTCGTCCAGGCCCAGGCCCCACTTCTCCATCTTGTGCTCGTGGCCTTTGGTCTTGTAGCAGGCCACGCACAGGTCGTAGTCCTGCAGGCATACGACAAGGGGAGAAAAGCTCATTGACCAACAAGCCCTCAAAAGCCACTTGTGACCTTTAATTTGCACTTTCTTTAAGAACGCCTCCACTAGTACTTTTATTTTGAACCACTTTTGTCACGTGACATAACTCGTATATTTCTGTACAAGAGTAATGTTTATTTCTCTGTGAATTGAATACACACACTAATCAACGCGGCACCAACGGACGCTACATTTTCTACGTAACTATCCTTTTGTTTTACTGCTGAGAGTAACAAGGTTAGCGCCGAACCGGGGAAGTAAATACCAACACGCGTGCACAAAAACCCGAGGCCAATCAGAGTCCAACACAAAATGATAATATCGACAAAAAGTCTCGCGCGGTGGCGGGCGAGAGACCGTCGCCCCCTCTTCACTTGGTCTGCGCACCTCGCACACGGTGCAGTGGTAGCGTGTCTCCACGTGGTGCTTGCACTCGTTGCAGGTGTACACGAAGCGGTCCTGCCCCTGGTTGTGCAACTCCACCAGCATGCACATGGTGGACCATTTGGCGCGGCGGAGCGACGAGAACTCGTAGTGCTTGTCTCGCGCCATCGTCAGGAAGGCGTCGCGCCCGTCCATGAGGTCGCACGTCACCAGCGGATCTGGGTCCTGGATTGGCGGCACAGAGTTTGCCGCCGCCGGGGGATGAAGCCGGATGACGAAGAACACCTGGAAGGGAGGACAGAACATGGCAGACGAGGCGAGTTGAGATGCAGGTCATGAGGGAAGCGGAGATTGGAGTGGAAGCCTCCAAGTGGGAAGGGCTTGTTGATGAATTAATTTAAAACGTTCACAGCAATTTTCACCGATTACAACCCAATTGTAATGCCATCACGTGTACAATAAGGATTGAACATTAAACAAACACGTATCTGGCAGGGGTTTGGGATTTCAATGCAGAACCCACCTATACTACCCCTTATCAACCCAGGCACACGTACCCACCCAGCCAACCGTACCCAGAGAGAGGTCTGACAGTAACATCTATTTGAATGTATAAAGCGTATTAATACAACACCCATACCCTTAGGGTAAAGTCACGCGAATAGAAAAATATCTACGTGACTTTACCGATAGACCCAATGAGTATGAATTCCTGCAGTCACGAAAGCTTTAAGTCAACCCATACCCATCTTACGCAAGCCCAACTCCATAGCCACCAATAAACACCACAGCCACTCTTACCCACCAAGCCAGACTTACCTCCTTGTGTTTCTCCATGGTGGCGTACAGCTTCTGAGAGAGGTCGTTGGACACGCTGGGCATGCCTGGCTTTTTCTTGCTGGTGCGGCTGCTACTACTCTTGCTCTTGCTTGTCTTCTTGTTGTTCTTCTTCTTGGCGTTTTTGCTATCTCCCTTTTTCCCCTGCACAATCAGCGCAAACGAAAAAGTGCGTGACGCTCTCAGAACGCAAGAGCGCGGGCGCAGACGTACACGCTGGGGACCTCAAGCAGAGGCATTATATGGGACCTTCGGACATCGGCAACGGCCCAATGACCACCACCGAGTGAGCGGTCCCTGCCCATCGTACCATACGGCCCTCACCTCGGTGCTCTCGCATGATGCACTCGTCTCCTCTCGCTTGCGCTCCTCCTCCTCTTGCTCCAGCTCCTTGATGCTCTCCTCAAGCACGTTGGGCCAGAAGTCTCCCTCAAAGTAGGGCAGCTCCTTGGCGCTCGTCAACCGGTCATCTGTGGCCTGCTTCAGGATGTCCTGCACCGTGACATCGCCAACGTACCGGGTTAAAGTCAATACTGCAAAATTAAAAATGTATCCAACGCAGCTCGCGCAATTCGGGCGCCGAGGACTGATGCACATTCAATTGGTGCTTAAAGGTATAACCACTATGTCAGCGGTTAACATGCTCACATGATGATGAGCGTGGTTGATGGGCACACTTTGCTGTTCGTGCGTCGCTGCATTACCTTGTAGTCATGGACGATTCTCTCAGCCACTGCCTTGTCCAGCATCTTCTTGTACCATTCTTGCAGGCGCTTAGGCTTGGGTATCCTCTGGTCTGGAGGGTGGCAGTGGAAGATGTAGTCGTCGCCCTCACTGGGTGGGCACGCCCAGATATGACCCTGGGTATAGCTGTGGACACATCCACGTACGCGCGCACACACACGCACACACGCTCCGAGTCAAGGGTGTGCCCATCGGAACCAGAGAGAACATTCAGCTTTTCTGCTCGCATAATCACATGTTATATAAAGGTTACTACTTTGTAATCAACATCTCTGGGCTGCAATTAGAATTATAACGGGCTGCGGCATGTGAAACCGCCAAATTAGATCGCCTAAATTAACAAACATCTTGCCGGTTGACAGGTGTTGAATACTTACCGAATAGCATTTGCCAAAGGGCAATGCAAGACTCAAAATTCCCCACAATCTCCAACGGATTTGACAAAACCAAATGCATTCGATTTCTGGACGAGAGGATGTTTTCTCCTTTGCCTCCACACTCACCCAATTTTCTTGACGTACTCCAGGTAGCCAATGAGGATCTCGTGGTAGACAGCTGTGCGTAGGTGTCGCGGTCGGAAGAAGTGCACACTGTCCAGGTACGATATATACACCCGCCTAGCAAAGGGGGACCAGACATGCACGCGTTATGCCTGGCTCAACTGATGGGGATAGTCAAGTGAGCTCTGATTATGGCTAGTACGATGCAGAAGGAAGTAGCGTAGGTTAGTACGATGCACAAGGAGGTCGCGTAGATTATAGAGCTGGCCCAATTTATAACAGCTATAATACTGGACGATCTGTTTTATCAATACTCCGTTAAAACTATATTTTATTTCCAAGCCTCTACATGTCTCCCACCAATCTCAATACACAAACTTCTCAAAACTCTTCTGATACACTTTGTCCAACATCACTGGTTTTTCATCAATCACCTACTGCACAAGACCATGGGCATGCATCATTAGAAATATAGTTAGTATAGTTGCAACAATTACATCGGCGGGGTTAAGGCGATTTATTAAGCCTAATTGGCAGCACGTGGCCTTACCTCTGATTGGGTGGCGGACAGTCGGAGCCGTACTCCTGGACGTGCATCCCAAAGAAACAAACGTCGACGCCGTCAATCTCCTCGAAGGCAAAAAGTGCTTTAGCTCGGTAGGGGAACGAGTCCGCCATCTCCCCGTTGTCCACAAACCTAGCCCGAGTGCAGAGGGCGAAACGCACACACACACACATCAGCTTACAGGCGAATTAGGCTTCTACATAATGGTAAAGTGCAAACACATTGGATACAACATATTAAGCCTTTCAAAATAATAATTACAGGTTTACGCATCCTTGTGAAGAACAAATGCGTTACATTGTAGTGACATCAAATGCCATATAGGCAATGCTCATCACCCCACACCCAAAATGTGTCGACCAGTTTCCAAGAGATTTACACGACTATTTTCCAGATTGGTCACTGTATCCATACACCTCGCCTTATATTAATCAGCTATGTATGGTGTGGTGCCATCAAGTTTATCACGAGAATGCCAGTCGTGTTATAATACATATTTGCTTCCGATGGCTGAGCTAAAATGCGTAGAGCAAACCTGAACCGGGCACCACAGGGCGACCACACTGCTGCTGCCGCCCGAGAACTCACCTGGCTTTCATCCCAGGTTTCACCTCCACCGTTTTGTCGGAAACATGCACCACGCGCACGGTCACTTCGCCCGCCTCCGGACAGTTCTGCCGCCGCAGGAAGTTGTTGACGCGATTCTCAAGGTGAGTGCCCAGTTTGGACGTCGGCAACCCCGCATTCAGACCTGTCAGGTAGAGGAACAGTTATAGCAAATGTCGTGACTCGACTCCATCTCGAAAGCCAATGGTATATATCAAGCACTGCAATGTTAGCAGGTATGGTAGGGGTTGGAGCTGCCAAACCCCTACACACATACGGCTACCTCAGTGGCAAATTCGCTCACCAGCAGATTATTCAGACACCCAGGGTTATTGCGGACTTTCAAAAAGAATCCGGATTAAAATCAAAGCATACCCATTAGAGGAATTAAAAACCATTACTTGCGATGTATGCCATACTCAAAACGGATTAACGTGTTTACTGAGTGAACAAGAGGCTGGGTGCGTGAATCAAAGGCGTGTTGCAACACCGCGTAAGCACAACAAAGTTTAATGCTACAGAATTTACACTTGTAATATTTCAACGAATATCAGGGGCCCTGTCAACATGGTCCTTCCAACTCTATATATATGGTGAGCTGTGTGGCACATGAAGCTCAACAGGCTCTGCTCATTCGCCGTTGGAACGCATCTCAGAAGCAGCACTGTCTTTGGGGAGAAGAGATTAATTTCAGGATCACACTGTTGTGGCCATCGCACTCCACTTACTTTTAGAACAAAACTTGTTTTCTTTCCTCGTCCTTCCCGTTTTCTTTAAACAAGTGTCACAAACAAAGCTGCGGACATAACAGGAGGGGTCTTTCAGTAAGAGGTTACCGCACACATTGAGCGTAAATATTGAATACACAAACCACATTTGAATAAAATCCCAAATGAGAAATGTTCAGCATTATGGAAGGCGGGGGGAGGGGGGGGGGAGACGTTTTTATTTTAAAAGAAGCCTAAGTCATCACTCACCCGGCTGGCCAAATGGTCTCATTGTGGAGCGCACAGATTTGGTGCAGCTTTCGTCCACACTCCTTACACTCGACAAACCTGCAACAGCAAAGCACGTGTCAAACAAGGTTATACAGGGACAAGCAGGTCGGTGGTGGATGTGCAGCAATTACAAAGAAAGTGCAAGGGAGGGTGGCTGGTGACTGGTGCCAGAAGTGAACAGGGTGTACTCACGGCTCAGGATCAAGAGTGTCATTTTTCTTCTTTTCAAACTGGTCCTTGTTAATGGTCCTGTAAGAAACAGTGCAGCAGGGTTACACACACAGGAACATCATGGGATATGCCGGCTATAAAGCCAGGCAGGTTCCCCCACACAGCCACCATTCATATCGAGGTGGTAGAACACTCAAAGGGTAGTAAAACATCTAAAATAACGAAATATATTCAGATTCACCATTAACTTCTCTTATTTGCAATATTGTACATCCTGACATTAATGTAGTTTAACATACTATATTTTGTGCATATACATGAAGCATAAAAATAATTTTCTGCATCTGTTTAAATGCAAATAAACGTGTATTTAACACGACTCCTATTGACTGCCCCTGGCCAAGTTACTGGCGGGGTTGCATTTTGATCTTCAGGGTCCTGATTTAATACACTAGATTGTCAACGGCTATGCATTTGTGACCAACTGTGGTAACTTCGTGAAAATAAATACAGCGACATTTTCTGTCAGGGCCCATGAAAACAACGTGTGCAAAAAAAAAGGCTGAAAAACAATGTTTGGTCTAAAAAGCACACAACCTCGTGTAATTCCTGACACCTGTCCGATCTTACTTGAAGTTTCCACCCCAGGTGCCCACTAGGGGGAGCAGCGACCACATGGCCAGATTTAGGCAGCTTCACATATTTGGCAAAAGAAAATGGCGCAGCAACCGTCCACAAGAATTTCGAGCAACGATTGCCTCAAAACGGACCTGGTGTATCAATGGTATTTGCCGTGTGCCTTGTTGACTTAAAATAACATCCCAATGTGTGGATGCAAAGGATCCCCATGTTCACAAACGTCAGTGTGTGCAATTGGTCAGTGGTCTTCCTGTTGCCACGGCGCACACACAAGAGCACTGGACTTTTCATTTAAGGTGCTGCTGGCCATTGGGAAGTAGGCCAAAATTACAGGCAATTCAGAAGGCTGGGATTGAACTGATCGTCTATGGCGTGGCTCCATTAAGCTGCACAATCTGTTTACAATGAGACGGCATTTGTTTTATTCAATGCATTTGTAATGCTCCGGTACTCCTTTAAAGCTGCAAACCACTTTTTTTTTTGCAAAGGGGTCCCCTTTCTGCAACTAATATATGCCAACAGACCATTTGAAAATGGTAATTGCAGTCTTGACACTACCACACAAACTTATAAAATATTATAAACATATTGCGCTATGCACTCAGAAGAGCACTTCGAATTCCCTGCTGCCAGATGCATGTGTATACAAGCCCAGGCTTTTTGCCGTAACATAGACTTCCCCATAAGCTTGTCAGCCCATAGACCATAATGAAGAAAAGTCTGATGTTGATCAAGTTGACTTAACACCTCAAAGACACTTGTTCCATATCCTATCGAGGGCCTTTGCCAACCATGCCCACCCAACGAACCCGTACAGGCGTGGATTAAACAGACACAAAAATAAACGCCTCATCCTGGCACAAACACCCCGCACTCCCCAACAGTCCAAAGCTATAGCCACCCCCCCCCCCCCCCCCACACCATGCACACACCAGTCTGAGAACTTACGTTTGCGGCTGAGAGGGATCATCCCCAAGGGATACGGTATCCCCTTGGATCTCATTGAAGCACTTTTCACAGTAGTGATACCTGTCAGCAATAAGGCCATATTTGGGTGAACTGTCCGCCCCAACAGAACACAGCCAACGCGGCGGCAACGAAGCCAAGCAGGGGAGGGGCGGCGGGCGGCGACGGCGACGACGACCGGCACAAACCGACGGGGGAGGGTGGGGGGGGGCAGGGAGCGATTGGTTGATGAGGTTGCAAGTGGGAGGAGGGCAAGGGGGGAAATCATTTTAGGGGGGGGGGGTCGTGAAGGGGGCAATGCGTGCGGTTTTTTTTTTTGGTGGGGAGGAGGAATAAGGGGCGTGTAAAATACAAGGGTAGTGGGTTGTGAGGTAGGGAGGAAAAAAAACAAATGGTACACACACAAAGGGGAGACGCAACACAAAGACAAACACAGAGCAGAGAGCCAAAGCAAAGCATTAGATTAGCAACTGATTTCAAAATTAACACGTCGATCAAGTCACGTTACAATGAATTCCACCCGTAATCAACCGCCACCTTCCATCGATTCCTTGACTAAGCAATCAAGATAACGAATATCATTAACGCCATCGTGGCTTTTTATTGGCTGTAATAATTTTCTCAATTTACTCTTGCCATGTAAATTACGGTTACAATTTTATCTACAAATACAAGCAGGACTTTACTTCTTTTAACAGTTTACACGTTAAAGAATTCGCTACCATAATCAGCAGTGAAGCGAATCCTTAGTACGAGATTGCAAAGCGAAGCAGGAAATGGTAAAAATACAAAATGCAGCAAGCATGGGGGGAGCTTGAACGAGAGGGGCACAGGACAGCGACTTTGGGGGGGTCGGGGGGGGGGGGGTACGGTTTAACCCTCAAGCCGGCAGCCATTTATAAAGAGCAAGCGAAGTCTTTCCAACGTTCATTTCGTGTAAATAAAATAAAATAAAAACTCCTGGATGCGAGGGCCAATGCCTCTTATCTCACTGAGCAATTGTTCTTCCGAAGTGTAGACTGACTGAAAAAATACATGCAACAGAGTGTTGCATACAAAGGTTCTGTGGCTGATACAATTTTCAAAATGCACGTGCTTGCTTGCTTGCTTGGTGGAAGATTTGGGCTTGAGCAGCCCTAGTTGAACCAATAGGATCCCCAGATAAACCACAAAGGTATGTCCATCACAACACTTCACATCATTTTTGAATATCACCAATGGCCTTTGTATACAATAAATTACAAGCAACGACTATCAATTTGAAGTGCAGTGTCACCATAGAATTGAGTAGAGATTGGAGATTATCTGTGCGCAACTGAATGGATTAACTGTTTGGCCTTTGTAGAAAAAAACATAATTTTAGAAATGTGAGAAATTAAAAGGTTTCCCGAGCAGCCAGTGGAACAGGTTAGAATAAGTGGTGGCTGGGGTGGGAAGGGCATGGACAGGAAAGGGAAATCAGTCAGAAGGATAATGCATGGACTGGAAAAAGCAGGCAGTGACAAAGAACCACGGGTTACATCTGTAACAGCAAGACCACATTCCCCCCGTGTCTCCTCGTGCAAGTGAAGCGAACGAGAAGCTTGCAAGGTGAGGCAGAGGATGAACAGTCTATCCACGGAAGATAATGTTACATCAGAGATCCTGCGCAGAACACCTAGAGTCACGTTGAAAGGGTCTAAACGTCGCTGCACTAAATGACGAGTTGTTTTACCCTTGCACATACAACCCACAATGCCAAGATATTCCTTTTATATATTTTTTTAGGATATGCTCGTTACAGTTTAAGTTTTTTTTTAATTTAAAAGACTGCAATTGTGTAACTCGTGCGGTTTGCATCACCATCATGTGTCCATTGTGTTGTGTGGCCATGATGGGATGAAAAAACATCTAAATCAACTTACACCGGCAATTTATAAGGTTTTGTAAAATGTTATCACTGTGGAGCAATGGCCTTATCCTGCAAAGGACGTCACAGAATATTTAAAATGTTCTATATCAGGCAGCACTCATTTGGTAATGCCAAACCAAAATAGCTGTGACCCTTTGAAACCTTGCTGTGTAGAGAACATGCTAAGCGTAAGGTTTATTTTTTTAATTAATCTGCACAAATATCAAGTGGCATAGAAGTCTGGTTTATTCATTTTCCACTTTCGAATTGTGTGAACTCGGAAAAAGTAGCACATCACAATGCGTGGACTGCACTTGCAACGGCTGTCCACAGAATTAGGTCTCATAAAAGTGACAGGCTTGTGGTGGTGCAAACACAATTCTGCAAGGAGCCTGTCTACATCTTGCAGAAGAGATAGCTTCCCATCCCCCCCCTTTCTTTCTCCCACATCTGCAAGCCTGTGTTCCATCTGCGGTAGGATTTAAAGACCAGTTTGGTGCAGAGTGATAAGGGATAGGTTATAAATCAAGTCTTATGCTGCAAGAGAGAGGTTAGTGGAAGTGAAGACAAGGACCTGCCAGCAGAAATAGGAAAAGCTTAAGAGCAAAGACTGAATGAGAAAAAAAGAAACGAATGCCATTTTTAAAGAACCATCCCACAGCTTTGGCAGTTCACCCGTTTTACACTGGAACATTTGGGCCCCATTTGCAAGTGCTAATTGTATAACCAATCATCTGGCCCACTTCTGTGGAAGAACAAAAACTCAACAAGTGGCGTGGAACGCGGCGGTTCTTGTCTTGAACTAACGCAAAAACAAAACGTGTTAGTTCTGCTTTTAATTTAACAGTTATTATTATGACCACGATGTAATTAGCTTTTACAACTATTATTAATAGTAGCAGTTAAACATTGATTGTGTACATCACAACGCTCAATTTAAACGAAACTGCTGAATATAGGCCACCTCAATGAAGCTGCACAACGCTTCGTCAGACTTTTGCTTTGTTGAAAGTCAACGTGGCAGCAGCCTTGCTTGCTTGCTTTTGTTTGGCGCCAAATGTGCGCACATAACATTGTCGGGCGCTTCCAACGATGACGCAAACTAGCAGGCAACACTCGTGCCGTTTAGCCGGCGACTGGCTTTGTGGGCGGGGGAGGGACAAGGCACGTGAGGGGGGAAGCCACTTGTGTGCGGCGCGCGCTCACCTGTTTTGGTAGCTGAAGTAGGAGGCGTCGCGGGGGATCGTGCACAGCTGCTTGCCGTAGCAGCACAGCGTTTGCGGGGAGAACTCGTACTGAAACGACACGGGCACAGGGGAAAGATACCCATGGCATTAACAACGATGGGGCACCATGACCACTGACGCCGCCACCTAAAAGTCATCGCGTCGAGGTGGCATTGTGGACAAATTTGTAGACGAAGGGCTCGGCACCGTGCAAAAAAGAGTACGGGCACAACAAATCGAACTCACCTTGCGCCCACAGCAATAGCCCAAGCTCTGCATGACGGGGTCGATCTCCTGTTCGAACACCTCGGCCAGCTTGGAGCAGTACTTGTAGACACGCGACGTCTTGCGGTTGTAGAGCCAAGCGTTGTTGAACATGAGCCACACGTCGTCCACGTACTGCCATGGCTCCTGGTACTGCCCCGTGTCCAGTTTCCGCTTTATTGTCGACAGGTCCATTGGGGTCTTGACGATGTCAAAGTAGTCCTGCCGACACGGCGGCAACGCGAGAGTGAAGGGTGCGCTCGCCCAGCTCGGCACGCGACACGGACGCGCTCAACACGCCACGGTCAGAATAAAGCCGTTATAGAATAACAAACAAAAGCACCAATATCAAGAAATATCAAGCATCCGAAAAAACCATCGCGATGGCTATGCAATCTTATGTTTGAGCGAAGTGAATTCTCATGAACCCTTAAGCGTCTGGGTAACAGCTCGAGTCAAATTAAGTACGTACATGAGCAGAAATAACTGCATCCAGTTAAAAGGCTGCAAAAGTTGTGGAGTTTAATCGGCGAAAGTGTTATAGATTCACTTGTAGGTTGAGAAATTTAAACGCGATTGAGGGAATGGCGTACAAATCAAGCGCTCAATTCCTTGACAGCGGCAAAACAGCAGCACGATCGCAACGCACTTACTACCCTCCACACTGCACCACCTTGGGGGCCAAAATGTGTACAACCTTATAAGGTAATGCTAATCCGTCACCGCTAGCAATTTCATAATTTGGTGCGTTTCTGTTAAAGAAACGTGGCTTTACGGTGTCTGGGTGGTTCACATGTCACTCAGAGCAAACACAGCCAGGGGGCATGGGTTCGGGCGAGCAATTGAAAACAATTAATGAGCTTCACGCACGTGCGCCTTCAGCACATGGCTAGCAGGCCGTCAACAGTCAAGCCGCATTGTCGATACCACGATTGCCTGGTACCCAAAATATGTAAAATAAAGAGCAGCGTTTTGCTCAAGTCTCCGAATACACGGGCATTATGTTCACGGGCATGAGTCACTTGGGACCAAAACAAGCTGTGGCTTCTTTAAAGACACGTTTTTTTTTATATATATATAAAGGACCTGAAACGGTCAGTACGTAAATTGGCCGAAGGGCGCAACGTCCTCCCCAACGAATTGCACAGAATCACGACGAAGGCTGAAGGGGATCATCAACTTTTCTGCAGCAGAAACTGGTACCACCATTGTGGCCAGCAGATGGCAACACAAACGTGCGTTTGGCTTGAGCGTGGCTTATCACGGAGAGGACCTTTTAATTTGGAGCCTTAAATCACTGTCGCGCATAAAGTTGCCGGTCAAGAAATGTCCGTAGGCACTTGTGGGGTTTAACGGCTTCATTTGGCCTTTATTTATTTATTCATTTTAAACTATTTTACACGTGTAGCATCATGTAGCGATTTTGCAATTGGAACTATCCAACACAGTTTTAGCTCGCTCCGTATAATAATGGTACAAAATCTCCCGTGGCTGTGTCTTACCGTTTCGCAGAAACGCCAAAAAAATTTGATGACACATGCGCGCACACACACACACGCACACACAAACAGTAAAGCTGTAAGCGGGCTAGCTGGGACTTCATTTCCGTTCTTCTGACGTACTGAAAACATGTCAAGATGGGCAGATTATCTTCAGGTGACATTAATGAAGGTGGAGTATGAATGCCAATTAATGTAATAAAAGCAACTTTTAATATCTTAAATCTGCAAAAACAGAGGTTGAAGAAACAAAAATCAAATCCCAGCAAGCTTTGGGTTATTGCACACGACAGAGGTAGTGGAGCAACGAAGGGATCAAGAACTGCAATGGAAGAGTTAAGGCATCACCAGCATAGATTTTCAAAGATTTTAAGCAAGGGCTTAAATAGGGCAACATAGCAGCACCAGCAGAATTTTTTTTTTTACAAATGGCTCACGGTAACAAACGGCCTTAAGTTCATACGAATTTGGTACATAAATACCGGTTGACATGCACACACACACACATTCAGCACCGAACAGCGATTTAAATCGGCACACTCATTTAAAATGATGCTATGTTGAGTTTATATCCATCACTATAGTTTTAAATGGGATCCATAAGAGGTTTTGGTCGCCAAAGCCTACGTGTTAAACATTTAAATGGGATGTCATTTAAGTTGAAGCTGAAACTTCCTGAAAATCTAGTGCGTGGGGGTGGTGGTAAAACCAAGTGAAGAGACTTTGGGTCTATACATCAAGGGTTTTCCACACGATAGCTTTGAATGCTACCAATAGGAAACCCAAAAGACAGTTATGTATTTAATCAAGGACCCAAACTTCTGTCAAATTGTGTTCACATACAATGCACTAACAGGTGTTCACCCACGAATGCCCGCACCGATCTAAATTTGGATTTGCTTTTGGTTCTTTTCATTGCAGCCATCTTTGAGAGGTCTGAAAGGAATTGGCTCTGCCACACCCCTGGACAAGGTTAAGAGGGGCAGCCTTTATGAGCAGTAGAGGCAGCTAACACAGTAAAAAGTCGGGCATTCATATTTGGCCAAGGCAAACTTCCTGGGTGCATGGCTTTGTCACAACGATGCTTCTCCTAAGGCTGCAAACTCTCCGATACATGTCCACTACAATTAATAAGTGCAAGCACTACAAGAGTAACAGGTGTCTTTTGCGGTTCATTGAAAAGCTGCTTGAGTGCATGCGGATGTGATGAATAGAGATGTACACGCACTCATATACACAAGGTTGGTGTCAGGTGAGATTGCACGAGAAGCTAGGCAAGGCATCCGAGCAAAAAGTGGGGTTGGGTGAGTCACGTGAAGATTTAAGTGCCACACGTATGTGCCCAAAGTCCAGGTTCTGCACGAGTATGCGGGTTTCCCAATGCGGTAAACTAGGTCGTGGTTTAATGAACAAGCAACACGATGCATTTGACGAAGTTGAATTAACCACTGCGACGGATTAAACTCTCAAACAAGTTCGGGAAGCATAGATAAAATCTCCCTATTGTTAAGGCTCGTGCACAGCGTGGGGGTGAGGTGGATTAAACAATATCAGGCCTTACTCGAATGCCCCAAGTCAATTCATTAAATTTTCCCCCTGTGATAATACAGGGTTCTCTAACAATCACCATCAGCTCAGCCAGTTTTTTCAAGTCCTTATGTTCCACGAACTAATACATACTTGTGGGTGGCATCATTTAAATTGGGCAGTTGCCTTCAGAAGGATTTTCGAAAATGCCAGGCTTTTGTAGTTGGACGGGTACACACAGCCATGTGCACAGATGCATTGATGGATGAAACCCCTTGTTCAGAAACAGGTGAGTCATCTAAGCTGCATTTCAATCAAATTAGCTTTTAGGCAAAAGCTCTGCAGTAGAGCTTTGGATAAAAGGACATTCTTAAGGAAGGGAGAGTGGCACTTCCTTTGACATAATCTAAAATAGAAAATCTCTCATTTGCCATGAAGTACTCGAGCAATGGGAGCAATGAGTGTCTCTAGCTTGCGAACAAATCCTGTGGGGAGGGTGCCAGGATGATGCTGATGATTGTGACTGTGGTGTGCAAAGTGTAACTCACGGGAATCCCCAGTGCCTGTGGGTCCACGGGCTGACGGAAGGGCAGGGACTCGGGGTCCTGCCGGTACAGGGCTTCCAGTGTGGGCATCAGAGCCTGCCGCAGCTCCTCGGGCTTAAACACTGCACGCCGGTGGCACACGAACGCATTTCCGTTAGGAACGCCGCCAAGCACCGCCTAGCATGTACTGGGTTGGGGCAAAGGCGATGCAACCCAAATGTCATCCTGTGGACATGCACCCAAGGTGTGTGTGTGTGTCTGAAGGGAGCACGAGTGATTTTAAAGTCTTTTTTCCTCAATAATTACATTTAAAACTCATGTTGGACAGCAAGGGACACAGCACAGGCACATTTCTACTCGGCAGGTACATTCACTCAAACATCCCCCAGCGATTCAACAAATTGTCACGATTGAATTCAAGATAAATCATATTTTTGGCTTGTTCATGTTGTCTCATCATTACCCAAAGAAACACGATTAGAAAATAAGTAGGAAGTAAAATTTAACAGATTCCCATAAGCATTATTTGATGAATTTATCCTATTAGGAATCAATTACAATATACAAATAATTACATGACTGGCATCAATAAACACAAGAGCCACTTGTTCTTCGAGTCCCGTCTTCTGTTTGCAAGCACAGCAGTGAAGGAAGGCAACGGTGCACCTTTGGGCACGACGTAGGTGCCTATGTATATACTGTATATCTGTATGCAGAACTCTTTCTGCAACGTACGTAGCCAACCGTGCTAATTGGAGGTAGGCGAGGGGTGGGGGCTGCCGTCACCTTTCTTGGGTCGTGGCTGGGGTGTGGCGGGCGAGGGCTGTGGCCCAGTCGATGAGTTGCTCGACTCGGAGCTCTCCTCCTTCACCTCCATCTTGATATCGGGCTTCTCGTCCACCTCGCTCGGCTCCATCTTTTCCACCTCGCCGTCCACCTCCTCCCGAATTGGCTGTGGACGACGGACGGACAGTGGTCAGCATTGCAGGCTACAGACGCCCATCATCGGGGACTCGAGCACCAAGAGCCCCACTGTTGTTTTGTTTATCAACACAGTCAAAGCCTAGTGATGGGACCAACCGCTAAAACGGGAAATGTTTTCAGAGAAGCGAACAGCTTGGGTTTTACCAAGTGGTGTTCGGCATGTGCAACGTTTCGTTCCCAGCAATTCACATCCTGAAGCTCCCAGAGCATGGGAGTGAAACGTCAGAAGTCGTGCCAAACAACAAGAATTACAACCCAAAAACACGTCTGATAGCCGTAATGCACAACCGCAATAAGCTACGTAGAGTAGCTTTAATTGTGGAGGTATGTACCCAAGCTGTGTGTCCTGGGCTATCCGAAATATGAGACGAAGCTTTGTTACTGAGAAAAAATTTGGCAAAATGTTCCATCAGTGTTCCTGTGATATTGCTGCTCTGATTTTACATTAAAGCGTATGGGCAATACAGCGATGTCACTATTCCACCACAGTGATGAACCTGACAGTACGTTAATTTTAAGAATAAATAAACTTCAAAATAGCGTTGAACAGCCCAAAAATGGATCTAAAAAGGTTGAATCTTCTTTTAAGCAACAAATCATCATAGGAAAATAACGTACACATAAGGTCCATCAGGGCAAAGATACAAAACCTGCAGAGATGCCCATTAAGGATTTTTTACATGACCTTGACAAGCATAGTTACTAAAATACATAATAATCTATCCTTCAACCTGAGAATTGTCATAATTCATGCTCACGATTTCACTGAAAACTATGTTATCTTACATCACCATTCGTTTCTTTTAACTTACTTAATTCGACAAAACACGTCATTTAAATTCTTAACGTACAATTACACTTGATGCGGGTACCGCAATTCAAATTTTTAATCCGCAAATCCATATCGACAGCGTCTAGCAGTGGCGACACCGCTATACCTTAACGTCGGGCTTCTCGTCGGGCTGGGCGGCACCCTCGCTGGCGCCCTCCTCCATTTTTATCTCCATCTTGATGTCGGTGGCGGTGGCGGCTGTGGGGACGTCCATGGGCACGGGCTGCGAGCCTCCGTCTGACGCGCTGCCTGCCGACGCTGGGGTGCCCACCTTCACGTCGCCGGCGCTCACGCACGACTGTGACATCTAGGAGGCAGGAGTTGCCGAATTAAGTATCAGGATGTTCGCGTTGGGCGTGTATCGACGCGCACAATAAAAGTAAATTCTTAGGCTTGGGATACACATTCGTGGAATCGTGCCATGTAAAAATCTATTACTTTCAATTCGTATGCATGAAATATAATTGATTTATATGACCCGTTGCATCAAAACACGTTAACTTTAAATAATCCATTGTTAAACATGAATCGTGACCCTGAATCACACCATTTCGTCAAATTGCGATGGGGTAAATACATTTGTGCACGCCTGGCTTGCATAACCTAATACCAATCACATACTACCTTGGTACGAACACTGACTGCTACTCCGTGGTTATGGCTGGGAACGGAGGCTGGAAGTCAGATTATATTCTACCCGGAGTAGTTCATAGACCAGTTGTATTTTTGCAAAAACAGTGACGTCTTGAAAATTCCGCTTGCATCTAAGGTAAGGTCATTATCCAAGAGGATGTTACGAAGACAGGTTGAAGTTAATGTATATTCTGATGGCCAAATTGCATTCAAAATGGCTTGCAGAATAGTTGTTGGCTGTTAAGAAAGTTCCTAAATGGTTGCATGAAAACAAACCATTCAATGCAAAGTAAATTACGAATGCCATTGCTCCCAACAAAGATTTACCACCTGGCTACATCTCGGAACAAAATGCCTATGTCAATCATGTGTCCAGGAAAACATCATTGGATAATTTTAAAAGGGTCACCAATACATGTTCATAAACGTATTTGCTGTCTTGCCGACTCTTGGCTACCTTACAGCCCAGTAGGTTTAGGAGTCACAAAGATCTGAGTTTCGTCGACATAGTACTATATTACAGGTATGCACTAGTTGGCAAGAATGAGCATTTTAAGGGCAACGAACTAATCGTGTGGGGGGAAAAAAAGGGGACCGACATTTGGTTTCGGGCTGATGTGATGACTCGAGTGCAGTTTTTCTCAGCATCAGTTTGGCATTTAATAACTTTTTTCAATAATTTGTCATCATTGTTAGAAATAATTTATGTTTTGATCCTGATTAAATAGCTTCTTGTTAATCTAATTTGTAGTGCTATACACCACATTAGGCAAAACGTAACATGAGCATATGGGTAAGCATAAATCCTAAACGACGATTCAACCCGAGCATCCCACAAGCACAGAATTTTAATCCTGTGCATTGTTACGCAACTAGCAGCAGCTATTGCACACCACAGTGCTATCCATACCCAGTTCCAACCACAGTCGCACACAAATATGTTGGCATTACGCGTAGCAACTCTCTCCCTGCCGGCTCACCGGAGTCTTGGGCTGTGGCTGGCCCGGCGTCCCAGGCTGTGGCTGTGGCTGTGACTGCGGGCGCGGTGGTTGCTGCAGGTGCTGGGGCCCTGCGGTTGGGGATGGCCCCACAGACGTGGGTCCCTGGGCCGAAGGCAGCGTCGTCTGCGCCAGAGGAATCGCCTGGCTCTGTGGAGAACGCTGAACCTGCATTGCGCCCGGGGGACAAAAAATACACTATGGTCAAAAAGCCATCACGGCCAATTACGTTGATGTGCCAACACACTTTACCGTTGTTTCCAATCCTTCGGTCAATATCCCGAATATGGTTGCACAATAAACACCAGGCCTTCTAAGATCTCATAACTACCAATGGCTTTAGGTCTTCCCCTTGGTAGCCAACCTCCCAGGTGCCCAACTCCAATGCCTGCCTGGGTACCTGCTCTTCTACATTCTGCACATCTCCCACCGAAAGCAACCTCCACTTTCTAATTACATTCATACAGAATGCTTTCAAGAAGAGTTTTTCTCCGATTTTAGCCAACTCAAAAAACAACTGCTCAAACCAGATGGCCCAAAGTGCATGCAAATGGCATACGCCATGTTGCTTCTTGTTGTATCCACCGTGTTTAACCTCAATTGACATGGCTCAGTTCTAAAATGTATGCTGACATTTAGATTCCACAAATAAAAAACGAAAGCTTTATCAGCAAGTCACCCTCCACAGTGGTTACCAATGCAGCCTACATACCTGAGACTGCACCTGAGCAAGCGGTTGAGGCGGTGGTTGAGGCTGCGGTTGCTGCTGCTGTTGCTGCTGCGGCATCTGCTGCTGCGGCGATTGCTTCCCGTGCATGCCAGATTGGGCCGTGGGCGGCTGGCTGGACTGATGGGCAGGTGGCAGAGGAGACCCGGCTGATGGAGCCATCCCGGCCACCTGGGTCACTGGAGGAAGCCCTGCGTTCCCCTTTCCACTGTTCTGCATGACTGTGCTTGGCATGGGTGCCGCCTGTACAAGACATGGGGGGGGGGGGGGGGGGGAGGTGAAATCCTAAGGAAAGCGTGTGCATGTATAGAAGACCAACAAAGTCTGGCAGTTTTCCCACCAATTTGCAACCCTGCATCATCAACTCTGAAAAACTCAGTCAGCAAGTGGTGTTAATTTTTTTGTTATTTACGCACCACTTTCAATGCATTATCAGCAAATAACGTTTATATTTGAAATCAGCAATTATGAACCTCCCAACACAATGAGATTGTCCAACATGTTGTCACATGTAAAGCAGTGAACTGCATCCATTTGTGTTATTGTCCTCTGTAATCGCAAGCAACAATGGAGCTTGCATTGCTCTCCTTCCATGGAATTACAAATGACAAGAAATCAGAATATTCACCAGTTGTGAAGGAACACCTCCATAATGGTAAATGTCACTATTAGAGTACATGGAGGGACTATGGCACACACCTGTGTGGTAGCAGGCTGCGGAGGGGTTTGTGAGGGGGCCCCGCTGCTTGTGGGTTTGCCTGCTGTCACAGGAGGGAAAGGCCCCGCTTGTTGCGAGTGGAACTGCTGCTGTTGCTGCTGTTGCTGCTGTTGTTGCTGCTGCTGCTGTTGTTGCTGCTGCTGCTGTTGTTGCTGCTGCTGCTGTTGCTGCTGCTGCTGTTGCTGCTGCTGCGTCGGCGACTGCTGCTGCGATTGCGCTCCAATGTTGCCCATGTGCATCATGCTTTGCGCCGGCGGCATGCGCGTACTCCCCATCTGCAAGAACACGAACACAAAACCCATCATGAATCGACCCACGCAGTACAATGGGGAATTTGAACATCAACCCAAACAGCCACCACGTAACGAATCGCAAGTGTGAGACAATGAAGATGGTCAATGTTTTACTCCATTCAGAATAACCATGGCTGGTAGCTATCATGTGATTCTCACCAGTAATAAAAGCGTGTAGCCAAACATATTGAATAATCAAAACGAGTTTCCAAAGTAATGGAACCTGATGCAGCAGAAAACACCAGCCACATTTGATTTGTTTTTAAAAACCTTGATCACCGATTCCTACTTGCTATTCACTATAAGGCCACTACACAAATTAAGCAGTTACTTTCACAGGATCGACTATAGCTGCATCATGGGTTTATCGATGACATCAGCAATTGATTGTTGAAGGCACACATTTAACCACAACCGTGGTGTTCAAAAGCAGCCGAGCAAAGCCTCCTACGAGATGCTGTGTTGAGTTACATGGAAGAGCAATTATAATTAGATATAAAAAGGGGGCATCTGATTTGCGAGACATTAAACCCAATAAAACACCCATGGAACATCACAGCTTCGTCTCACCGAGTGGAATACATTGCTAACAATAAGCACTCATTTATGTTGGCTCTGGCAGCAGCATTATGCCCTCGGCATCCTTGTGGGCATTTCAAGTGTGGCAACTTGCAAATGTAACATGGCCCATGCCAGCATGATTGTGGCAGACAGTAGGGTGGGAAATAATATTTCTTGCTTAAATAAGCTAAATGCAACCACCAGCCACATTTCATTAAAAAAAACATCCGAGATCGTGAGTCATGCTGTAAAACCCAAAGCTTTTCGGCTTTGTCTACTGCAGCCTACTCAGTTGCTGCACCAGGGGCGAGTACATGAATCCCCCCCACAAAACATTGGGGATGTGTGCATTCCTGGGAAATGTTACTCGAATTTGCTTAAAGAGAACTCTAATTTCCCAAACATCATTTTAAAATCAGGGGTTGTGTTTCCTCGTCGACTATCCTAGAAGCAACGTGACTATATGTCATAAAGTATACACAAATGCATACGTTAACATACATTTTCACTCAATAGATATAATTAGAAAAAAACTTTACAGAGATGGTTTAGGAGCATATTTGATAGATGCTTCTTGGGGTGAGCAGTGTTGTGGAGTTATGCAGACTAAGGGAGTACGATCTGACTATGAAGCTGGAGCCACAAGAACGTTCAACCAGAAGAAGCTGGCTCTCTTCCCCAGACCTTCTGACTTGATTGCAGAATGTAAAAAAAAAAATCTGCCCAAAAACAGCTGGACAGCAATTTTCTTCTTCCTTGAAGCAGTCAATCATCATGCATCTGCTCTTGCTGCCATATAAGCGTCCAGTAATTTGTTTGATCTATGGATTACGAGGGGTGACCATGGGGGCGGAGCCATTCTTCAGACGGTTGCAGTCCAGCACTTGCCAACTAAAGGACAAACTGCTGGAGTTTGCGCAACAAGAAAGGCAATGTGTCCAAAAATGGACAACTGTCTCCTTCCAACTAAGCTCTCAATCGCTAGTAGACCTGTCGTAGATGCAATGGTGACATTTCTGACAAAGTCGAACCATCGGACGCCAAGAAGGCATCTTTGGGCATGGCATGTGCAAGGGCTGCAGCCTATCCAAATCAGCTCGAAGCAATGCCCAGGCCTCCAGACCATACAACAAAACTGAAAAAACACAGCACTGGAACTCGACATTTGGTGCCCAGAGTTAACCGTTTCTGGGACCAAATGCAGTTCAGACCGTTCATTATTCCTGAGGCCAGGCCTTAAGAACAGTGACAAAGAAAGCTGTGCTCAGGCCAGTTCATATTCCTTGTGGTGGTATAATTTAATCGGCTTGCTTTTTTGTTCTAGCTGCATTAGCTCCTCATGAGAGGTCCTCACCATGGGACTCACGCTACTCCACCATCTCCAACTCCTCTACATTGTCGAGTCCAGCTACTTTGCGACAAAGAGTGTACTGTACGCACACAGGGGCGTACCACGTGAACATTAATTGTAATTGTCGCGGATTCATTTCGTCCTGTTACCGCGTAGCACGTCGAGAGCTCACCTCCCTCCGCACTTGGTACGTGCTATGCGCGTACAGTACTGTATAACGTCGCAAAATAGTCTGTTATCACCATGTGCATTCCTATTTGGAGCTTATTTTTAAGAACACATGCAAAACATTAAACTCACAAGGAAATACACGTTCCTCAATTCATCAGCAAAGTATATGTGAAACAACGAAAATGCGACAACTTATGGGGGGAGGGGTGGGGGGGGGGATTCCTGTAGCGATCAGCGGCCGTCGCGGCTCTCACCTGGTTGATAGCATTCATTTGGTTAATTTGGTTCAACTGATTGGGGTGGTTGAGTGGTGGCGTCGAGCGCTGGTTGAGGACGGCTGGTGGCACTGCCATCGGGGGCATCTGCCCAAACTGGCCCCCGGGTCCTGCGGGAACACGAGCACCAACAGCGCCGGCAAACTCAGAACCCGCCGCCACACCGTGCCACGCCGGACCCCGCCAAGCTCCGAGCCCAGGTCCTGCTGATTTGAGATGGCAGATGTCACATTCACATGTGTGTTGCTATGACAAATAGCATATAATTAATTCATTCAAGTAACAAAGGCATCGCACTGTTGTATCTCAAGTTTCACTGCACTTATAACTGATACACGGAAATAATACATAGTAATGTATGGTACCCAATACACAAGACTGCCATGCAAAGTTACAAATGTTACAAGTTCGGCAAGGAAAATTTTAAAGAGCACTCGCTGCATGCAATTAATTGCTTTCGGCAGTTTTCCCCAATAGGTCTTTCATTATTTCTGAAGTATTATTGTTCGTTTCCAGTGATAATGCCGCAAAACACATTTTGGCAATTAAGGTTCTTGGAAACTACAAATTAAAAAAACTAAAAAATATCAGTGCTGGACAACATCTATTGGGCAGTTTGTTGCATGTAGTTGTTTTAGATTAATTGATCGGGGCCTGGATTTTCAACGACCACCAAGTTACTGAATAAATGTAAATGAAGCTTACATCAAAAGCACCCAAGGCTCCCAAGTGACGAAAGGGACACTGCATTCTGCCACGGGATTTGAAAAATTCCCCACGTCAGGCGTGCCCAGTAAACCTAATTAAAGTGCAAATTAATTCTATTATATTCATATTGGCATTACTGCCCACACCTGGCATGGGGAATATGAAAACCCCGTGGCAGACCAGTCTGTCCCCTTAACCCAATGCGGCCACTTGTATTCTATGATAAACAAAATACTACATAACCTAATATTTATTACACTAACCACACTCCACAACGGCAATGTGGAGTGGCTCACAAAACAGCCAGCCAAAATTTAATTCACCCACTCCAGGAGCAACTAATTTGTCCGAGTTCGTGGCACTCCTCTGACGTCCCACAATCAACACCAACATGTAAAGATTCACTGCAAATGCAGGTCAAAAAAGTACAAGACACAGTACATGCCCACATATTTGCAGAAGTTAATTTTTCAGATGTGAGAGTTCATAAAAAAAAGTTCCATGGGCAGAAACGATCAATTAGAATACAAGCACCCTTCAGGGACATGGTGGCATAAATCTGGCACATTTAAAATTTACCCACCACAGTAGATTTGGAAGCAATTTGTCCCACAGTAAGTGACATAATTGGAGGCAACTCACAATATCTGTAACCACATTCAGGACACAATGGCCAAATCTTGTGAACAAGCATGGGAGCTTTCAAATGCATACCAATGAATAAATTAAGGGGTGGGTCCACCTGGTCATGATATACTGGTACAAGGCTATAATATACCAACATTTGCTCTCCACGCAGTGGCAGAGGAATTGGTGATCGCGCTTCATGCACAAAGTCTACCCCATATCAAGCGGGCTTCCAGAAGCAATGGCAACACTTGTCTCATTCTCACAGTCCTGCGCGCTGGTCCCTACTGGGCCATCAATTAGCGATCACTCCACAAGTGGGTGGAAATATGTATTTCAAAAAATGATTCTCAATTACATTTAAATTGTATGTTATACTTGAGTGCAAGGCAGTTTCACATGCCGGAAGACACTTAATTATGAAGCGCAACAGAAACAATTAAATGTACATCACAAATTGAATTACTCATTAAAATTGTAATGAATTGTAGGTTTAATACCAAACTGTGCATTTAATTTAGTCAAACAAGACCTACCATACCATCTAAGGACTGGGAATGGATTATAAATGAAGTGGGTACTAAATATTGTGGATAAAAGAAATGGTTTAACCAAGGCAAGTGGCATCAAAACCTCTCAGCAGAGGGCACTTGTCCTTCCCATTCTGCAGCGCAACTGTCATACAGAGCAGTGTTCCAATACATTTTTTTTCACATTTTAAACTACCAGATATCTCTTTTATTAACTAATGTGTTTCTCTTCACCTATGCATTTAAACAAAGCAGCAATGATTAGGGGAAGGACAACTCAGTCATTCCATCCATGCTCAACCAAAAGGATAATTCTATTATTATCCAACTCCTGTTATACCAGACAAAACACAAGAATCCGATGAGCTATGCACAGCTCTTTTGCACAGACGTTCAATTGCATGCAACTCTCAGCCAAGTGAGTTTGGGCAATTTCACTCATCTGCATCAACCACCCATCCCTTACCTTAACAGCATTACAAGGGGAGACATGCCACCGTGCCAACATCATCACAGGTGTCTTACTCAAAAGTTCTACACTTGATAGAGTTTGCTCAAAACAGTTTTTTACAGCGCAGATTTGCAGGATTAGATGGCTACACAGAGCTGTGTGCACAAGTGTTAATTTAGTTGGCCTTATTATTTTGGTCTTAAGCCTAGTCTACAAGAATCTCTGGCATTCTTTTGCTATTAGTCTGGATTTTATTTCGTCCTTCTCTTAGTCTAGTCAACTAAAGCAGTTGAAATTTAGTGCGTTTCAGTTATTAAATTTTGGTGTGCGAGGGATGTTCAATTTGCTCCCATATTGAGGTCAGCCAATCAGTCAACTTCGTTAAAAAAAAATTATACATATAGTATAGTTTTTTGCCACGAGCGTCTTCCTCAGTGCACTGTAATCAATAAGGCCATGCCATTGCCGTCATGCATGACGATTTTCGTCCACTCACTCTCATCCTTGACGAAACAAGGAAACCACACCGTTGACGAATAATTGTGTTATTAATTTCCTTAATAAAATAATGGAGCATAGAAGCTGAATGAGCTTGCGGATGGCCCCTCCGTGAACTGGCAAGTACCTGGTGGAGCTGGCATGCGGCCATGCAGCTGAGAAGGCACCCCTGGAGTGCTTGGAGCAGTTGTATGCATTATACCGGTGTCGGACATTGGCCCATCTGCACAAAAAAATATCAACGTAAACTTTTTGTTTTACATTATGAATAAAATTACCCTTTAAAGATCATGTCATTTTTAGACCCCCCCACCCTACAAATAAAGCATTCAGTACGGAGATGGTTGAAGACAAAGGACATGCCTGTACACGCCTCGCTGTGACTGAAGGCACCAATGCTATCAGAATCTTCCAGAAGGCTCTCTTATGGATAAGGAGGGAGTTATTTTGTTCTGTCACTGCTTGTTGTACAGCCACCAAAAGCTAAACATGGCTGCATTTAGTTATAGGGTTGATTTTTCGAAAAGTTTCTTTGGAAGTTAAACATTAATCCCACTATGCTGTGCATGTACTTGTACATCCCGTTTGTTATGTCCACTGCTGGATAAGGACATCCCCATAAATAACCCTCTTGGATTCACCACATTGATTAACAATTAAATTTCTGTCCATGATATGGTCCGATGTGGTGCCCATTAGGAATCGCGTCACTTCAATCGCACTGCATCCAGGAATTTTAGTTGCTTGCCGATACACAATGTTAACACACACACATGGACATATATATTCTTCACTAGGACCTTTCCCAAGTGCGCACACATGCTCACCTATTCGTCTCACAGGGTGCCCTTAAAACACCATGTGTGCACAATAGCCCTACTGGAGCCAAAGGTTTACATGCCTATCCGGCAATATGCACTTAGAACTCTTACTGGGCGGTCGGATGGCCTGTCCCGGCGACATATTCATGGTCGGCATGCTAGCAGGGTTCTGCATCATCTGCTTCTGCATGCGTGACCGCCGCTTCTCCTCCAACTCCTTCTGGATCTTGTAGATCTTCTCCGCCAACAGATGGTAGTACTCCTCCTGCAAGGACACCGTGCACAAAAACACGACGTGTTACCACTTTGGCATGCACATGAATATGCCATTCATACGCTGCTGAAGGGCAAGCGGAAGAGATGTTCACCCACAAGGGGTGGATGACCGCGCGAGCGGGCACACCATACCCGGCTGTTGGCAGACTCGTACATGTCCCCTTCAACCTTGCGTGCGTAGGCCACCAGGTTGCCCATCCGCCGGTCTTTCAGTGCAGCTGGGTCCGGCGTGGGGAATATGGCTTGGACACTGCCAGACGGATAATAAGTTAAATCATTTTTGATTTAAAGCTTTCGTGACTGCAGTGATTCATATTCTTGGTTCTTTCGGTAAAGTCACGTTGAAGGGAAACAATTAAATAATAAAAAATATATAAAACAATTAAATTCTCACGACGTTCTTTGCAAGCCATCTGGCTACCATGAGAGATTCGTTCATGAGGCTATCCACATATACAAACACAGACAATTTCAACCGAGAAGATAGATTCTGGCTTAGCAATCATTGGAAGGATTTAATAAACATTTTCGGGTCTTAATTAATTGTTCACGCTTACGGTGGCTTTCAGACAGCATACATTCATTTTTCGTCTCCCCCCTCCTCTTTTCCGAACATAGATGGACTCGTCCATCTAAACAAACTGTCAAATCGCTGTCCGTGGCGCTAACATTTTAAAATAAATAAATACCGCCACTTCTTTAAAATGTTCTTGCCGTTGGTTTTCACACCTGATGATGACTGCTTGTGTTGCAGTCGAAACATCGTGATAATTTTTTGGTTTTATATATATATTTTTATTATTTTATTGTTTCCCTTCAATGTGACTTTACCGAAAGAACCAAGAATATAAGTTAAATATACATGTTGTGAATAACATTAAAACGGGGGTCGGCAGTAGAGGATAAAGATAAATAAACGTGCAATTAAGGATACGCATACAGTTCTGTGTTCCTTTAACAACATCATGGATAAAGTGAGTACAGTTGATCAAAAACTGACTGCAACCCATTGCAATTCCCATGGTTTCTCTTCCAAAGGGGGCTTTTAATGGAGTCCAACAGGCCAAGCACCTCAAGTGCTTGTGGTCAGATAATGGGTGTGCTTGCAGTCAAAGTGTGCAGGGTGCAGGTACTTACAGCTTGTGCACCAGGTGATTTCGCAGGTCCTGAGTGACGTGCTCGTGCCAGGCCTTGCGCACGCCTGTGCTGGGGGCAGCCGTGGCCGCACTTGCCGTAAGACCTCCGGCCTGCCCGTTATCCCCACCCATTGGGCTATAACACACAGACGGACACAAAAAAAAAACAAAATTAACGATGACAAGTTCCAGGCAATTGTCTCGACAAAGCAGAACCCAACAGAGATTTTGCGATGGGCAAAGTGATAAGGACAATGGACGGATGCACTACTGCCATACCTCTGGGATCCGATGGGCGGCAGCATGCCAGGGTCCTGCATCATGCTACCCGACTGATTGGAGTTGGACATGCCCATTCCGCCAGTGCCCATACCACCCATCTGGTTGGCATCTGTGAAGAAATGCATGAAAACACACGCTTTTCATGGTGGCGCCTTCATATTTTCACAGTATTTTACATGGTAAATATGAAAATAAGGCATTTGAGCACATTACATTTACAGTTAACCTTTGACATGGTTCCAAATTAATTTACCAAGGTATTCATGCAATTAGTAGATTTGAGGCTTAGAAATGCATTCAAATAAAAAAAACAAAAAATAAGTTACACCGTTTTAACACCTGTTACATTTTCATATCTTGCAGTAACCTCTCTTATATTTCAAGAAACGGTTCAACTGAACTTAGGTCAACATCCAGTCTGTGGCGTGCAAGTTATAACACAATGTTTTGAATAGAGATGAATGTCCACTGGGAGATTAAAACTAATGTTTTTAACGCAATCATAAGAAACCCCAACAGTAGACTTCATAACTAATAATTCAAACACAGCTCTAATAAAGGCATTAAGTTGCTTATAAAGAATACCGATGGTAGTAAATAATGCAATTATAGATATAATATCATATTGTTTTATAAAACCATGTGATTTATCAAGCATTACCAATTGAAATAGTAATGTCATTAACTCCTAAACACCACGTGCACTAACAATGAAAAGGATGACTTAATTTGAACTCGAGGGTGATTTTATCTGGAGAAAACATTCTCACGGGACACTAAACGCTTATTGCTCTCTGTAATGCGAGTATCTGCATGCAACGAGGCATGTTTCTGGTGCTTGGGTTTCGCGCATTGCCATTTCTTCCTCACAAATCGAGAAAACATTGGGGCAGGCCATAGACATGAGATTATTATAATACGCACAAATTGAGGAAACAGCGGTCACAATCACAACACTCCTTACCGGTGGCGTGGTGAGAATTAAGAACCGACAGCTCCCATTGCTATCATCAACTTACGTTATTCCTCTAGTTGATTGCGAACACAAACCGACATCAGCACTTAAATAATTCAGAGCCCTACCACATGCTGTTGCTTATTTAAATTGCACAATGGGTAGATTTAGTGTGAATTTTGGATGTGCGGTTGTGCATTGAGCAGTTGCTTCAAAATATATACTTTACAAATACTACTGAAAAGTAGGTTGTTCATGTTGGTTTTGATGGTGTGAGGATTGATATATTCCAAGTCTGTATGCTAGACATGAAATTAATCATTTTCAAAGTTAAGATTTTGGAGGCCTACCTATGGAGTCATTACAGCAGTGACTTTTCAAGTTATATTTATCAAAATGGTGTGTATTACACAATGTATTTTATGCAAAAAAAACAATGGAACTTTTACACATAAATTAAGTGGATGGGTCTGCATTAAATTAAAATTACTTTGGCCTGTTTGGAGGAAATGGCATTTTAGCCAATTTACATTATGTTATGTAGATATTTATTTGGTCGATTTCAAGTTACATTCGTATGGTATTAGTTTTCAGCAAGTCACCTGCTGAGGAATACTGCTGTTAATTGGCAGGAGTCCATAATCCCCATTCGAATCCATCATTTAGAACTCGGTGAATGCTCACTACCATAAAGGAAAATTATCCAAGTAATCGTCTCTTTAATGAATTTACACCGGATGGATTTTTAGCAAACAATCGTCATCTTGAAGGTATACTCACTGATGCTGTTCATGGCTCGATTGGCGCTCTGCTGCTGGGCCACATGGGGAGGACTGCTCTGGTACGGGATGCCCAGTGCGGCGTAGGCACGCTGCATGGAGCTTGGGTCGATGGGGTTTGACGTCGAGAGACCGGGCGTGCTGGGCTGACCCATAACACCCGTGCTCACCGAGCTGCTCACACCCAGCGACGGGGCGCCCAGCAGGGCTGCACAACACACACACACACAAGCGAGACAAAGTTTACCCACTCGGCCTCGCACACCTCTGGGACAGGTACTGTTAGCGATCGCTGCGGTGCACGTGTCACCGTCATGTGGTCGCTGCGGCGCAAGTGTCACGGTTATGTGGCCGGTGCGGCGCACGTGTCACGGTTATGTGGTCGCTGCGGCGCACGTGTCACGGTTATGTGGCCGGTGCGGAGCAAGTGTCAGGGTTATGTGGCCAATGCCACACCCGTGGACCACCCTTGTCTCCCAGTCTTGGTTTATCGCGTGCGCACGAGAAAGTCAGAAGGGCAAGACTTTGCCGGCACGTGAACCTGTTCATCGCACCCTGTGCCCCAGGCAACAAATACCGAAAGTCAGCCATTTTCAGTTTCTCGTCAAGAACCTCGTCAAAACCACACGAGCGATGACGCAATGTGTGCATCAGAGCTAAACCACGCTCATTCATCTCGGAAATCACTCTTCTATGCAACGCGAGTACAAATATTCTCAGTTTAGGCAACAAAAATAAATAAGATCCACTCTACTGGTGTAATCCACCCGGTGGCAATTCGCTGTCCTTGCCTATGGCAACTCATTCGATACAGCTTCATACGGCAAGTTTCCATGTGCATATTAAGTGTTATTGGGACATTAACAGGGCATGTGAGTACAGCAACAGACTATTCTAAGAACATTTACTTTGATAGAATGCAATAGTGCCACTTTGGGAAAGAAAAAAGTAAAAAATAATACAGGTCTAAAACACTGTCCTTCATTTTTGGAGTCCACTGCAAAATGGCTTAGGATAAAATGGCTGACTGTTCGAGTAATATTACAAACACAGTCAAAACGGACCCGAATCTGTCACAAGATACCCTCTTAAATCTTACACACCGTGGTATATTACTTTACCAGGACCTTAATGCACTATTAAAAAGGCCAGTATATATGTATATTCAACATATATAACCAATTAATATAGTGCCAATATGCAAATTACAAGAGGTTTGCACAACAATAGGTGTCTTGTAACCTGCCACAGGAACATTGTGCAAATAGCGGCGATTATCAGGCACAACAAGCACAATAAAGTTTGAAATATGTAACAGCATATAAACGACTCTGAAAATATTATACGTTAAAAAATTCAATGCGTTCACAATTGGCTGTAGCTTTGTCACGTGGATTTGAGCGTATTATCAAAAGCAACCCCCCCCCCTCTGCATTGCAAGCAAGGTAAACAGTCAATGGGTCCGTACGTGACCATCTTGATACTCACACTGCTGGTTACGCTTGTCTCCCGCATTCTTGAGCGGGAGGCACACAGGACAGTCGGGTCGTGTGCAGTTCTTCCAGTGGGAGATGATCTGCCTCGATGACGCGCAGTGAGCCACTGCCAAAAGGAAGAGCCCCATCGCGGTTAGTAAACGCATGATCGAACCGAGGTGCGTGCGTGCGCGCTGCCAAGTCAGCAAGGTGCATGTGGACACCTCTTAGGCAAAAGGTGCCGGCATAACCTTGGATTAATATCCAATCATCATGTGGGGACACTGTGGCGAGATATTAACTTCCTAGCCTGGCATGCAGGAAGGACGTGGGTTTGAGCCCGACCCTGACACCTGTCTATTTGGAGTTTGCATCTTCTCTCCCTTGTCGCGTGGATTTTTCTCCAGGTCCTCCGGGTTTCCCCTCCACATTTAGAATCAACGTGCATTTAGAGTATTTGGCTACTTTAAATTTCCACATAAGCCACTTCGTTTAACAATCATTTGAGGCCAGGTCGCTTCTGAAAGAGCTATATAGCGCATTGTGCCTTACCTGGGGTAAAATAAAAAAAGTTCAATAGTTAAATAAAGTTTCAACCATAATACCATCCTTGCTTCACTTGCCAGTTTTGGATATTATTACAGCGGGAACAATCCTTTTTCACTGCAATGTAAAAACTTCCTTTCAAAAACGAATCAATGCCTAGGAATGCTGACTCAACTATTCAGAAAAACTACCGAGAATTCCTTATGCTTAAGAGTTATTTAAAATGAGCTATGATTGGCCAAAAGTTGTATTGCAGATTTTGGTCCTTCCTGCTGGATATAGGAACCTTATTTGATCTCGGCCTCTTAAATTGAGGTCGTTTTTGAGTCGACAATTCACGGTCATCCAAGGATATTGAAACACCCGCTGACTAAAAGTAAACACCTGATGGGTGTGTTAAAATTTGGGGCTCAAAAGCACACATGCTACTGTTTGCAGCGTTGATTTGGCACAGGATGTTACAGTGTTCCCACTTCTGGCTTAGTAAGTAACGTTTGTGCGACTGAAAATGTAAAACCAAATCGGTTACTCGACTGTCTGAGTTGGCCACATATATAATTTTACCAATATGGCCAACGCATAGGACTCACTCACTAAAGCAACAGGTTTGGCTGCACGAATTGCAACAAGCAATTAAAATACATAACATTGGTATTTCTTTCGTATTTATCCTTGAGAAATGTCGACCAGTGAGTGGCCCTCTCAAGTAAAAATGGCAAAGAGGGTCACCGCAAAACTGTAACTTCCAAGCATCGGTCTATGCATGGACCTATTTAAGGTTACACCTACTCAAGATGGAACTACCTTGTGATGCACAGAAAACTTTAGAAGTCCGTGACAAAATAGAGTGCAGAGGGCAAAAGCCGAAGGAAACTTGCGAAAATACAAATTACATGCAAAACTACAGCTGCTGGCTACAACCTGAAAATCTAAACAACCATTTTGGCAAACGAGCATGCAGTCCACGGTACATGCCAGCAACTGAGGCATAGCTGATCGACACTAGTTTTTTGAGAACAGGACTCTCCAATATATAGTGCGCAGGTCTGTCAGGAACACAACCAAGAAGTGTGATGCAGAGAAGCCACTTTGGAAACAATGGGCTTTTTGACACTGGCCATGCAGCTTGAAATGCTATTGCATCATTATGATTATGTTTATTATAATGGTTGTTAACACAGTAAAAAGCCTCACCGAGCTTAAAGACGTTTTTTTTCCAGGAGGGTCCTGCAAAATTTTCCTCAACCAAAATATTGCCAAGTGAACCGTTGTCACCTCAAGAGAAACAAGCCTGCAGATTGCACGTCACCTCTCCCTCCCAATTGCCAATTGCCGTGCACGCAAAGGCCCTGCTCCCTTCAATTGATAGAGGGAAGCATCCTAGAAAAAAAAAACTCTGCGGACAACGGCAGCAGAAGGCGGACGCGCGCTCACCTTGGCAGGACTTGCCGGCTTGACAGTGCGTCATGTGGTTGAGCACGTTCTTCATGGTGCGGCAGTGCGGGAGGTTGCAGGGCCGCACCTCGCCGTTGCCCTGCTCGCGCCGCTGACACTTGTGCGCGTGCAGCAGGAGCACCAGCTGCTGCTGGATCAACTTGCGCTTCTCGGGGTCGGCCGCTGGCGTGGAGGCCAGGCCCTGCGCGGGAGGCTGAGCCAGTCCGCCCGCCTGCTGTGGCTGGGATAGTGAGAGTGTGTGCGGTGGTGTCAAAGGGCAAGAGGATCAGGCACACGCAGCGAAAAGTAAAAAGGACAAACGCAGACGGATTTAAGCAGGCGATTCACTGGTGCTCCAGAAATATGTAGGGGTACAATTCAATTTAAAAGGAATCAAACTGTCTCCATATTTTAACCTTACAAATGCTGCGAGTGAAGAATCTAAATATTTTGGACAAGCAATATGCCCAAGTGCAGTATTTCCAGTTCAAAATGTTATCAATTTGTATCTGGGATTTCCTATAAAGGTCAGCGGGTCCACCACTTTTTCCATATTCTTACCAGTAAAAAGACAACTCTAGGCTTTGCAGAAAAGTTGGCTCAGCCTAAAGGCTATCCCTAAAAAACACTAACACTGATCAACACAAGTATGTGAATGACTGACTGCAGCGTGCACGTGCAGACAGCCAACAAGCGGAGGTGAGCACGGGAAATACCACTGAAGTCGCCTCTTAATCAATCACAACACTCAGCTAATCTAATTGCACTTACTCAAGTGAGTTGTGAGTAACACATATCTTCCCTTCGTCGCCAACATATAGATGCTAACAAGTTCCATCCAAAAAGGTGCAGGCCCCCGAGACACTGATTAAGGGGTCGTCAATGACAAGTCAATCATGCCACTGCTCAGGTGCAGTTTATCCTACAGGCAATGGGCTCCACAGCCTCAAAAGCTCGCAACTTAACATGTGTCCCAGTTTGAATAATCTCAGAGAAGCCAGGTTCATACCTAAACAAATGTTCATATTAGTCAAATGCACCGACACCTCCTTCCCTACTATGGAACAAATCACCAAAGTAATATATTTGGCCTGTTTCGTGAAGATGGGAATCTGGCCCAAGGTCTTAAAAGTTTAGCAGGAAGGGACAGCCAATGAGTTTGACCTGAGCACAGATGTAAACATAAATGTAAATATTTATTGCATCACAGTAAGCTTACAGCCTTTTTATCTAAAGATGAAAAAGTGGGTATGCAGACTCAACCACATCCTCATTTAAGGCACGCCTATTGACTGTACACATTAGAACAAAATAGGCTATCCAAGGCCAACTCCAGGAATTAACAGTCCACTGATGATCAAATAACAATCGCCCAAAGCGATTCCTTACTGGTGTGATCATTTTCATTTATTTTAGAGAGTGACTTCAAAATGCACATGCTATATAATTATTTTAGTATTACAGGATAAAAATATATACTCTTTGGTTCTTTCGGTAAAGTCATGAAAGCATAAAATTAAATAAATCACGACGTTTTGGGCGCAACACAAGCATCCGTCATCAGGTGGGAAAGCATTTTATTTTATACCTACATGACTTTACCAAACAGAACCAAAGAGGATGGATTCCTGCAGTCACGAAAGCTTCAAATCAAGAGGATAAATATAGACAATATGAAAAAAAACTCACGGGGACACACTGCTACTTTACATTAACTCGCTGCTACTTTACATTAACTCGGCGGACTTATCTTTGTGCGTGATGTGTCTGCTACATGATGGCTAAAAGTTAATTGTCAGGTGAACAACAAAAACATGCATTCCTTTGATAAGCATTTTTAGGCCACTTAACCCCGGCCGCCTGGATTAACTTTTCAGGAAATAAACACTCAGCAATGGATGAAACAATATAAATTTGCGTAGCTGAAACTTGCTTGAATTGCTACATTTTGTACTGATATTTTCCATCCAAGCAACTTATCCTAAGACACTTCCACTGCCATGTGCTAGGCCAGTTTGGCTACGTTTAACACGTGGGTTTTCTCGACCAATATGCATAAAGGTTTTTTTGGGTTAGAATGCGTAAATATAATTTTCCAGAATCAAAATTCTAGCAAATCACCTGAAGCTGGTTGTAATCACCAGTGAAACGTCATACTCGAATTGAAAATATTATGAGTTTAGTCTCTAACACACCGTTGTGCTCAAGTTGTAACCAATTGCCAAATTTTGTGTACGTGATACACTTCTCTAATTGGCTGTGTCGGGTGGTGGTGGGTTAATGATACATTTATATTTACAAAAAAAAACCCTATATTATTTACAGCTTGGCTCAATCGCAATGTTACCAAGCATGGCACTCACGTGCACATCCACCAGTGCCGAGTACAGTGCATGAGTTAATGTCGGCAACAGCGGCTGCATACGCACATGGAGCATAAAAGCCTACAACACCTTACAGGGATTTCCAAACCACAACTATTTTAGAGCGCACATCAATTTTGCATTAAACTATAAATACACACATTATGTATGTGCGGGCTCCACTCTTTCTTGACCCTATTGACAGAATTACCTAACAAAACAAGCAATCGATTTTCTGCTTAATGCAATCACTCGATTGAAATGTGTGGTATCCGATACACACTGCATAAAAACACACAAATGCATCAACGTATCAATGCATACACTCCCTGTAAAATGAAGACATGCTAAAGTACAAGTTTTTATAAAGAAATCCAACCGAGGGATGATGTAATTACAACGAAACCACGGTATGAGAGGCCAATCGAACCTGATCAGAGCTGAGGATGGTGTCAACATGGTAAGACCTCCATTTAATAATGTACCAATAATTCTTGATACACAGCAACCTATGAGCCTCGTAGAACATTAGGATTCTTTTCTGTTTACCTTTTGACACAGGAGCTGCCTAAGACCAAACCAAGTAACACAAATTCACAACAGGGGTATTTGTGAAACCATATTTGCCTTCGGTGGAAAAAAATCAAACCACTTGACGTAAAAAAAGGTTTGATCGCGGTGGTTAAGCCTAGCGCTTTAATGCACCACATCGGAGGTTTTAGCTTCAAGAGCTTGATACAGGTATTAACCTCACGCCAATAGACCCTTCCAGCGAGGGGTTAGTTTTTGAACTTTTGTCACTCACTATGTTAGAGTTGTGAAGTATTAAATTAACACTATCCTACCACATTTCATACCTGAATAGACCAACGTTGCCATTACCTTCCACCTCGGCAATAGCTTTTGAGTGATGTTTGTCGGTTAACATATTCAGCCATGCACACGTGCAACTACTGATAAAGGCACTACAACTAAATCATTTCACAGTATTACAATTCTTCAATCGGCAGTGTTAAAAGGTCAATATGTTCAGCAAACAACTTGCTTATTAAGAAAATGAATAAATGCTATATCTGGAATAAACTTGGGTTCCCTGCTTGAAGACTACATGAAATGTCTTTTTTTTAATAAACTTAAATTACCTGTTCAAAAAGCATTTCAATATTTCTATTTTAATTGCACCAACATATTTTATGGGAAACTGCTTACTAACACTAAGTATGTTCAATAACAAGAAGCGTACCAAACAAAACGAAAAACACGTGCCAGCAATTTTAACACCGCAAGCATAAATACATAAAAAGACTCCGAATGTCCATAAAATACTTTCCCTACAGCAAAGCATTCCCACTGAGCCCACAAGCCGCGGATGACGAGAACTGCCTCGCATATCTCCTTATTCATCTATCATAAGCAATGGCCGGAGGACGGCTGTGCATACCCCTCCTCGAAGCACTGGATGTAGTTATCAAAACAGATTCGAATCCACATTCAGCAAAATTATACTTTGTTGTGCATACAGAGTAAGCAAACCAACTGCACTACATGTGGACGTTTATCGAGAGAGATGTCGCAAAGAGCTACAAATTTTATTTCCAGGTATTAAGCATCAACCAACAATGTCAAGCTGGTCAGAAAATGCATGCATGTGTAATAAATGGCAGGTGGGAGGAATACTCAACATCCCTAGTTCGATTAATGCTGACATGGGTCCTATTTAAACAAAATGCGTCAAAAACAGCACTTTTGCGCTTTAAACGCTGCCACTTCGCTTCTCTTGGTACGGGAAGCAGGAACATTAATGTGCAGAAAACTTCACTTTCACACTTGCTTAAGCAAGGCCACACCACTGCCTAAAGACCATTTTCATTAACCATGAGTGGCACTGCATTCCTACAGATATTGACTTACCTCAGTCAGTTTTCATCGGCCTCGTTTAGAGAGTAAGAACATCTGTGTCGTTAACATTGGTTATCGTGCTTTGTTTAGGGAAATGGAGATATTTAGAAACACACCTATTAATCCACATTTAATTGTTCACTCAATAGTCTGCTGCGTTAGTTACACGCACAATGCAACAGTGCCAATTAATTTGCACGCATGGTGTGGATCTTCCACTCATCTAAACGGTTGGGATTCCTTATCAGCATTTTTTCACCCCTCAAAAATTTAAGTACTCAAATTTGTACTTGTGTTCTAATCTTCAAATAATATTCCAATTTCCAAGATTTATATTAAAAAGTGTTAAAACATGACAACTCCCATTTCCAATGTCAGCAAATGTTCCCTGTAAATAAAAAGTCAACTCTCTTTTACCGTCAATTTTAATTGCGGGAATATGCTGAATGAACATCCAGCATGAACGAGGCCTCACATGGATGGCGGCATTGGTGTCGAAAAATTAGGAAATTTGTAGAGATACTGCTATTCCATACCCTCTTTATTAGAAATCAGTGAAAATTAAATCTGCGGTTGTGCACTTTTATTGGGCCCATAAACTTCAAATAGCTAAGGCTTCTCTCGTATGGATCGATGATGGACCTTGAACCGGTGTGCCAATGCCACCACACACACACACATTTCCACGCAAGTGTCGATGTGTGCCACTGCAACACTCTCGGCAGGAGTGGCGATGAATACGTCCACGGCGCTCACCATATTGGCCATGCTGGTGATGGAGGTGTTCTTGAGGTCGCTGGGGAAGCCCGGCATGCTGTTCATCATGCCGCCCTTGTTCTGCATCGTGCTGCCCATGGCCGCAGCGCTCAGTTGCTGGTTGGTGGCCTGGTTGTACTGCTGGCCGTAGGCGCCACCTCCCATGGATGGTGTCATCTGCAATATGCACACAGCAAGAATCACGTGAGAACTTTTTTTTTACAAGCGAGTGAGTTCATGTGAGTGATGGTTTTCAGCGTGTGCAACAAGGAACACACTGAAGTGCGAATGAGGAAATGAATACAGAACTGACAGGGGCTAGTTAAGTAGAGCATTGCATAGACTGACGGGAGGATACCCTGTTAGGACACAACATTTAAATATTATAATTAGTCAACGCTGTGCAGCCTCATTTTTGCAGAATTATACATACCTACAAAGTGTGTTTACACTCATTTATACTACACCTTGTTTTCCAGAATGGTTTTCAAAGTGGAGAACACCTACTACTGTTCAAATATTTTTCCAACAACACAAACAATAAAGTGCCCTGATGCAGGCTTCCAAAGACGAAGAGTTCGGTATTATCCAGTGCACCAACAATTTTACACCACACACCTATGCCACTTAGCCAAGCCACAAAAGCAAAGCAACATCTGTTCACATCCAAGAACTAATTAACCACCGCAAATTGTCGTCTAAGTTAATGCAAGCTGCAGGAAAACTACGTTCACCTGTGCATCAAAATATAAGGGACCGTAAGCATTCTACAGTAGGAATATTTACTCATAAATGGCCTATACATCGCACCGATGGTCCATGCTATTCGGCACAACATTCGCACGTGCCAACATTATTTACAGATTCTGGCAGCAGCCATTTTGTTTCACTGATAATCCCAAACTAGGTTTTTTTTGGAAGTAGACACTGCTTTTAAATCGCGAACAAATATCCATGCAATAAGGATGTGTAGTTGTTGAAATCCTCACTCGCTAAAGCTTAACATGCAATGTGCGAAAACTCTTTCAAGCCCCATCACCAATGTAGATTTGAAAACCTGCAAAATGTTCCGCCAATTTTGCATTGGGATACATAATTCGACATTGCACATTACCCACAATAGTGCCAACAAGATTTTTTAATTTTCACAATAAGACAGGAGTGTTTGGGAAATTAAAGGCTTGCCTCTTTACAATGTACAAACTGAAACTAAGAGCTACAACCATTGAATTGTAAATACGTATTATCCTTACACGCTTCATTATTTAAAGTTTGCAATGCACAACAAATGCGTTGAGAATTATTTGCAGTTTCAGTGTATGCATAAACACCAAGGAAACTATATATACACGTTGCACAGTCAAATTGTCTCAAGTCATAAGCACAGATCCATGCTAAAATACCTCTGACGAACACGTTTTGCAAGCTACGCAAAAAAGGTGCACGTGCTATAATCAACTACTGTACTTTCTGCTCCTCAAACATTGCATGGGTGAGAATGCAGATAAAACAACCCAAAATGCATATGGGTAAGAAACACACATTTCTAGTTATCCAGGAGAGGGTCTCACTATCCACTACCACAAACAACAATCGCTTTCACCAACCAGTGCTTTTACACTTAGTTCAACGCACCGACAAACTATGCAATGTAACCGGCACCTTTAATCGCAAACGGTATAAACATATGCGTTTTGGGGGAAGCGTGGGCCGAAACGCACGATTGCAAGGCACAGTTTAGGCTGAGCCACCAAAACCGGTCGAACGCGGACAACAATGCCGGTCAACATCACCGATCCGCTCGCTCCTTTGTTTTTACACAACTTCTCTCTCAAGCAGATATCACGCACAAGCAACACAGACCCACCCACCCAACCACCCGCTCGCACGGAGGCAGGCATACGCATTAACACACGCACCACGGACTGGGGTGGGGTGGGCGAGCAAGGCCGTGCCTTTTAAAAGCACGGGGCGTAAACACTTTAAAATGGCGAGACGCGCTCGTGAAAAAAAAAACTTGTACAATGCCCAACCCCACACACGGGCCCGAATCGCTGCTGCTCCGACTCCTCTAAAGCTGCGAGTGTGTGTGTGCGTGTTTCAGGCCTACGCTTTCCCCAGTGCCTATATAACAATACAAAAACCGCCAACCATCCACCCCCCCCCCCTTCAAAAATGCCTTCACGGCAATCCCCTTGCCTGCAGAGATGAAGTGTTGTTGGGTTACTTCGTAGACGCATTTATTTTGTCACGAGTTTAATCATCCGCAGCCATCATCAATTCGACTGTTAGATGAGGAGGGCCCTCCAAAGCCGTCACACTATTCGGAGGTTAATATTAATTATTGATAAGCTTTCGTCCATCCACTGCTGGATGAAGATGGGAATTTGGGGGGGGGGTCCCTAACCAATCTTCACATCTCCGTTTACAGCCGGTTGGTGAATGGCAGTTCTAAACACACTCGCTACATTAAAGTACAGTATGCTGCGTGCAATGCATACAATACTGCGCTGCTATATGCACCTACAGTACACACTAGATGCTATGCATTACTACACACCTCGTGTATATGCTGCATCGCATATGCACAGTTCCACATTCTTACGCGAAAGGAGCATTGTAAGGCAAGTGTAAGCACGTATACGGGTCTGCGCATATGCGTGCACGCACTTTACACAGGCTGCTATAACGCGCATGCAACCCACCGCAAAATGATACTGCACGCGTGCGAACGTTTCATTTCACGCAAATGCACACACGTCCGACACAAACATGCATCGACGCCAAACACACACGGTACACACAAAACACGCTCACAAAGATAGAGACACACACGCGCGCGCATACCGTTGGCGATAACACAGTCATATGCACGCGTCATTATATAATACACAACACGGCTAATCCGGGGCACTGCAATTCACCTCTCTTAATCCCGACATGAAAATTCTAACCCGGAGCGAGCAGCGCCGGGCCTAGCGGCGGCTGATGGTGGTGGCTACTCAACGAATCGGCACTTGGTGCAGCATCAGTCGCATCAAGCAGCAGCAGCAGACACCACATCAGTAGTTTCAAGCAGTAGCAGCAGACACCAGGCAATGCCAGATTCTCTCAGCTCCACCGGTTCACCCATAGGAGGGAATCCCTACACCAGGAGGTTGGTGGCTATCCCCAATGCCCAGCAGCACCGCTCACTCACACGTTCAGGATATCCCCCACCTCCCCAATAAGGACGGATAAACTCAGCATGTTCGTCATTACAACACCGTCGTATGAGGAAAGATATGTAACAAGGATAACGTGTTTGAGGAACGTACCGATCAATATTGCAATTTCAAAGTGCACGTACAAGCTCCAGGCCTTCCCTTTTTCTTTACTATCTGTCCGTATAACTTGCACATCTGTAGATATTCACGGTTCTTGTCTGGCGGATTGAAATGCCGCTATAGACGCCAAAATCGATGCAAAAGTAGAGCACTGTGGAAGTGCAGCAAACATTCCCCCCATTCGTACCCGTCCACCTCTCCCGCGCCCCCTAACATGGCCCATTCAATTAGTCCCCATTTACTCACTTGCAATAACAAAGACGAAGATTCACCCCCCCCCCCCCCCGTGTAGCCTAAACAGACTGTTGGGGCAAGTGCTGTTAGCGAGCACCTATGGAGGCCGGCACGGCACACGAGGGGGTGGGTCAACACCACACGAGGCCGCCTTTGTCTCCCCAGTGACGATGTTTACAAAACACACACACACACACCGAGAGGATACACGTCTCGAACACCACGTCCAAAAGAAACGCAATCGTGTTTGAATCGAAGTTGTCCTTTGCATACAACACACGCAAGAGGCCAACATTTTTTAAACACAATGGCCTGAAACACGCGCCCCCCCCTCCCCAGTCGAAACTTGTGCGTTGCGAGTGACAAACTAAAGCAGGCCGCCGTAGTAAATACAGTAGTAAATAGTTAGTATTCACGACATCACTGGAGGGGTCCCCCCCCCTCTCTCTCTCTCTCATGTGCGAGAGGTTGTGTGCATGAACCAGCGCGAGCTAAGGGGGGTAAAAACCCACCACCAACCCCCCCGCCGTTCTCTGTGGCACAAGGCGCGATGATATTCCTGCACGCAGCACCCGTGTTATACGCGTGTGAGCGGCGGCTTCCTTTGTCCTGCGGACGGAGGAGGGGGCAGCTGGAGGAGGAGTGGCGTGAGTTAGTAGAGGGGGGTGGGGGGTGAGGGGTGGTCATGGGGGGGGTGGTGGTGGTGCTGTGTTTTACAACCCAACACAAGCACTATTTGGTTGCGCGTTTGAGAACGAAAAGAAATAACATCGAGTTGGAAGGGAGGGAGGGGGGAGAAAAAAAGGTAATAGCAAATACGAAGGTATCTTTTCGCGGTGGACATGAGACGCAAAACACAGAGCCATCACCTACCTTGTTCATGGCACCGGCCTGAGACTGCGCCAGGCCGGGGTGATTCCCCGGCGTCGCCTGGGCCAGGGTCTCGGCCAGGAGGCTGTTGGCTCCCACCGTGCCCTGGAACTGCATGGCAGCACGGGGAGGCGCGGGGCCTCCTGCTCCTCCAGCCATGCCCCCCAGGCTGTTGGCCGAAAGGGGCCCGTTCAGCATTTGTCCCTGTTGCCCGCCTTGCTGCTGCTGCTGTTGCTGCTGCTGCATCATCGTTTGCGCATTGCTGTTCAGGAGTGTTTGGTGGCCCTGCCCCATGCCAGAGTTCATGGCATTCTTCACCGCCGGATTCAGCATTCCACCTTGCATGCCCACAGAGCCAGGGTGGCCCTGCTGCTGCTCGGGCCCCCCGTGGCCGCCTGGTCCTCCCTGCCCACCTACCCCAGCCAGCATGCCGGGAGGTGAGGTGAGGCCGCCCTGCGCCGCAGGGCTTTTCACAGCATTGCCCAGCACCGTGGACACGTTGGGACTGTGCTGTTGCTGTTGTTGTTGCTGCCCGGCGCCGACGGATGCCGAAGACTGTCCAGCAGCCTGGCCCTGGGCTGAGCCGGCGGCTCCAGAGGCCGCACCGGCACCGCCGCCAGGGCCCAGGTTGGAGGTGCTGCCCGCTCGAAGCAGCTCGGACAGCTGCTTGTGCTTGGCGGCGGCGTCGTGCATCATGGACGTGGCGCCACCGCCACCCATGGTTCCCGGCTCCCCGCCGTTGGGCAGCCGGGACAGGGGGTCGCTCGACGGGATGAGTTCATCTGGCAACTCGCTTTCCAACTCGAACAGCACCGAGCCGAAGGCAGTATCTGCGCGCCAAGTCGGGGGGGGGGGTGGAAATTAGCAACGTGGAATAACATATGCAACGCTGAAACGGTTGCCCGTGTGGATGTTGGTGGAAGCCGGTGGTCAATTGTGGAGTTGCTGCTGGGTGAGAAGGTTGGAGGAGAGCTTTTAAGGCGAAAGGCAGCGCGGTGCACGGAATCGCGTGCAAACACGCGCACGTGCATAAAACACCAACACAAGCGCGCGTGCAACATTCGATTCGTGCACAAATGCAACGCGCGCGCGCGTGTGCACGAGACACCAGCACGCGCGCGTGTGCACGAGACACCAGCACGCGCGCGTGTGCACGAGACACCAGCGCACGCGTGTGCACGAGACACCAGCGCGCGCGTGTGCACGAGACACCAGCGCGCGCGCACAGTTATGGGACCTTAGCAACACTCGCATCACAAACATCGTTGAATTCGGCGTTGGCAAATTCTAAACCAATCGCGCCTCTTTAAAGCGTTTATCTGTGCCAACGAGCCCAAAATCTCATAAGTCTTAATTGCTGTTTTATAGCACTGTATACATTAGACTACCCGAACGTACTGTATATAAATGTGCACACGTAGCGTATCGGCTAAAAAGCATAGGGTCCGGATTTACAATGCACACCGTTCAATGCAACCAAACATTACACTGACGACACCAACAAACACCATTTTCGCAACACATACAGACGCCTGCTATGTCGCAGTTTTACCAACTGAACCATTCACAACATTGGCACTTAACATGAAATAAATGCGATGTCATGCATTTGCCCAACAAAGCCCGGTTCATGGCTCCCTTTCAGGAGGGTCCTGCGATTTGCATGTTTTGGCCAATTTAAAGCCCCCAATACTCCCCCGCACACTGAATTCAAGTAATTCAACTTCCCGCCACAGCACAGAGGACGGTCGGGGTGGGTGTGGGGGGTGGGATAACGAATGCCACCCGTTCCCTTATCGTCCCTATCCCGTCCTGAGACGACCCTGCCGACCCGGGGTTCCCCCCACCACCAACCTGCGCCGTCGCTGGCGGAGAGAGTCGGCGAGGAGATCTTGGGCCGCTTGGCGGCGGGCGGTCCGTCCATCAGGTTCTCGGCCATTTTGCAGCAGCAGCAGTCTCACCGCGGCCAGAGATCATTCGGAAAACGCAGTCGCCCCCGAGTCCCTGCGTCGAGACTTGTTGCTGGTGGCGATTTCCTTTTAAATCCTCGTCTTATTTCTTTGCCTTCGCGCGCGCGCGCGTCTTCCTCCTCCTCCTCCACCCTCCCCTACCGTCCTGGCTCCCTTCTCTTCCTCGTATTCCCCTCCTCTCAAATCACTCGTACAGTGCCGTCTGTCTCCGTTGATCCAACTCGATAATTACTGTCGTTGTCGTCGTCGTCTCCTTCTTCCTTAAATCAGTGGCCCCTCGGGCAGTCCGTACGCAACGCAGCCATGGCCGGTGCGGTCCACCTCGTCGGGGCCGCACGCCCGTCCCCCCCCACACCCACCCACCCTAGCCCCAACCTCGTCGTCGAGTTTTTTTTCCTCCTCCTCCTTCTCCTCGTCGTCCGAACAGAACCAATAGCTTCTGCCTCTCGCGAGTAGCCGGGGTTCCCCCCCCCCTGTCTCGGCCTTCCTTCCCCACCGCCGACCAGCCGAAGGCGACGACGGCGAAGAGAGCCGCGAGGCGGCTCGCCGTCCCGTGTCCTGGCCGATCAGGGCATCGTCCAACCCTCCCGAGGGATGAGGGAGGGAGGCCGGGCCGGGAGGGACAGACGGGCCCCGCGGGGGACGCCCAAGCTTAGGCCGAAGCCTTACGTCTCACCTAGCGCCCCTGCCGACGAAAACACTACTTTGCCCGCAGATGAAGGACGCGTAAAAGGGGGGGCCCCCCGAGTCGAGATAGAATTTTGATTTTTTTTTGCTTCCGCTGGACGACTCGACGGTTATACTTGAGATTTACGGTGAAAAAATAAAATATAGGGGCTATTGATTAATTATTTTATATTTATTTATCTTCTCCCCCCGCCTTCCCTTGTAATCACCTCGTCGCTGAAATCCAGAAAAAAAACTGAAAAAAAAACCCCCACACACACACGACCTCCCTCCACCCGTTATCGAATCCGCGAAGCTCGTTTAAAAGAATGAAAAAAATATCAATAAATAATTCTTAAGCTTTGTTTTTCAAAAATAAAATATAAAGCGAGCGAGACGGGAGAGGAAAAAAAATAAAAAAAATGGTGACGGCTCTCCGGCCGGGGTGCAATGGAAGGAGGCAGCGAACGGAGCGCGGCGGCGGCGGTCGAGGCGGCCACGGCGGCGGCGGCGGCAGCCCTCTCTCAACAAAACACAAAAGAGCGACCACGGAGAGCCTCCTCGCACGGCTAAGCGCGCGTAAGGTAGGGGAGGAGAGGCACCGCGGAGGCGACGGCGAACGGCAGAACGGACGGCGACTGCCGGGCTGCGGCTGTGTGTCCCGGCGGCCGAGACCGCGCTCCCGGGCGAGAGAACCTCCAAACAAAATGGCGGCTGTTGATCTTAAAGTTTTACGTTCGCCCGAGGAAGCCAACAACGGAGGAGCGCGCAGCCCGACGGAAACGCACGAAGCCTCGACGGAAACGCACGAAGCTAATCCGATTCGCTCTCGGCCACCCCCCCCTCCACGTCCGACCCTCCCTTTTCCTCGTGCCCCCACCCCCACACACACACGCGCGCAGCACCCTCCTCCCTTGTATGTAACAACGTACACGTTCGTTACGTCACCGCGCTGGCACCCACGCCCACCCCTTCTCCGAACAGGCTCCGCCCCCGTATATCCCCGCCCCCCCCCCCGCAGGCCCCGCCCCAACCTCTCGCAGGCTCCACCTTCGCCACACCCATTCGCTTTACCTCTTTCCCCAACCCCTCCATCTCACCGATCCACCGATCAGAAGTAACTATAACTAAATTTAGATTTAAAGATATAACTTCTTATATTCTTGGTTTCTTTCGGTAAAGTCACGTAGATAGAAAATAAAATAAAAGATTTAAAAGTAAATTAAAATGAAAAATAAAAGGGAAAAAAACATGATTTAATTCATTTTCTATCCACGTGACTTTACCAAAAGAACCAAGAATGTGAATTCCTGCAGTCACGAAAGTTTTAAGTCAAAAATATAACTACTTAGTTTAACACGTAGACTTTCGCGACCAATATAATCAACAATATAGGTTTTTTTTTGCTGGGTTAGATCGCGTAAATATAAATGTGTCGTTAAATCCGCCACCACCCGACACAGCCAATCAGTAAAGTTTGTCACATAAACAGAACGTGCCAATTCCTTACTATTACGCAAGGCTGGCACGGCCCGGTTTTATTCATTCGGGTTTTAATAGGTTTTTATATAAAACCGGAGCACCTGGATCCTGCCCAAATCTGGTTTTATTCGGTTTTATTAGCGGCGTTTGGGCCGGGGCCCGGGCTCAGCCGCCATGCGAGTGAGTCACGCGGTGCGTTCGGCCCTCGCCCAGGCTTTCGTCAGCTCGTCACTCGTCGGAAGCTGCCATTCCAAGTTTTCCATACAATGTCCACCCACTCCATCCCAAGCGCCGACGACTCCAGCCTCGCCCTCGCCATGCCTAGCAGTGGCGGTGCGCACGGCGGCGATGACCAACAGCACGACGGCGGCGCCCCTTCGCCAGTCCTCCACGAGCTCATCGACTTGGCGGCCAGCAGTGACGTCGACGGCGACGTGGTGGAAGTCGCCGACGTTCAGTCGAAGCGCGGCCGCCCACAGAGCAACATTTGGCAGCATTTCACCGACGCCAATCAGCCGCAGACCGCCAAGTCGAACGTCTGCAAGCATTGCAAGACGCTGATCAACTACCACAAGAAGAGCGAGTCGGTCAAGACGCACCTGAACAAATGCGCCCCTTTCCGTAAGCTGATGAACGGCATGGAGGACGCGGATCGCCCAGACTGGTACAACCGCAACAAGAAGCCGGCGCGCCAGGCGAAGGCGCCGTCCGTGTCCGGCATCAGCTCGAGCCGGCAGAGCTCGATCAAGCATTTCGCCCTGCCGGCCGTCTCCAAGACCGATAAGGCCCAGTTTCAGCAACAAATCGCACTGCACTTCTACGCAACCGGGACGTCGTTCCAGCGCGTCGAGGACGTGCACCTGAAGGAGGCCATCCACATGTCGCGCCCAGATGACAACTTGCTCCCGAAGTGGAAGCAGCTGGGATCAACGCTGCTCGACAATTGCCACGCCGAGCTCCTGACAAAGGTCGATAAGCGCATGTGCGGCGCAACGGCGTGCCTGACGACCGTTGCCTGGAGCAACATCAAGAACGATTCCATCGTCAACTACATGGCCGTCTCGCCTGCCTGCAGCCTGTTCCTCAAGTCGGTGTTGACTGGTCAACAAGGGCACGACCACAAGTTCATCGCCAATGATATCGCGCGCGTGATCCGCCGCCACGACAAGGCCACGTTCGCCGGCGCCATCACCGACAACACCAGCGCAAACAAGAAAGCGTGGAAGCTCTTGCGTGAGATGTTCCCGTCTTCCTACTTCCAGGATTGCTGTGCGCACGACCTGCACCTGTTGGTCAAGGACGTGTTCGGAGCGACCAAGACCAAGAAATCTGGCAGCGCGGACGCGACCTATCCCGACGGCTACCCGTTCGAGGACCTGCACGACTTTGTGGACGAATGCAAGGACATCGTCAAGTTCTTCCACAACCATCACGTCCCAAAAGCTCAGCTACTTGATCTGCAAAAGTCGACCGGAGCACGAACGCTCGTGCGGGCTGCGCCGACACGATGGGGCACGATTCAAGCAATGGTCCTGTCCCTGCTCCAGTCAGAGCGACACCTGCACGCACTCGTCTCGGCGCGCGACTTTGTGCAGGGAACGGCCACCCAAAAGGCACAGCGGACCTGGCTGCGCGTCACGATCACCGACGACCTTTTCATTTATTGATTTAAAGCTTTCATGACTGCAGTAATTCATATTCTCAGCTCTTTCGGTAAAGTCACGTTGAAGGGAAACAATAAAATAATAAAATATATATAAAACAATAAAAAATTCACGACGTTTCGACTATAACACACCTGATGACGACCGTTTGTGTTATGGTCGAAACGTCGTGAGAATTTTTTTATTGTTGTATATATATTTTATTATTTTATTGTTTCCCTTCAACGTGACTTTACCGAAAGAGCTAAGAATATGACCTTTTCATTGACAACCTGAATAAGACGCTGGCGATCCTGCACCCGATCAAACGCCTGATCGTCAAGTACCAGTCGGACAAGGTCCCGATCTCGGAGGTGATGCCGGACTTCCACGGTCTGCCGACTGAATTCGCTAAGCTTCACGCCGACAATGTCATCACTGCGGAAGAGAGGGACTATCTGTTCAAGTTCGCGATGCATCACTTTCAGTTCATGTACGACGTGGCGCACGGCCTGTCCTACTTGCTCGACCCGGGATTGCCCAGCGAAAACCGATGCTGCCTTGAGGACGCCCTGATCAACACGCCAATCGACGACGCCCAGCCAGTCGACGACCCGCGCAAGGAGCAGCTCTACTTGGAGTACACACAGTTCAAGATCGCGGCGACGAAGGAGAACACGCACAAATCCTTTCGCTTTCAGCTCCTGGCCAAGCAGAGGAAGACCCCGCTAGAGTGGTGGCTGTCCGGCGGCAGCGACTATCCCGCACTCCAGAAGATCGCCATCAAACTGCTCAGCATGGCCACGTCGACCGCTGTGTCTGAGCTAAACTTCTCGACGATGGGATTTATCCATTCCAAGTTGAGGAACAGCCTGGCGCCCAACACAGTCGAGAAGCTCGTCTTCATTAAGTCGAACCTCAATGCGTTCTACGACTACCCGACGCCCGACAGCAGCGAGAGCGACGACGAAGACGACGCGGCGGCGGACGACGACGAGCAGGATTGAAGTGTGCACGAGACGCCGATAATAAAACCAGGTTTGAATCGGAAAAATTGGGTTTAATTCCATTAAACCAATAACCCGATTTGGCGGCCAAAAAAAATCGGCTTTTCCCACCCTTGCTATTACGGCACACCGGTCGTGTGTTGGAGAGCAAATCCACAACATTTACAATCTGAGTACGATTGTAAACTACTACAATTAACTACTACACTCAGTCTCCTTTCTATTCTTGCCTCATGGAGCTAAATGCCAACGTCGAGAGGTCTTGCTCGCCACGATGAGAGGGCGACAGGAGTTGTGGTTCGTGACGCTTTGCCATTCCCTCCTCCGTTTAAGGAGCGCCGACTACCTTATGCTTAACTTATCTGGCCCATAGTGTGTGGGGTCGCATGGTCGGAATTGCACCGTTTGGTGGCTTGTCAACTCCCATAATCCGACCCCAAAAAATTGAAATGCAATGTCTCCCACAAAATGTCTGTCTCTCTCCACGTGATTTAAAAAAACACATGAGATAACCCATTGTCGGATTGCATAATTTTGCAGCGGCATTGATTCGGTATCAGTACAGTATAAGAAAAGTCATGGACCGGTTTCGACGACACACAGCGACTCATCGGCAGAGTTCGGGTTTTGCTTGGAATCAATGCTGGGGAACTTGCCAGATGTTTACACGGTGTTGCATAACGATGGTAATATAAGAATAGTATTACTTTTGATTCAAAGCTTTCGTGACTGCAGGGACTCATATTCTTGGTTCTTTCGGTAAAGTCACGTAGAAGGGAAGCAATAAAATAATAAAAATATGAAACAATTAAATTCTCACATTATTGTTTCCCTTCTACGTGACTTTACTGAAAGAACAAAGTGTATAATAGTATTACTCTTTGGTTCTTTCGGTTAGGTCACGAAGGTAGAAAAATTAAATCAAACAAAAAATAATATATCACGACGTTTCGATTGCAACACGTGCGGTCGTCCTCAGGCGGAAAAAATTATCCAGCAGTGGAACTGCTGAACTCCAATAATCTGGTTCAGCAGCTCCACTGCTGGATTATTTTTTCCGCCTGAGGACAACCGAAAGAACCAAAGAGTATGGATTCCTGCAGTCACGAAAGCTTCAAATAAAAAAAGAATAGTATTCTTTGGGTCTTTCGATAAAGTCACGTAGATCGTTCTAAGAAAATAACAAAAAACTAAGACGTTTCGATCACAACACAAGCGATCGTCATCAGGTGAGGAGGAAAGCTGCTTAATGTAGACTGTTTTATCGGGTGTAGTCCTAGGGTCATTAACGAAGTGGGCGTGGCTAGTGATGTTAATGTGAGAAATTAGCATTTTTTTCACATTAATATCACTCACCCCAGCCACTTCTTTATGACCCTTTGGCTCAGCAGCAGACCATGCTTTCCCACCTGATGACGGACGCTTGTGTTGTGCCCGAAACGTCGTGATTTATTTTATTTTATACCTACGTGACTTTACCGAAAGAACCAAAAGTATATAAATTAGCATGTTAATGTAATATCGGAGAGCCGAAGCCATGGGGTTAACATTTGAAGGTGGCAGGAAGGGAACATCACAGCCAGTTATGACTTAAACTGGTTGATAATGTCCTTCCAATGATTGCCAAGTTTGTACCCATCTTCTCGGTTGAAATTGTGTCTCTGTCGAAATATATGGATGGCTTAATGAACG